GCAACACACTCGAGCGCCTCAAGATATTGCGCCACGGACGCGTCTCCAGATGCGTCGCACCACGTGATCGCATCGTTGGACGGCATTGTAACGTGTGTCACGTTGGTTTTTGAACTTTCTCTCCGACCACGACCACCATGGCTTTGACCCTGTACTACTGCATCAAGCGTGGAAGATGCACGCTTGATGAAGTAGAAGTTGAGCCTGTCGACAACTTTATTCATGTCCGTCAGAAGATCTCCAAGGAGCACAAGGTGTTCTTCGAACGTATGCAGTGCGTTGTCCTCGAATTCTGTCGAAAGGTCTGGTCTGCTCATTAAAGGATCAGCCTGCCAATCTGAGCATATTACCCGAGGAGAGTCTATTCCAACGGGCCACAAGAGAGCTTGGAGTCTTTAGAGCCACTTCATTTTAGCGATACGGTTCAGGACGTCATCTCGGAAGATGCGTTGGACAAAAACAAGAAGTTGATGCATCTTTGCTTGGTTGGGAGCAGAAGGATACCGTTGGATCTCTTGATCCTGCTGAAAAAGGTATGCATCTCCTACTATCCGTCATTGACGGCCTGGCTTCATCCTTTCAATGTGGCAGCTCACACTGCCGCCGTCAATAACGCACGCAGTGCACCATCCCCATCCATTGTGGCCAATAGCGTCACCGAGTTCGAGCGTGCACAGGAGGATCACCCCATATACAATGGACGGCCCGTAACTCATCGAGCCTCACCGATTGCACTTTACAATGATGCCTTTGCTCGGCTCACAGACAAAGATATATTGCACAACCTGTCAGTGGCAGATTCAGACAACGTGCGCGCACCCACGACGGCAAAGCTGTTTCTCGCCGCAACGGACATATACGACACGGAGAAGGAGCGCGAGACGGCTATTTTTGACTATATTGAGTATCTCTTAGAAGTTAAGCTCGAGCGTCATGTCAAGATGACTACAGCTGAGCATTCAGATGAAAGGGATGCTTTTGCACGAGTACCTCTAGGTAACTCCACCTTTGGCGAGAAGAAGGGTGTCTTTTTGTGCGTCCAGGTCAAGAACGAACTGGGCATGGGTGGAAACGGCGGACTTCAAGGTGCTCTGACGTTGCTGAAGCACATCTCCCAAGATGAGACCAGTAACCTATATTGATGCTCAATCCGAGTTCGATGCTGACTAATGCGCAGTATCGGGAGATACGAAATGCATCGTGCTGCCCTTGCATCATTCTATCCATCGTGGGTCCATACATCTGCTTCTTCGGTGCAGTTCTGGTCGACATCTTCATCGTTCAGCCTCTGACGGATTACATCTATTTGGGTGGCGATCCTTTCATGAACGACCGGATCTTTCATGTAGCCAATCTTTTGGGTGTGCTTGCGGATGCGGTGAAGAATCTGAGGAACTACTACCGTCTTCTGTCGCCGAACAACAAACCTCAACGTGCTCGCCTGTTTCCTAATCCTACGTATATTGAGAAGCACGAACACCCAGTGGGACCATTGCACTTTATCAAACGGTTCAATGACGGAGAAAACAATTACCGCCGATCCCTTTTCCACGCCAAGTTGGATGGCAAGCCCGTGCTGGTCAAGTTCTGCGAGGAGTACAATGGGCATGCTCACCGCCACCTCGCTGCTATAGGGCTCGCACCAAAGCTACACTTTTGCTCCAAGATATGCGGACGCGTCACCACGGTCATTATGGATTTTGTCGAGGGTGAAGATGCACATTCCAAATATGGGGAGAAGGCTCTGCCTCTGAACGTCTTGGACGATGTGAAACGTGCAGTGAATGAATTGCACAGTATCGGTCTTTCTTTGGCGATTTGCGCCCCCCCCCCCCCCCTAACATCATGATAGTCGAGAAGGCTGGCCATGCGGTGAACACAAAGTCTGGTCAGGAAGAAGTAGCAGGAGTCAGTATCGGTGCCTTGTTGGTCGACTTCGACTTGGCTGGGGTTGACGGTCAGGCCCGGTACCCGGCATTGCTCAACGAAGAAATTGACTGGGTAGATGGTGTTGCACCGATGGCAGTCATGAGTAAAGAGCATGACTTGGGCATGCTGAAGAAGCTTGGCCAAAGGGGAGGGCCTGAGCTGCCAGGGCAGTCGTCTCCGCAAAGTTAGGCTTATCTGGGTGGGACGAACAGCAACTGCGGCATAAGGTTGCATAACAGTTGGAAACTGGGCTAGATGCTTGTGCGAGTGACGTAAATGCCATTGTATTTGCTGTAATCTGGCGACATATATTATAGTCTACATGCGCAGCGCTTTGCAGTCGGGGGCACTGGCAAGAAGTGAAGCAAATCGTTGGTAACTGTTGGTTTGTCAAGGATGCCCGGCAAGAGCCTCTGGAAGATGCCATGATGAGGCGAGCAGCTCAACCCTTTGGAAGTCTTTGCTCCCGTACAAAAAAGTCTCTTATGGGTTCAAGCACTAGCGCTGTATAAACCAGGGTGTGCACAAACAAGTCTGGAAGAAATGCTCATGACAATCTCGCGGGTGTGACGTCCCCGCCCTTCGATAACCGGGATCTTGCGAGAATCGCCTCGTCCCACATAAAGAGTGCGTTGAGCAGGGCGACCATGCCGATCTTCAATATATAGCGATTTTGACTGGATGACATGTCTATTCACGGCCTTCGCCCTGATGTAGATCACAGACACCGTGTCATATCCGTTACGGCAATGGCTTTAGCAGAGCATATTCGGGATCTCCTCCATAGCTTGTTTAACCATTTCTTATTGACTAAACACAGGAATGAATGAGTGTATGTTTCGCTATCAAGGATAGAATGACTGCTTACATCTCTTCTGTCCTAGTCCGGATAATCAAACCAAAATTCCTGCCGTTCGATGGACAGTCCTCCGCCAAAATCGACAGGACTTCCGTAACTGTCGACCCATTTGTTGCCATATACCACCCCAAGTCGATAATGTTTCTTCCGCAAGCGTTCCAAAAAACGCACGATCTGATCGGTCGTGTCTCTCGCATGCGCTCCTTGGGTATCGAGGAACAGAATATTGAATTGAATTGTGATGACCTGACTCGCGTCTATGAAACGCTCCAATGCTTCCACAATGTCCTTCCAAAATCTGGGTAATTGTTCCTCGGTCCATAAGGCCGTGAGCGGCCTGCCAGAGAACTCCTGCAGGCTGATCGCGATCCGCTTCATTGGCTTAACAGCGTGGCTGGTGACGAGTAGAGCGGATGCTATGTCATCCAGGTCACTCAGGAGGTCGCTTGTCAGATCTGATCTGAGGTGGAGATAATCGAGGTTTGGAAGTTGAGGAAAGTCATGACTTTCGAGAGATCCAAGAACGGGCATAAAGAAGTTTAGTTTGGATGATATCACAAGGCATAGATCCTCGAGCGATCTGTCTGCAGAATGTACGAGTCGACGTGACATGTCGCTGAGTCCCGTGAACGGTATCTCGAGTCTCCTCAGATTGCGACCCAGTGGAGTACTCAGCAGCAGCTGAACAGTGTCTTCGTCACACCACCGCGCGTGCACGGCCTCCAAGCTGTTCGCATTCGCGGGTATGATTCCCGACAGTCCGGGAGGTAGCATGAACCCGCTAGTAGCCGCATCACTGGAGAGGCCGGTGGTTTTGGGAATCACTAACTGCACAGCATGCAAATGCAACACAGAAAGCCTCGGGCAAGCACCAACTAAGCATAGGAAATCACTTGCTTGTAACGAACATCCTGGGAGAAAAAAGCGAATCGATTTGATTGCACCGAGATACAGGTGTAGATTTTGAGCGACCTGCTCTGGGAGATCTTCTACGCTCCACATTCCGACCGTCACTTCTTCAACTCTGTTCAGCGTCATCAGGAGAGTGGGCCATTCCCGTTCAAGGCGTGTTGAATGATCTTCTGGCTGAAATCTGCAAACTGACAGACAGCGGACATGGGGCGCGATTGTCGAGTCCTGCCGAAGGAGCCTCTGAAAGGCTTTGAATCGCTTAACGTTTCTCAGCGTAACGGTGCGAAAGGCATACGAACGAGCTCGTGGAACCCACGGGCGGCTGACCAGTGCACAAGCAAGAAGAGCGTCTTGGTCGTCTTGCAGATAATCCATGATTTGTTCGCACAATTCCTGTGGGAACCTCTGTTGATCCTGCTGCATCGCCACGTCTGGACAATCCGTCAGCTGTAACACCGAGTGCTGCATTGATTATCCATACCTACGTTAGTTCCAGAGCTGTGGCTTCGTTAAGCGTATCAGATGCACGCTGTTTGTCGATTGGAAACAATGTATCCAGCCGCAGTGAGAGTCGTCACGGGCTTCAACTCTCCCTAGCTCGAAGCTAAGCAATATGAGACCTTGTTGGTGCAGCCTCGATATGACAACACACGTATATAGTAGCGTCGCTGCGACCGACGGATTTCAGTGACTGGTTACGGATGAAGATGAGATGGACGCGTAACGCACATCGTTCGTTCTAGCGCTCAAAACGCGAGTGGCAGTCGAACTTAGTCCTTGTCCAAGATCACCCCCTCACTAGTACACAGAGCTTCCGCGGAAACTCTGCGTCCACATCTATAGACTAGGCTTAGACTAGGCTATCTGCGAGACAATCCCCCATCCTTCTCGCATATTTCCCTGTCCGCCGTGTATGGCTTCCAAGGTGCATCCTTTTGACAACATCATCAAGAAGGCCCTCCATCGCATCGTACGTCCGCTGTCGAGGAATTGTAGCTCCTGGAACGCTTCATGGGCAGGCTCACTACAGAGGTCATTCAGTCGGACTTGCTTGCATGATTATTGCCAACACGAAAGGAGGCATGCCGGACTCGCTCAATGTGCTGCTATATATTGACAATATCTATCCACAGCTTTCTACGGTCCTCGAGCTCAGTTGTGCATCTTGGGTCAAAAATCGTCCATCTTGCATTAATAGAAGCAAGCTCTAACACCTGCCTGTCAGCTTGACGAGTTCGGTTCAATGAACTCTCCACCGCTTCAAATTGTTTCACGTCCTTTCCAGCACCTCAGACTAAGCCCTACAAGAAGAGGGTGGACACCTCTGACATTGGGACTTTCCCCGAGTATAGCTTTCGGGAACCCGTCGACTTCACCTTCCTCGACTACTAGTAGAAGAGGGCCCAGGGATCATAATCAAGATGAGCATATAGGACGATGAGGCCGTATAAGAGAGGGTCGATGAGACCCTGGCCCTTCATTTGCCAAAATGAAGAACGCAAGTGCTGTTTGGTATCCCGTCAATCCGGTGAGTTGAGCATCCGAAACGGTTGTGGCACGCTCAACTCCATTTTACACTTATTAGTTGGCGTACCGGAGTAGGGACCCGCATTCCCGGACACAACGATCCAGGACGTCCCCCGGATGAGGACTATATGCACCTCGAATGCAACAATTTTTCCACCGACTTCCTCATCATTATGATGCCGTGTACGTATTAAAACGAAGCTAGATACGATGGACCAAAGTGCTTGTCCCAAGAAGTCAGTGTTTGCGCCTAAGCAATGTCCCATCCTCCCTGCATACCAATGCGAAATCAGAACGCGCTAGCCCCCGCCCCTGTATTGCCTCCCCCCGAGTCACCATCGCCATCCAGCTGCCCGGCTCTATCTGTCCTAACCTTCTTCGCCCAGCGCAGCCCACATGCGTTGCATAGCGTCTTCGGACCCATGGGACCCTGGGAAGTGGAAACAAACTCAGAAGATAGTCCATACACATCGCTAAATATATAACTCACCTTCCGCCACTCTGGAGAGTCCGTCCGCCCGCACGTCACGCAAACATATTGTTCGGTGCCAGTGAACGATCGCTTGAGCTATAAATTATCAATGAGCCGTCCACAAACAAGGACTGATTCGTAAACTTTAAAGTAGACGCACCTTCTTCTTCGACCCATTCTCATCATCCTCTCCACCCACCGTCGATCCCGCATCACCCTCAAATCTTCCTCTTTTCGCACCAACGCCCTGTACAATCTCCTCGTACTGTCCGTAGTATCCTTCATTTTGCTGAGCAAAGTGCCCGGAAGGCCCAGGTGGAGAACTCGACGGAATCGGAGCATCGAGCGCCCTAGCTTGCGCGCGGAGCTGCAGGACGCGCTGCTGCAGTCTCTCATTCTCCATCTTCAGTTCCAAGAATGTATTGAGCCTGTCCACCGCGAGACGATTAAACCGTAGCACATCACTGTCAAGAACACATGTGACTTACATAGCGGTGTTGCGGCTCGGATACGGCTTGGCCGCCGCGAAGATGACCTGGCAGTCCTCTCCATTACTCGTTGCCTTCGTGCGCACGCCGGACGCCGTATGCGCGTATCCGATTATCTCGAAAAGCACTTCCCTCGGGCGCGAGGCATAGTCTCCCGTCGCATACACATCGTTCTTGCACTGCAAGCGCGCATACGCGAGGAGGGAGCGCTGCCCAGGGTACTGCAAGCACTTTTGGAGCTGCGCGCGGAACGGCGCACGGTCGTCAGCTAGACGCATATACTCAACGTCAACAATAGTCTCAGAGAGAGCATTATTCGAACACAAAGGCGGATCGAGTGCTTACCGTTCATCAACTCCGCAAAGTCCGCATCAACAAGGTCGTCCTCGCGCCAGCCAAGCAGCTCGCCCACTGCCGCCCCGCAGTACCATACCTTCCCCTCCGCAGACAGCACCAGCAAAATGGCCTCGCTCAGCTCCGTGACGAGCAGGTCCGCCCAGCGCTTGCGCTTGGTGAACTCGAACACTGCCTGCTCCCTTACGCTCGAGCGAGTCGAGGGGCCCGTGCTGCCGCTGCCGCTGCCGAGGCTCCCTACGGAAGCAGAACCAGCGGAGCCTGAGCTAGACGTCGAGGAGCGGACGGCGCTGGTGGGTGTCGGGAGGGACATGGCCTCTGAGAGCGACATGGTCGGGGGCGATGAGGGCGGAAAGGAGGGTGCGGGAGCGCCATGGCGAGCGGGCGATGCTATAAGGTAGCTGCTGGCTGTAGCGGTTTGGCACCAGTCACGGTCGGCGGGGCGCGATCGAGCGCGCGTCGAGAATGGAAGCAGACGTGATCGGCCACGTGCTTGGCCACAACGCCACTCATCGCCTCCTCGACTTTCAGCAGAAAACATTGTAAAATATGAAAGTTTGATGAACGTTCAGAAAGATCCTTCCATGTATATATGTACAGCCACGTACATATACTCATCACTCACCTGAAACATCGTGCACCCCCCTGCCCACACCGTCCATCGGTCCAACCTCAGCTACCCAGCACCCGCACCCTCCGACACGAAGACGCCCCACACCAAGCTCCGACTCGGACATCGACGGGCTGAGGCTACTGTTGGTCCATGTAACTACTCTCGACACCTAAGACGTCGGACTTGAACACACCGGCGCTAGAATCAGACATATGAAGTGCATTCGAGTGGCATGGGCGACTTTAGAAGACGGACCCACCGACACACACGATCACCCACCACACGATTATACATGTATTCAAAATGAAAGGTTGTTCATTAATTATGACGAGGCCATCTACTTCAACCATTCATATGTAGATCACGATAACGTATGCGTCTCCCTTCACCATACACGCCGCCTCGCCCGGACCATAGCGTATGCCCTGCACAGGATATCGATGGATGTTGTATGTACGTACACTTTACTAGATGCTTGAGAAAATCGGCGAGCCGAGATTGAGTCCGAGAGAACAGAAGCAGACCATCGTTCGCCGTCCCCGAGGAGAACTGTAAGTTATTTCTATTTTTGATCGTTGTGTATGTTGAGGTTGCCAGCAAGAGGTACAGAATTCGGAAGGGCCGTTTAAATGATGCAGTAGCCACCGTCGACACGGATTTCGGAGCCGGTCATGAAACGAGATGCGTCGCTGGCGAGGAAAATGATCGCACCCTATCGTTGAATATCAAGTCAGCACACGAGGTCTCGATGAACATAGTAGGAGGATTTGGAACCCACCGCCAAGTCCTCTGGCTCACCCATCTATCACCACCAAGACAAAGTATGAGCACCGTGCGGCAGATACAGCGACAGAAATTACGCACCCTGCCCATCGGCGTGAGGCTCTCCCATGTTTTCTGCACAAAGAAAACAGGTCAGTTTGAGAACAAGGCAGGGGCACAGAGACAAGGACATGCCTTGAGCTCCTGGTCGTGGGCGAGGATGGTGCGGGTAAGCTTGGTCAACATGTAGCCGGGGCTGTAAAAGATGATAGCTGAGAAAAGAAACGCGCGACGCGTGACGTCATCACGCACCTGAGGCAGTTGACGCGCACGCCCTTCTTTGCCCATTCCACTGCCAAGCTGGCCGCCATGTGCTTTACCGCTGCGGGCACACAGAGAATTAGACTCAACGCCTAGGAACCAATTCATAGAGTATATCGAAGTCACTAACCGGCTTTGGCCGCGTTGTAAGGCGTTTGTGGCTGCGGGATGTTCACGATCTGTCATGACGGCGCCGTCGTCAGTCAGGCGGTCACATCCAAGCCAGCCTGACGACTCACGTTGGCACTCATGCTACCCACGAGCACAATGCTCCCTCCGCCCTGTGGGATCATGTTACGTGCCGCTTCCCGTGCCGTGAAGAACGCGCCGTGGACGTTGATGTCGTACAACCGCTTTATCCGGTCGAACGGGTAGCTTCGCGAACGGAGGGGCATCAACATCGAGAGCGCATATTACCCGGCGCCACCAGACCACTCACTCGAACGCGGAGTAGTTCTCGACAATTCCTGAAATAGACACGAAGAGCCTGAATAAAGAGCCCAACAGACAGCAACACAGCGCGTGACGTACCAGCTGACGCAACGACCGAGTCTATACGCCCATAGCTGTCCATCACTCGACGGAATGCCTGCTGCACTGAGAGCTCGCTCGAGACGTCGCAGCCGATTCCCATAATGCTGTAGTCACTCTCCACCATGTCACTGTCAACTTCACACCTTATCAGCACGCCGCAGGACAGGAGAATCAAAAGGGCGGACACTGACCGCATGCGGCCTTGGTGAGCTCAGCGGCTGCGTCGGCTGCCTCCTCCTCCTTGAGATCAAGGATGGCGAGCTGCGTGCAGCCAGACTGGATGAACGCGCGGCAGAACTCGTTGCCCAGGCCGCGAGCGGCGCCTGTGACCATGCAGACCTGTGGGTGGAAGCGTCGTCTCAGAAGGTGGGCGCCGGCGGGGGCGTGCGGCGGCGGGCACGCACTTTGTTCGCCATCGAAAAGTCGGGGAGAGTCTTGTGGACCTTGGCCTTTGCCGCGACGGCGCTGTCGATGGTGGACTCCCAGCGGGCGTGGGCGCGAACGACGGGCTGTGGTGGGCGTCGTGCGACGGCGAGAGGTCTGGAGACGGCGGAGAGCGACGAGGAGAAGAGCCGGGAAGTCATGGTGGGTTGGGGGGAGAGGATGAACAGAAGTGAGGACGTTTGGGCATTTATTGGAACTATTAGAGCCGTCTAGAACGCTGCCCGGGGCCTGCCCCACGGACCGATCAATGCGCGGGGAATTGCAACACCTGACTGCAAGACGCCCGCCCTCGCTCCCCCCTCGCTCGCGCAGCCAAGGCGGTCGTGAGCATAAATCTATATGGTATATCGAGTACTCGACCACATACCATGTAGAGGACATGGATAACGAGCGTGGGTATCGACGCAGAGCAAAACTAGAAGAACAACTACTACCGAATAGACTTCTGAATAATAAACTAATAGACTACGCGCCCGGTCTCGGTACCAGCCAATGCGAACATATAATACGGTAGAAATAGGAGAGGCGTACGGCATACGCTAGCAATGATACATCCGACAGAACAAAGAAGTGAGAGTCCGGAAGCGGAGAGAATGTGCGATCCGGAGAGACGATTGCAATAGATCGCACGAGAGTGTGAAGAGAAACACGACGCACCCGGGCGACGTTCACAGGCATGCAAACTTGGACTTGCGCTTCTGCAGCTCCTCCATCCGGCTGTCGAGCTGCGCCCGCGCCCGCTCCTTCGCCCGCCGCTCCTCGTCCAATCGGTGCTCGAGGCTCTGCTTCTCCTCTACGATCGACCGCCGCACGTTCACCACCTCGTTCTTCGCCTCGTGCAGTTCCGCACGCAGCGCAGCGATCTGGTTGTTTAGGTTGTCCCGTTCTCGCGCAAGCTCCGTCGCCTGCATTCGGGCCTTGCGCACTGCGGGGTAAAGAGAAGAACACGGAGATCACATCAGCACATCACGCATCAATCGTCGATAAACAAAACGCAAACATGAAAGCAAGCGGCCGCAGCCGCAGCCGAAGCGGAGATGTGTGAGAATCTGTACTTACAGTTTTTCTCCTCCTCGCCTAACGACCCTTCCAGCTTTGTGACAAGATCCATGTGCACCTGCAAGTCGCCCTCACAATGCATCAGCTGCTTGTTCAGCGTCTTGATCATCGCCTCCTGCTCTTCGATCTGTTTCGCCTGCTGCTCAATCTGCGCGGTCAGATGTGGATCCGGCGTTCCAGTTGACGTCGGAGGTCCACTCATTGACGGTGCGATAGATGTAGCCGGCGTCGTTGGAGAGCCGAGCGGCATGTCAATGCTCCCGGGCGTCGTAAACGCCGACGAAGACGCTATGCTCAGCTGTGTTTCATGAGCAGATGACGGGGCCGGCGGAATCGGCACCGTCGGCGGGGGCGCAGGCGGCGGCAATTTCGTCGGCGACATTCCGTTTGCACGTACGCTCCGCTCGAAGCCCTGTCTTTGCCCGGGCGATGGGCTGCGCACAAGTTGCGACTGCAAGTCCCGAAGAAGCACGTCTTGCCGGTTCTTCTCTGCCGCCAAGCTATCCATCTCGTCCTTAGTGCGCTGTAGGGTCTCCTGCATTTCCGCAATCACCGAGCGATGTCGCTCAAGCTCGTCCACAAGCGAGTCCCGCTTTGACGCCTCTTTGACGAGTTCAGACGTCTTGTCCCGTGTTTCTTGCAGTTCCTGCCGCAGCTTCGCCACTTCGGCCGCCAGGGTGTCTCGTTCCTCGTTCGAGCTGTTGAGCTGTTGATGCAAGAGTCCAATTACGTCCGTCTTCTGCTGAAGCGCTTCCTCATGCGCACGGCGAGTCTCCTCCCTAGCAACGACATACTCCTCGGATGCCGCCTTGTAAGATTCGAGCTCCTCAAGGAGCAGGGTGTGATTCTGCTGCAAGCCTTGCACCTCGTCATCCCGCTCCTTCTGCATTTCTCCGAGCTGCAGATCATGATCCCTGCGGATGACCTCCAGCTCTTCGGCGTGCTTCTTCTCCAGCTCCCCGAGGGCAGCGCTGATCCGTTCCTTCTCTTCAGAAAGTAGTTGGTCACTGTGGGCACGAGCCTCTTCGAGCATCTGACGGTGCTGATCCTGCACGGCTATGAGGTTCGCCTGAGCTTCTGCGAGTGCAGCCTGGTGTTCAGCCTTGAGCAATGTGAGCTCCTCTGTGTGAGGCTTAATGAGCGATGACCGCTGCTCTTCCGCCTCGCTCTTGACTGCCGTAACAGCAGCATTATGCGCTTCCTCAAGACGTAATAACTCATCAGCATGACACCGTTGAGCTTCCTCAAGTACTGATGCTTGCTGCTCTTTGGCAGCCAGCAGCTCGGTCTCTAGCTGCTTCTGCAAGTCAGAGCTCGAGGCAGCGAGCTCGTTCCGGCTTTGCTCCAGCTCAGCGGTCAACCTAGCAACCTCCTTCTGCGATTCCTCCTGGAGTTGGGACAGTGTAGCGGCATGCTCTGCTGCGCTCTTTTCCAGTGCTGCGCGATGCTCATCATCTTTGGCGGACAACGTCCGACTGTGATCGGCTTGCAGCTTGGCCAGTTCGTCGGCGAAGGTGGCTTCCTTGATGTTGACAGCCTCGGCATGGCTGGCCTTGAGCCGCTCGCGAGAGCTCCGGTGCATCTCTTCCTTCGCAGCAAGTGTCTGGGCGTGCTCATCCTTGAGCTTCTGGATGTCGTCAGTGAATTGCTGCTCCTTCGCACTGACGGCTGATGCATGCACTTCCTGCAGCTCCTTGAGCGCGACGTCTCGAGCAGATTGTGACTCCGAGAGCGAGCCTTCACGAGCGATCTCCGACATCCGCATTTCCCGGGCGTGCTCGTCGCGCAGCCGCTCCAGTGCAGTGGCGGCCTCAGCCGACTGCTTCTCCAAAGTCTGGGCGTGCTCCGTGCGAAGTTTCGTGAGCGCATCGTAGTATTCCTCCTCAGTCTGGCTAAGCGTGGCCGCGGCTTCCTCTTCCTTCTTTTTGAACGCCTCTTGGTGCTCCACGGCCAGCTTCGCCAATGCGGCCTCGTGATCCTGACGCGTGCTCTCAAGCATGTCTTCGACGGCCTGGCTACGGCGTTTCAGCTCCTCCTCGTGATCGGCCCTCAGTTTACCAAAGGCGGCCTCGTGCTCCTGGCGTGCTTGCTCCAGTGCGGCGGACGCCTCGAGGAGCTGGTCGCGCAAGCCACTGAATGCACCTTCATGCTCTTCCTTCATCCTAGCCAGGAGACCATCGACCTCGGACTCCTTTGCCCGCAGAGCTTCCTCGTGTGCCGCCTGAAGGTTAGCAATCTCAGAGGCGTGCTCCGCTTGGATACGTTCCAAGGACGCAAGCAGCTCGGCTTCGCGGCGTTGCACATTCTCTAAGGATTCGGCGAGATCAGATGAGTGAAGTTGCGCCTTTGCTAGGGAGTCGACCAGATTCACTTCGTGCTCCTCCAGTTGCTGCAATCGCTGCAGATCTTCGCTATGCTTGGCCACTTCTTCGTCATGTTTGTTGCGCAGAGCCTCCAGCTCGGTGGACATATTCAGCGTCTGATCCCGGGAGAGGACAGAGAGCTCTTCGTACTGCCTGCGAACTTGGCTAAGCTCTGTATTCAAACCATCGATGGCTTCCCGGTGAGACGATTCTTTCTGAGCCATTGACCTAACAACGTTTCAGGAGGTAGATCCGCATAAGGCCACCTCCATACGCACCTCATGAGCTCATTCAGCCTCTCCAATGATTCATCAACATCAGGTAGTGTCGAGCCTGTATCCGAGACCTGAATATGCAGACTATGCCGAAGCTGCTTGAATTGGGCCATCGTCTTCGGCGAAAGGTTCAGGCTCAGCTCGGGGCTGCCGAGGCCATTTACCGGCGTCGTAGGTGCATCCGACGGAGTCTGACTGAGACTCGCTAGCGCAGCTGCCCGATCCTTCTCCTTCAAAGACGTCTCCAGCGCGGATATCTCTGCTTCACGCTCTTGGAGGACCTCCTGCAACCGCATGATCTCCTTTTCCAGACTGGCTACCGATCTCTCATTTGACGGTACATTAATAGAAGGAAGAGATACTGAAAGGTTGAGTCTGGATTGCGGACGGGAGAGCGAGAGCGAAATGGAGCTACTTGTGCCATGACTGGAGATGGAAGCTTTGCGCGACCTCGCTGATGATAGCTCCTGCGAGAGCGAAACCGATTGCGAGAGCGACCTTTTTACAATGAATTTAGTCAGCGCGATCCTGAGGATGAACCACGCTCATTTACCTGGTGTGGAGAGACTCCGCTGACGCCGCCTGCCGGAAGAAGGGTCGCTTGACCGACCCGTTCATCACAGGCTCGATGCCATCCCTCGACGATCCTTTTGTCATCCTTCTCCTATGAGACAGATCAGTCGGCCGTTCCGGAGACTCTGAAGGTGCAATCGGGGCGTTGACCTTGGCCTCCTGGAGCTGAGCCGCCAAGTCTGCGATCTCGCGCAGGGCATCTCGATACTTCGCAGTGACGGACGAGAGATCTGCGAGGGTCGCTGTATGCGTCTGCTGGAGCGCGACAAGCTGGCTCTCGACGGAATAATCTTTCGGAATGCCTAAAGAATCTGAACTGGAAGCCGACTTCAAGGACGGCACGGAGACTTCGAGGTGCTTGCGTTCCTTGGCGACTTCATCAACCAAGTCACCGAGACGTTCTCGGTCTTCAGCGGCTTCCTTCTTCTTCGCTTCCCACTCCTCCATCTTGAGCTCGAGAGCGTGCACCTTGCGTTCCCTCTCGTCGAGATCGTTACGCCAGCTCTGCCCGTCTCGCATGAGATTGTCAAGGCGGGACTGCAGGGCCTCGGCTTCTTGTCTTCGCCGCTCGCAGTCATTCTCGAGCGTCTCAACAGTCTCCCGCAAGGCAAGGACAGACTCATCCGCGCGGGCAAGACGAGCTTCGAGGTCCACGATGTATTGTAAAGAATGCGTCTCGGAGTCCTTATACTTCGTGATCTCACGTTTGAGGTCTGTTATTGAGCCACTAGATGTGATAGAGGAGTCGTCGTAATGCTTGATCTTCTCCTCCAGATCATGTATATATGCCTATCATGCAGTCGTCAGCCTCGTATGATCGTAAGTGTCTACATAGCTTCTTACCTCAGTTGACGCTTCTCGCTCAGACAACTTGGCCACACGCGCTTTAAGCTCCTCCACATACAGCTCAATTGTAGAATGTCGCTCCTGGAGATCAGCATACTCTGCTTCCTTCTCTTCGAAAAGGATGTTCGTATGACGCAGGGCAGCGCGATTCAGGTTCAGTTCCGCCTCCATCGCACCAATTGTCTTCTCATATTCCTCGATCACAGGGCCGACGATCTCCTCGTACTTGGCTATCCCACCAGAACCAGACTTGGAGTTACGTTGCTTCTCTGCAAGTTCCCTTCGGAGCCTTGTGAGTTCCTCCGTGCGCGCGACGTACTTCTCACGGAGATTCTCATAGTTGTTCTGCAGCTCCGCCATTTGGGCAAGCACCTTCTTTCCCGCACCCTCCATGATCTCCGTGGATCCTGACGACCCGTTCAAAGCGCCGCCACCTTCTTTGAGTCCCTTTAGGTCCCTGCGAAGACGCATCACGGTGCCCTGGAGCCACTCGAGATCATCCCAACCCTCTTCCTTCTCGTTGACCACGACGCGATTCTTGATATTCCGCGCACGATTCGCGTATTTGAGGGTGTTAATGGTCTCTGCGACGTTCCACTCTGCCGGGCTAACGCAAGCAATCATAAGTGTATGCGCATTGCCACCAAGCGAGTCTTGCAGGAGCCGTGTCAGCTTCGAGTCACGATATGGGATGTAAGACGCTGTATGTGACTTGGCGCGCGCAGGATCTCCAAGTGCAGAAATGACGTTTCCGAGTGCGAGGAGCCCACTGTTGATCGAAATACCTTCCTTGATCCGCTCGCCTTGCGCCGCTGTCCGTTTTAGCTGATTGACGGATCAACGCAATGAATATGATGTCAATGTAAGCAGCACTCACCCGCTCAGAGCCAGCAAGATCGACGAAGTGGAACTTGGATACCACTGTGACCCACTCTCCCTCACCATCCTCAGCAGAGGCATCTCTGATCGCTCGCCCGCCATCTGGCGTCAACAAACCGAGAGAGCTAGCGGGCCTCACGGTCCTGCTCATGGCTGTCTGAAAACTAGGCGTAGCGGGACGTGAAAATGTCGGGGAGGACACTCTGGGTTGCAAGGTGTTGACGAATGCAGACCCAGGCCGTGCAATGCGAGACGCGGGGCGGGCCCCCGGAGGCATAGGTGATGACGATCGAGGAGGAGGCTTCGATCCGGTGAATTTCTTCTGGCTTAGGGTCAAGGAGAAGATGGCGTGTGATCGTGATGACTGCGCATTCATGTCTGTCTCGTTTGTCCTTCTGATAGCAGTACCTTGTCGGAGGAGGCTGCGAAGTCTCAATATAGGCAATGCGCTTATTCAAAGAAGAAGGCGTGCACTTACCTCATAACTTCTGTCGGACCCCTCACATTCACTTCTCGCAGCCCTTCCCAAAGGATGTGACCCTGTTTGTCCTCTCGGATCTGCACTTCTCGCTTCCCTGCCCCTTCCTCCATATTAAGCAAATCGATTAGGTCTTCATTGTAGATTTCGATGAACGATCCCTTGAGAGTACACTGCCACGTATCACCCCGCTCCTGCTTGAATTCCTTACATCGTGCAAATATAGTCGATACAGCTCTTGGAATGATGCCCATGCCATTCGAAGGATCGCTTGGGTCAGCATCAAGGTCAATGCCAGTCATAGTGAACGTCTTGCCGCTGCTGGTCTGGCCATAGGCGAGAATGGTACAGTTGAAGCCGTCAATAAAACGGGAGACAAGAGGCTGCGCCGTAGACGTGAAGAGCGCATGCTGAGTGGTAGAAGGAGGATGGACTTGGTCGAAAGTGAAGACTTGCTTCTTGCTCGTGCCGGCGGCAGGAGCGGTCGCTGTAGCGCCAGAGCCAGATGGAGGAGTGGCGTCCACAGAGATGGCGGTTGAAGAGACGGCATTGATAACTGACCGTTGAAAACGAGCGGGGATGGAACTGGTGTCCTGGGTGGTGGTCGGCCGGATGCGCAGGGCTGCAGAGTTGTGAACGAGCGTGACGCGAAGACAACGGCGCCTCAGCACTTACCGACTTGGACAGACGTCGTCGCTGCATTCGGCGGTGACGGCGCGGGCGCCATGGCGGGTAGACGACGTCGAGGAGGCGGCCGTCGTCGACCTGCGCAGTGTGGGAGTGATAGAAAACAACCTACGGACAGTGCCGGTTATGGCCAAGGTATGTTCGCGATCGTTACACCTCCTTAGGTCACGTTAATGATGGCATCAATATTCCCAAGGTGTATACATAGCATTAGTGTAGTTCCTTCAACGATCTTCCTGCTGTACCTGATCGTTGTGTAGCCGCATGGTTCAAAGGTTTCCTTGCCTCCCAGAGACAACTTAGTCAAAAATGCCGTTGCTGTTGTCTTCGAATCTCCTGCACCACAAGCATCGCCGTTTCGCACCGCACTGTGACTCAGACATTTACGATGGGCCGTGACTGAGTAATACGTAGGATACACGAGGCCCGTAGCAACCAAGTCTAGACTACCAGTGTCATGTAAAGAACCGAGTAGCTACTTCGTGCATGGACCGATCGGTGGCAAAAGAAGTCCGACCTGGAACAAGATCCACTTTTTCACCACTGTTGATGAACCGCAACGAGGACAGGAAGTGGCCCTTGCGGCCGGTGACAGGATCCTGTGCGTCGTCATCGACCATCTACCGCAGGATCCACCATCAAAGGCAGACATTGCCCTCGACGCCACTCACAGGACCTGTTCTCGACGCGTCCTCGATTCCCCCAGGCTGTGCGCCGAGATAAAAGCGTCTTACGACATACATCTTTCTTAGACTCCGCAACGTCTTTCCGTCGCTACTAGAGAAGGGCGAACATCCTCCGAACGGCATCTGTCCATGGTCTCCCGCCCGAGCATATCTGACCCGCGATACCATTTTGCATGACAGCTTGCGCGCTCTTGTGTTTCAAAAACTCGATTACTAGCGGGACGACGCATTCAACATCTGTTGCAGGTGCGAAGAACAGATGATAGTCGGAGGGTGCTGCGGATGGCTCGGGAAGGGCAGATCCATGCACCAATGAATGGATTTCATGCGGATATCAATCAAGGTAGGGAGATGCATCGCGAGCTTGCTGTGTCGTAGCGGTGAAATTACAGCACCCCGGATGATATGGATGCTGCTCGGTGTCGGCAGCTCCCATAATAAACGCTATGCATTCCTGATGAGGGTGATCCTATACATACGCAACGTGAGCACTTGCGACGAGAACACTAAAGATGACGTCGCTTACGAAGGATGATCTTCTCTATAGACACCTAACAGTGTTCTATTCTGATTGCTCCGAAACGCCTGAGACTTTGCCTGCATCGCAGGGGCGTTTTTCAGGTATCAGATGGCATCCATAGAGCAAAGTTCATCGAGTTGGCATCAATTTCCTTGACAGCTACAATGAACAATTCCATAGGCGTGGCAAGCTGACCATGCGGCGGGATGACACGGTGACCCCGGCACATTCCGCAATCTTTATTATGGCCAAGACACAGAAATAAGATGACGACTTGAGCATTGCAACGATGACTCCGAGTCGAATCACCCCACATGCTATAAGGGCACATAGCGCTCTGTTGGACTTCAAGCGCACAGTACATGTGCGACATGGCACTTATGGTTGAGGAGCAGTCCGGACAGCACAATGGTCGAAACCCTATATCATCGGAGGCTGAGCAGAGCGCGAATAAAAAGATGGTCCGAATTGCCCAGTAAAACGAGACTGAAGCAACCACATTCTTTGAGATTATACGGCGATAAGCACAGCGCGTTGTACTTCTTAAAGAGCGATCTTGACCCACGTACGGAGGAGACTACCCATGGACGCGAAAGAGTTGGGAACTTGAATCTCTAGATACTCGGAGCATCGCATGCGTATCCCAACAACCGTGGGAGAACTATCAGTGAACAACATTTAGCGGCCATATGGGATCGGATAGCAGGCAGAAAAGACACGCTGGTTACGCTTCGAGTGAAAGGTCGACGAGCAGTATGCGAATCGAAGCCAATGGGAAGCGTATCCGCGATCCAGATCGAATCAGTTCGTGTCGGATCGAATCAGAAAGCCCTCGTCACTGCTGCGGGCACTGCGCCCGACGTATACACTGACATCCAAGTACTCACCGCGCCTTTGCCGTTTTCCAGAAACCGCTCAGCCTTCTGCAGTAGTAGACTGCTAGTCCTCTGCATATATTATGGCTCCGCCCGAAATTCACTCCCTCGCGCAGACTCAGACCGCCATTACCTGCCATTCGTTCAATGCTGACCGCTCCGGTGCGCACACGGGATGCATTATGAGACGCGGGCCCCTATTGACGAAAACTGATCGCAGAGGTGGCGGTGAGCCTGAGCTCAAACGATGTGCAGATCTTTGCTCGCCAAGGACAGGAGTGGAAGCAGACTGAGACGTTGTCTGAGGTACGTTGTCTGCCATTGACTCTGCTACCGCAGAGAGTCTGACAGACCTACGCAATCTACCGAACAGCATGACAAGATCATCACCTCTATTGACTGGGCCCCGAACTCGAATCGTATCGTCACCGCCTCGCAGGATAGGAATGCCTACGTCTGGCAGCTGAGCCCCGACCCGCAGACAGGTCGGACGATCTGGAAGCCCACGCTTGTGCTGCTGCGAATCAATCGCGCTGCCACGTACGTCAGATGGAGCCCGAATGAGGACAAGTTTGCAGTCGCGAGCGGCGCTCGGTAAGCACACTGCAACCAGCAAAGGCTTGCTGCACGTCTTGACATTCTCAAAGTGCAATCGCCATCTGTTCCTTCGACCCCGAGGGCGACTGGTGGGTATCCAGGCTGTTGAAGAAGCCGATCAGGTCCACCGTGCTTTCTGTTGATTGGCACCCCAATAACGTGCTTCTCGCTGCTGGGAGTGCGGACATGAAGGCGCGCGTCTTCTCCGCATATATCAAAGATGTGGACAAAAAGTGTGTTCAGCCAATCCCGTATAGGCATGACCTATCTTACTAACGAGACTGAAGGCCCGCGCCGTCTGTCTGGGGAGAGAAACTTCCATTCAACACGATCTGCGGAGAATACACCAGCCCCGCAGGTGGTTGGGTCCATGCAGTCGGGTTTTCACCCTCTGGAGATGTTCTCGCCTTTGCAAGTGCGCAGCCATGACATATAAGATCGATATGTGCTGATAGTCCTTTACTCAGGCCACGACAGCTCTATCAGCATCGTTTACCCTGGAGGGCCTGCGATGTACACGATCAAGCTCTCCAGTCTGCCTTTATTGACCCTCACTTGGACGACTGAGAACGCGCTCGTTGCTGCCGGACATGACTGCCAGCCTCTCGTCTTCTCCGGCAGCGAAGGCGGTTGGGAGCTCATCGGGAGCCTTGATGATCCGCACGCGAACAAGAGCTCTGGAGGAGCGCGCTCTGGCTTCGGCGGGGCGTCTCCCATGGGACGGCTCAACAGCGCTGCCTTCAACGCCTTCCGCAACGCCGACTCGCGCGGTATTTCTAACGTGCCGGGCTCACCGACTGCCTCGTCGTCGGCTGAGTCCGAACTGTTCACGGTGCATCAGAACACTATCACTAGTGTGCGGCCGTACGAAGGCGCGCCGGGTAACATCACGAAGGTCAGCACTTCTGGAGCGGATGGGAGGCTTGTGGTGTGGGATGTGAACCAGATTACCCCTATTGGGACGATTGGTATCACCGGGCGTATGGCTGGCATGCGTATCTAGGAGAATGTGGATACGTGCTGTGCACAACTGTCAGCAAATCATAACGTGTACTATAGTATACAATACATTTCTGTCACCCTCGCCATTACCAGGATGATAGTGGTCAAGACTTCGCCGATATCACCCTTTTGTGATATCAGCAGTAGCTTCAGCAAGCTCAGCAGATCTTTCGCTGTCGACGGGTTGCTCGTTGATAACTGCCCAAACCGATGCTTTGAACTAGTCTCCGTGTCAAAGCACGGCGGCTGAAACAGATGTCAGAACTACGTACCAACGTCAAAACCAGGCCCATCTTGACCTCCAACGCCCTCAATCGTTCCAATAGAGTCTCATTAGGAGCCTCGCTTAATCTTCGCGTCTCCGCTATGAGCTTGGACACACGGACATGGGACACGGGCGGGTATGCTTCAGCACCAACCGGAAAATACGCGTCTGTGGCAACTACGCACCTCTTTAATGTTTTGCGACAGCTTCGCATACTGCCACAGCACCTCTGCTTCGGTCGCTGAGAGGTTGGGGTGGCCGTCGTATGGGTTCGCGTCGAATATACCAGCGCCAGATGGCGTGGTCGTCATGATGGGACGCGCAAGATGCCAGAATGTAGCGTCGCGCGGTGCAGCGCCACAATCGTGTAGCGCTCGTTTCTTAGTTCACGACATCGACCATACGGCTGCCCGTCAACGTTTCGACGTTCGACCGTGTCTTCCTGAGTGACCGTTGGAGAGTTGGAGGCCTTGACTAACAGCCTTTGGTGAGCTGCACTTCCATGGCGGTTTCATTGCCTCTCCATCGTTCTACCCTATGTTCAGGCAGACTGGAATGCATAACTTGTGGGATAACCGGCTGGATGCTCTTCCAGCCCTTTCGGGGCGCGGACGGACCTCTGAAAGAACATCTCCAGACGTCAAACTAAAACGGCGCATAGTATGCAGAAGTCACTTCATTTCGCGCAATATTAGCCGAAACAATTCGCATAAGTGTCAAGGCTGTGATAGTCGGACGCTGTACGAAGCCCGGCCATATGCGGAATGCTCCAGAGGGTTCAGCAGAAAGTGTCTTTGACTGTTCCGCCTTCCTCAGGCTTCTGAACTTCCTGCATTTCGAGTGGAGGCTGACGCCACAATTTCGCAGATGTCCGCAGGGATTTCGAATGATACCGTTCCACACATTCGTTCATCCACACGGCACACGGCGCCGCTAGTGGACCCGTGGCGGCCGCGACGTCGAGGACCGGAAAACTTACTCGAAACCTACCGCTGATTTGGCTCCGTTGGGGAAGACCCTAAGATGGATCTGATTATTAACCATAGCTCATGTTCCGAGCGCCGATGATCTTGAATGCCAGGTGCGCCATGCGGGTCACGTCAGTCTGGCAGGAAGGCACTGCGTACTACGCTAGCGCAGCAACGTTCATGTTTCACCTACACGCCACACCATGACCCGTAATCCGCAAGATAGCCCGTTAACGGCTCTGTACTAGCGCAGCAAAGACTCCCAAATTAATCAAACGAGAACATCGTTGGCTTTCTCGTATTTAATAATTTATTATCCGTGGAAGAAATTGCCCGTCGGCGATCTTGTCGTTGTTGCCTCTAAAGGCACGCTTCGCGTCGCCCCGCCTGTTTGTCTCGACTCTCGAGCCGGTATCAATTTACACACTGACCCCTCGGCCTCTAGGTCGGCCATGACAAGTCGGTGCCTGGCTCGACCGACGGGCTGTGTAACAAGTCTTCTTGAACGTGCTCATGCGGCAGATGTTGCGCAACCGCAGGGCAAACTCGTCGAAATCGCGCCCACTTTTCGCCGCGCATCCTCTGCTCTCTCTATGCGCCTTCGATAGCCGCCACAGCCGCACCATGTGGTGCACTTGTTAGAGTTTCCGCACAATAGCCGTCCATTCTTCACGTCGGTTATCTGGCTGCATTTGAAGGCCTGGCTGCACCCTCAGCATCGTCACTCAAGATCCTTCTGCGGTGATTGAAAAGGCTAGCCAGATAGTCAGCGACTTTTGCCTCTCGAGCCTTCTGATGGGACTCCGTTCGTGCTCCTGGATGCGATACTGTCGGCGAAGGCCTGGACTGCGGCGCTATATTCATCAGTGGGAAGCGACCTGTACCCACAGACGTCCACACATCAGATCTTTACGTCTTCTTGCAGCACACGGCCGTGCTCTCGGCAACAGCCTGACATCTCTCATCTGCATCATTTTCAAAGTGACATATCATCCCGGCGCATCACTTCCATTTTCTTGCTATTGGGAATAGATGCTACTGCGGTGAGTGGGAACATTCTCTCAGGTGCCGTAAATGTCTTTTGAGTAACGGCAGACAGCATGCCAAGATATAAATGTTTCCGACGCTCCAATTCGGGCGGCCATCCTCGTGATGAACTACACGAGACATGATGGTCGAGGTCGCATCATGTCACCGACTCTATCAGGATATTGAAGCATGCGTATCCAACTGAACTCATCCGTCTTGCGTTGCGTACGTTTTCGACAAGCTCTGAATGATGGTACGTGGGATGGTTTTGCGGCTATCATTTCGCCGGTATCGTAGGAAATGAAAAAAAAATCTATGTACGTCTGCCATGATGTACCTAGCATGTGCAGCCAAAATTTTCCCAGAGTTCACGTCGTAACGCTTCTTCAGTGACTGCCTTAAAAGTCATGGCTTCCGGCAAACTGAAGAACTCAAAGTCTAAAAAGAAATGAAATTTGCCGTCGGCGCGGAATTGTAAATTGGAGCATCGGCAATGCAATCACATTCCAGATGCATCGTGACGTTGGGCAACGATCAGCCGAAGCCGTGCACGATGAGGGCAGGAGGCGGTTGAAGGTTGAGCGCAGTGACGAGGTAGGCAAGGGCAGGCGTGGGGGGAGTGTGGCGATAGGATGTCAGGAGATCAGGCTGATCATGTTGCGCGATCTGTTTGAGTGTAAGGAAGCACGCCCTGGACACGAGGATCTCAGACGGAGGGACAAGACAATAAGCACGGGCGGCAACGCTATGGAGACAATCCCCTTTCTGCGGGCGCCTTGCGTCTCCCGCGCTCGAGTACCAGCCATTTGTGTTCCCTCGTCGCCTTGTCGCCGGTCGCCCTGTATTTGGCACTGACAAGCTGTCCGCGTACTGCCATGTCACTTTTCTTATATACCGCAGTTTTCAGTGTCAGCGCATCACCCCCCACTTTCATCTCGGTAGTTTTCCGACTTTTTGCAACGCCCGCCTCGCAGACAATTAACAGCTTTAGACGGCCTGACGTCCGGAACGAGGCTGCTAAATCAGGGGCACAGCATTGCGCCGAACCCAATGCGCATGAGTCTCCCCGGGAACAATTGGCAAATGTCTCAGGTAGACAATAGCCTTCAACCTGATGCTATAAGCTCGGCCATCCCCCTCCGTTCCCAGAGCTCGCGATACGCTGAGCCGCCGTTCACGTCACAGTGCCCCCGCGTCAGCACTGGGACCCTTTCCATCTCTTCTAAACGAGCGCCCCGACGGACAATGCATGGTTTCGCCTTCGTCCCTCGTCCCTTCCCTCCTCCGTCCCTGGCCGATGTTCCCCTTGAGTACGTTATTGATCAGCTACGACGCTTCGCTCCTCACTATTGGAGCAAGCCAGAGACGTCCGACTGTACCATTGGTATGTGATGGCGCTCATGCGCATAAAGGAGCTCTCATCTCATTACATCCTAGTCGTTCCTCTCGGTACAGGCTCTTCAGTTGGAGCGTCTCCGAATGTAGAGTCCACAACGATGTCGCCGCCTAGCGATGGCGCTTTCCTAAGCTTCGGTCAACAAGCGGAGGAATCGCCCCTTCGTCCAGCACCCTGCATGGTCATGCAGGTAAGCACACCTCCTATTCAATATTCTTCGCACTGACGCGAGTTTATAGCTTCATATGGACTATCTATGCGCACACTCCACTCTACTTCGCGGCCTACTCAGCGGAGCTTCGCCCTTCGACCTCCTCGCTAGCTCCTCGCATTCGTTCGCGAGCGCACAGGTGCCGATGAGCGGAAACGCTCTGCCCTGTCCCAGCATACTGCCTTCTCCACCGACCCGCCCATCGATCTATCTCCCCATTCCGGACCCGGCTTCCTTCCGCATGCTCGTTCATTACATCTACTTCGGCTCCACGGAATTCATCGAAGACGCCCTTGACGAGGGCAAACTCAGCTGGGAAGGTCTCGCGCGCAATGCCGAGTACCTCGGGATGGGTTCGGAAATTAAGGTCTTCCTCGGGCATTGGTACACCCGATGGATGCGCGGTCGTGCTCCGGGCGGTTACGACTCGGACAGCGAGAACGAACACGAGGCGGAGGACGGTTCCGGAGACGAGCTGGAGATGCCTATGCAGGATATATCTGCGGCGACGTCTCCGACCGTCTTTGACCCGGACGAGATGTACTACAGGGCGGATGACGAGGATGAAGATTTCAAGAAGGTCCACGAAGCGCCTCGCGGTCGGCAGAGGACCACTCGTCGTTTGGGACATGCCACTTCCGATCCTGGCCTGAGCAGCTCTTGCCAGCAGGTGCTGAAGAGGGCTCCGCGCGGACGCAGTAAATAAGCGTTTGCACGTTCGAGCCAACCGTTACCGAGTCGTCTATGATGCGGCCCCTAACGATCTCCGAAATGACATTCACATTCACCCTTCGTCGTCCCATTTGTTTCGTCCGCGGTCAAATAATAATATTTTACGTCATTGCTGCTCTCAGGCACGCTGACTTCCCTTCGTAGGTGCCATCTTTCTTTGGAGCCTTTCACGGCAAAATGTACTCATTTCGCACATCCAGGCACCTTCCCTGTTGTTGTTAATCATTGCTATACGGCTCGAATGAAGGCCTACGCGCACGAACCTGATCACGACAGACCCTCCTTTGTACCTACGGCCTCCGCCTCTTCCTGTCATTCAGCGCATCGCCACTTTAATGCTAACCGTAATATCGAGTATCGAGACGCGGCCCAGGCTCCCGGGTTGTTCTAAACGCTGGGATGCGCTTGTAATGCGGGAGTTCAAATCGCGTGGCGAGTAGTACCGTACGCTATAAGATAGCAACTGTAGGCAATATTAGTTGTAGGTGTGTCAGCAGTTGAAACGTCGCTCTTTTTGATTTCGATGTACTACCAGTAGTTTATTCAAGCTGACCGTAGACTCGTGTCGTGTCATGTTGTGTTCAGACTACTGCCGGCGTCAATGCATCGACCGTTCGTTCTTCAAGTTGATGGGACCTGAAGGAACCTTTAGTACCCTCGTCCCCCCAAGCTCGTTCTTCTAGCGTGAAGATTCAGGAGACCCTGACCAGCGTCAAGTTAGGAGAGATCGATCATGGATGTATAGCGCACGAGATCGTTTCGAATAACAGAGTCGGAGAGGGGTTAACCATACGCGCGCAGCGTCGCGGCGATTGAACAACGCGTGTTTGCCGTGGTCTCCGCCATTTACTGTCATATAGTCAAACATCTCCGGAATGACCAAAGGTGTTTCAGCGACATTGCGAAAGCGAGGGAATGGAATCACGTAATCCAAGAAGCATTCCTGTAGTCCGTGTTGGGCAGATTGTGTCAGCTCAGAGAGTTATATGAGACTTCTGAGCATCCTTTGATGGAAGCATCTCTCCTCGACCGATTGGAATACGCATTCTTGAGAGTGGTATAGCGGGGATTTCAGCCCTTGGCACTTTGACACCGAGCAGATTATTGGCAGATCGCTAGTCACGAGGGCAACGTCCTTCACCGTCAGAATAGACACCACACAACAGTACAATGAATTATATATCATCCTGGGTATGCGTGCAGACCTAAAGTCAAAGTAGGGTAACAAACATGCTTGAGCAGGTAAGAGCGTGCGGAACATCAGTAGCGGATGCAGGAGAATGCGACGGAGGAGCCATTATGCGAGGAGCGACAAGTGACACATGTACAACGCTGCATCGACGTTTTGGTCCCATCAACGTTCTGACACCGAATCGCAGAAGAATACAGGTCCACTCACCGGAGCAGAACGTACTGAAGGAACCACAACCCATTACCTTATATCTAGTGTTAAGCCACATACACAGAACATAAAAAGGTCCCAGCCGTTCCGCACTCTCATCCGCATCCACATCCACATGAACACGAGGAGACAGTGCTATGGGAGCCATATCTTGATCGTCTTGTCAACGCTCCCTGACGCCACTACGTTTACGAACTTGTGCTCTTCTGCGGCTTTGTCGTCCGTAGCAGTGCCATTGGGCTTTGCGGCTTCATCTGGGCCCGACATCCGCCCCCATGCGAGGCAGGTCACGAAGTGCCCGTGCGCCTGCACGGTCTTGATACATCTCCCGGTCGTGAGTTCCCATACGCGTATTGTGTAGTCGTCAGAGGCGGAGAGGAGGAACTTGCCGGTGGGATGAAACACGAGTGCGCGCACCCAATTGTCGTGGCCGGCCTGTGACAACGCGATGTTATTGAGTATGGAAAGTGCTCATCATCGACAACGATGTGTCTTACCAGACTACGGATCATTTGGCCACTTATCGTGTCCCAAATCTTGATAGTCTTATCTCTCGAGCCGGTGGCAATATATGCTCCAGGCCGCTTGCTCCGGTCATTATCCTACCTCAACAATGTCAGCCTTATGCGAAGTATAAACGGGTTGCCATCTACCGGGAGGCCTCCCAATTCTCGTATCGCGGCATACGACGAGACCGGGGCAAATGCGACTACTTCCAGTGTATGCTCGTGACCTCTCAACTCCATCTTCGTCTCTCCCGTTAGGGGATCACTGATGCGAGCGGTCTAAAGACAGACGTGAACTCTGTCTCCCAAGCAATGCTATGAAAAACGAACCTGGTCGTTCGAACAGCTCGCGACTAATCGTCCATCATCGGATGGTGCCACGCATCGGACCCAATCAGTGTGGCCAACGATAGTGCGCACCAGATGCCTACAATAACATAGAGACATAGTGAGAATGAGGAGCTTGTAGTCGATCAACGCGCAAAAGACGGACGTGGACGCAACATCAAATATCCTTATTGTCCGATCTCGGCTCGCACTGACAATTTGTTGGTCGCCGGGCATAAACCGGACAGATGATACAGTGTGTTCGTGGCTTGTGAGTGTCTTTGTGTTCCTCCAGTCATTCTGTGGATCCCAAATCTTGATGGTGAGATCGGAAGAGCATGTCACTGCATAGATGTCAGTACAAATGCAGTATTTCTGTCGCAACTTTAACCATCATAGAATATTCAAGCTGGCCACATTTCATGTTTCATGAATGCCATGCTCGTGATCAACAATTTCACGCCAGTACGAGCAGTGGGTGCCCGCCGGTACTGTTAGGTAGACGATTGCTCATGAACGTCTAGCATCGTACCAAGCAATGAGCAACGGGTACAGCAACGCGCCACCCACAAGGCCTTCAGCAGCAAGCATTTGCTATGCGCGCAGCGGGTCTCGTGGCATCTCATGGAGCAACAATGTGCACAACAATGATCCTGACACTTACCCAGCAGGTTGCCTTTACTGTCAAAATCAAGGTCATTAACCGCTCGTGTGTGGCCCTTCAACGTTCGCTCAAACTCTCCAGTCTCCCAATCCCATATCTTCACTGTCGAATCATCACTAGCGGAGGCAATTAAATTGAAAGCTGGATGGAAGGCCACTTTGAGGATTTGGCCACGGTGTCCTGTCAGAACATATGCGGCAGGTGCTCTCGGCACCCAGTCTGTTTGCATCTGCGCCCGTTTAGCGGGAGATAGGGAAAGCTCCTCCTGCAAAGTTGCATTCCGATTCTCCAGGTCCATGATCTTTTGCTTGTAAGCGCATATACCCTGCCACAGAACGAACGGTGCACCTTCTTTTGGAGGCGTATCACGCTCGTCCACTTCTTCTCCAGCAGCCCCGCATATTTCGCCTTGGGATCAGGATCATAGTCTATTCCTGCGTCCGCCTTTAATGAATTGAACGCGTCGGTGAAGTTGTTCGCGTGCAAGTATTCGAGAATGGCCTTATGACTACAAGCAATTAGAAACGGATGCCACTCCAGAGTGGCTGGGTCTCACAGCTCATCCTTCTGGCGCTCCGAGAGCGAGGACATGGCGGGCACAAGAATGTCTGCCTAGAAGCGGATGAATCCGTCTGTAACGAGAAGCGAGAGATGGGAAGTCGTCAAGAGGTCGTCGGAATAAAGAACGAGATGAGCGAAACGCGACCACGCGCGGACGGAGACGCGCTGCACAATGGCACGCGGACAGCGCTCAATTTGGAAATCGGATTGATGAAGAGTAGGACCCTGGAAACCGATCAGGTTTTCGACACCAGCACCAGCACCTCAGATTGAGCCCCTTTGGATACAAACTGTAGTATGCAATATGGATTCTCCTCATTCAAAAGGCATTCTGAACAAAAGCGTTGATTCCATTGAATCCATCTGTGCGACATTCTGAACTTTAAAGAAGTGAGCACGTGGCAAACGCTAAAATCGGTGGATATGCATCCTATATCACCCAGTAAAAGGGGTTTTTTTGGCCAGAAAGTCGGTGGAAGTACAGCTGAAAACATGTAAACGTGACATCCTGGAAAATGAGAGCTGCGAAGGAACTTCATATATTATGCTTGCCATATATTTGTCATTGGCCCTGCAATGCAACTGCGACGAAGCTCTACGTAATTTCTTGAAAGCTTAACCCGGATAGACCCATTTTAAGAACGATAAGATTTAAAATACAGCATTTTCCAGGGCCCAAGGCCAATGGGGGACTTCCGGGGTCCTCGGAGAGCAAATGACAATGCAATGAGTGTTGCGACACAACTCCTCCTGCTTTCCGTCATGCATTCATGTTCGCACTCTCTCTGTCAACGACTTTGTTTTCGACTTGCATTTTTTTCACGGCCATGGCCCGGGCACTCGCGACCGAACCTGATGGATGCAAATGCGGACCCTCCATGCCAAACAAAGTGGCCAGAATGGAAATACGAAGCGGGCCACTGGTGACACGCACAGGCCACTGGCCTTTCGGTGGTTAAATACCATCGTATTGCTCATTCCTGCAGTATCACAATGCCCCCAGACCGCCGTAAGCCCATGTCGCGTTTCCGATCCGGCCTTGTTGGTGGCGGTCGTGTGTCAGTTGCTCCTGCTCCAGATGCGCCTTCGAGCTTCCGTCCATTCAGCCCTGTTCCTCCGCAAGCCATTAATGACCCTCCTGCTTCTGGTTCTCATCCGACGACCCTTGCAAATCAGTCGAGACCTAGAAAACGATTCGTACGGAAACGCAACAAGTCTGTTCCGAGCCCGTCCAATGGCAACTCCGCTGCTGCCTCTGCTCCTGCGCCTGCGCCTGCGCCATCTGACCCATATGGGCGACGATACCCGACGACCTCTGACCAGCTGTCGCGGTCTGAACTATATGCTCAACTTGCGCTCGACGAGACTATCCCGTCGCCATCCAACAGAAGCAGACGTCCGTTCGAAAAACCCACTCCCGGCTCTTCGCGTCTCATCATAGACTCCTTGCTCGCTGACGCAAACGCTTCTTCGACGACCGCCGCTCTGAAGTCAACAGCGTCTGCATTGAAATCGGTGCAATCGATTCTTGCATCGACATCATTCACCCTATCAGCATCCCAGAGGCCGTTTAAATTGCCTGATCAGATTCGGCAAACATTCGAGGGCCCCGAAATAAAGCACGGAAGCAGTCAGACCAGCGGCCCAAAGCGTGATGGGACTGATACTGCACGCCCAGAAGTTGCTGCGGCGAGTGCGGGACCGTCTGTACTAGCTGCAAAACTGTCTGGTATATCAGTGAAGTCATCTGGGCTAGCTGCAGGATTACTCGGGGCAACTCTAGGAACAGCGGGCTCAGATGGGGATTCGGATAAGATCCGCAAACCTCCTCTCACTCGTGATGACCTCGAGATTGTGCGCCGGCTCGGTTAGTCATATTTTGCCTGGAGCCAGTGATACGTCCTGTTCATCGCGTCAAATGTTCAGGTGCCGGAGGCTTTGGGCAGGTCAACCTCGTGCAAGTGAAGTCGAACCCGGAAACGCAGTTCGCGATGAAATCAGTTCAGAAGGCATTCCACAGGGAGCTGGAGCGCGTATGTACATCCATCTAATCAATTCCGGACTGTTGAGAGAGCCGACATTTGGTGGGTTTCAGAACTGGTTTAAGGTGCAGGGCCCGTACGTTAAGGAAGAGAAGAATAAGGAACGGCGCATCCTGTCCAAACTGCCGTGGAATCCGTTCATCTGTGGCCTCGTAGATGCGTTCCACGACCAACAGAACTTGTATTTGCTCCTCGAACTCGCGCCTTGCAACTCGCTGTACGAGTACCTGTACGAGCACGGGCCGCTTCCGGCCGACCGCGTGCGGTTTTACTTCGCGAACCTGGTGCTGGCCCTTGAGTTCATTCACTCGCACGGCATCGTCCATCGCGATGTCAAGCCGGGCAATATCCTCATGGGCGCGGACGGATACCTGTGCCTGACGGATTTCGGATGCGCGTTGGAGCAGGAGCTCGATTACGAGTGGGAACGTGTCGGCACTGCTGATTATGTCGCGCCCGAGATACGGCCTGAAGAGCTCGTATTCAGACCTCGAGGGAGCAGGAACCTTGATGCGAGGTCGCTGCCGCCACCCGAGGCGCGCCACATGATCGACTGGTGGGCGGCAGCGATCACGCTGTACGAGATGGCCACGTTCAAGCGGGTACGTTTCCTTGTGTAATGGTGTGATGCGCGTTATTCATTATGTGCTCGCCCAGCCCTTCCACGGCGAAGACGGGCACCAGATCTACAAAAACATCAAGCGGCAGGTTATCCCGTGGCCAGAGGATCGCGAGATTGACCCAGACCTGAAGGACCTCGTGATGAAGATGCTTATCGACGATCCGCTCAAGAGGTACGGTTGTTTTGTGGCGAAGGAGCCTGGAGAGGAAGTGGGGATGAACGACGAGGTGCGCATTCATCCGTTCATGTGGGGAAAGGTCAGCTGGAAGCGTATAACGGAGAGAAGAGAATTGGTTTGTGCTATCCGTCGTACTTATCCGTCATGGACTCCTGATTGACGTCGTACTTAGGCGCCGGACGTTCCGAAGCCGGAACCTGACATGACGCAACAATGGCAGCAACAGGGCATGCCCATGCCGTGGCACGTACCAGGGTTCGACCTGGCTGCGGTGGCCACCGAGCGCGCTTGGGACAACCGGTTCGAACATCGATGAAGGTCATGCCGTAAGATGGAAGGTGCTCATGTTGTCGATCTACTGTCTTACAATTAACAGGTCTTCATCTTTCTGTCTCTTTGGCATCTACATTGCATCTGATCTGTGTCAAATTTTGATCTGCGTTAACGATACAAATTGCTCGTGGCTCTGCTTTAGCATCTCTTTTGTAGATATTAAGATCGATTAATATTCTCCGTATCTTGTTCCTTTGTACAGAAGTGGCTGGTCTCGTCGTTTTGATGGACCGGTTTTGCTGATGTAATCTGATGTCTTTGATTTGATGATTTCAATGCCTCCGGGCAGACAATTGTCAGCGCGGGACTGATGGCGGTGAGTCTTCGTTGTATATTATGTCCACTCAGGACTCACGTGAATGATAATGTCGTCGGGATGTTTGTAGCACCATGCTGGCCGGAACTCTAGTGAGCACTTAGGTGATCTTCGGGTGGCTCGCTCGATCCCTTGTGATAGAGTACTCTCTCGCCAAATCTCACATGATCCTGCAGCTTCAGTCAACGTCCGCGAGATGATGCTGCCTTGATGGGACTGTTCGCTCTAGTATACATACCGTGAAGCTAACAGAGCGCGCTGTGCCAGATTCGCTTGTAAGTGGCGGTGTTGGTCATCATGCATCGTGGAGCCAAATTACGTTTAGATACTCCGTGTAGGTCGGCCACCGTTCTAGATAGGGTACTCGGGGCCGCCGTGTGAAGACGGTTTCCATAGACCCGACGAAGGTTCAGTACCACGAACACTCCGAGTCTAATCAGAGTGCCGGTGAGCGTTTTGTAACGGCTATATGTGCTATCTAGTATGACTTTTATGAGTTTTTCGTGCGGCAGAATGATGGCTACTACTCACGACAAGATCCGCGACTGCCGATTTGGCATAGCTGGTGAAGCGATTCATTCTCTGATCACATTAATGAGCTTCCAGAGCGTTAATGCCAGAGACTCTATGGCAATTTGATGCTGTCATTTGATTTCCTTCGTGCGATTTTCGGCATCACGGGGTCATGAGCATCGAGATAGCTGCGGGCGGTCATACGGTGATTATCGAACTAATCTCTAAACGTTCTGACCCGACGACCACCGTTTCATTGTCTGAGGTGAGTATTCATTTCGAGCGCCAGCTTATCTCCAACTGCCGTCAGTCCTCTCCCTAGCGCTTTCCGCAGGCTTCCATCAGTGATTGTGGCAGGTAGGAGAGCAAGCAAACTACTTCCCTGAACATCGCGTATCTGTCAGACTGAGCTTGGGCGCTGTGGGACCGCATGGACAACGGAGTAACATGATGCGTCGTTAGCGACTGTCTTTGTTCGACCCATTGTATGAAGCGATAAAAGGCGTCTGCCGACCTGTCGTTGCCTAGGGTTCCGCTTCCCCCGTTCGCCCGCGATGGCCGACTCAGCTACGCCCCACGAGTACGATAGCGAGAAGGACTCCACCAAGTGCTATGCGGAGAAGACACCTAGTACATCCGAGGAGAGTCCAGGCGTAGGTGATCTCGAGGTGAAGGAGGTGGAAGCACTAGAGGAACGTTTGGAAAATGACGAGGCAAGTGACAACGAGTATCGTGTCGGGGAAGCATATGAGGTCGCGATTAAGGTGAGCTGTTGGTCATCAGCAGATGCAGAGTGCATATATCAAGTGCCGCATCTTCAGGTGCTGTCGACTCGTGACGATCCCGAATTACAAGCCGTTACTTTTCGCACCGCCGTCCTCGGTCTCGGATTCTCCGCGTTTGGCGCTGTCCTCGCTCAAATATATTACTTCAAGCCGCAGACCATACTGGTTTCCCAGCTGTTCTTGCTTGTGCTTTCCTATTGGTTCGGGAACCTGATGCATATGTTCCTGCCGTCTCGAGGCATTTTCGCATGGCTCAATCCTGGTCCATTCAACATCAAGGAACATGTCGCGATCATCATCATGTCTTCCACTGCTGCAAATTCTGCCGTAGCGATCCAAGTCATCTCGGTGCAGGACCGTAAGTGATGGAAATCTCGCGGGAGCTCACAATTTGACCTCACCGGAGAAACGTTTATTAGTGTACTACAATAAGAAGATGGTGAGTGGCACCAGCCATGCATATTATTCTCTGAAAGGCATACAATATTTGCTTTTAAACAGAATGCCGGGTTAGCGATCTTCACTCTGGTCGGGTCGCAATTGCTTGGCTACGGATACGCTGGTTTGCTCCAGGATGTACTCGTCAAACCCACCAAGTGCTTCTGGCCAATCAACAGTGAGCTATTTTCCCGTGCACGTCATGCTGCTCATGGTGATGACCTCGGTTCCGTAGTTCCCATTGCCAATCTCTTCCAAGCCTTGCATTACGACCGGCAAATGACTTCTAAACGTGTGCGCCTGTTCTGGACCATCTTCACCGTGATGTTCTGCTGGGAAATTATCCCGCAGTGTATGCACTGTCCTTTACTTCAGTTGTAGCACCGTGACTGACCCGAATGGTGCATCTGCTGTAGGGGTCTTCCCGGTACTAACTGGGGTGTCTATATTCTGTCTGGCCGACAATCAAAGCACTGTCGTGCGGAATGTCTTCGGTGGTGCTAGCAACAACGAAGGGATGGGCTTGTTAGCGTGGTGCTTTGACTGGAATCTCATTTCCAGCCAGTGCCTCTACAACCCCTTGTGGTTGCAAGTCAATCAAGACATTGGCATTGTCCTCAGCTACGTTCTTATGGCCGCTGTATACTACGCCAATATATGGAAAGCAAAGCAGTTCCCTTTCCTCAGTCAAGCCATCTTCGTAAGCCATGATTATTTGTACGACAATGGAGCCTTCATAAACCTAATGAGCAGGCTGAGAATGGATCGCAATATGATCAAACGGCTCTGCTCACAAACGGCAAGTTCAATGCTACGAAGTATGCCGAGCTTGGTGTAGGCACAATACTTTCTTTATCGCCGCAAGGTCACTCAATTCAGTTACAGCCCGCCTATTTCTCAGCAACGAACGCCCTCTACCTGATCACTACAAACCTGTCAATGGGCGCTATCGTCACTCACGTGTTCCTGTTCCACTGGAACGACCTGAAGCCCGTGTTCCAGGTTCTCAATCCTTGGAACAAGAGCCAATACTTGGTACATGATGTGGTGAGTAGCACTGTATGACAATCACGTTACGGCAGTGAGCTAACAATAAAATAGCATTATGAGAAATTGAAGGTCTACAAGCAGATTCCTCGCTGGTGGTACATTGTCGTGCTGCTAGTTGCATATGCTATCGCGCAAGCCAGTCAGTTACCCTCTCTTTGCAATTGTTTCCGCCTATAACTGTTTGTACTCTTTTAGCCGATTATACTGCACATTCTGGCATGCCGTGGTGGACGTTAACGGTGATCATTATTATGTCATTTATATTTTGTTCTCTGTACGGGCTTCTGGCGGCGACAATCGGGTTCTATGAGTTCACGTCGTCCGGAACTGGATTCTTCCAGATGATTACAGGTGAGCCGGCAACATAGCATGCGGAAGTGGCCTCGTAGTCATCAAGGACACAGCCTACATCATCCCTGGAGATCCTGTCGCAAACATGTATGGCGCACTTTATGGACAGCACTCTATGGTGCAAGCTATTGCCTTGCTGCAAGATCTCAAACTTGGCCAATATGTGAAGCTGGCACCTCGGGTCACATTTTGCATGCAGCTGATAGGTATGGTTTCGTTCTCACACACCGTCTCGCTGCTTGATCGCGAACCCTTACGTTGCAGGAACCGTCGTCGGCGCCATCTTGAACTGTAAGTCCTCGAATAATCGGCAAAGAGGTGTGATACATTAAGCACCGCAGATGTGATGATGTTGACAATCATTCAGAATGACAGAGCCGGTACGTGCATAGTTTCCTCTTCTAAAAGCTGCCATGTCTACTGAGAAACGTATTCGCCAACAGCGCTGCTAAGCATTTCAGGCACGCGGTGCGATTCCTCGTATCCAATCTATTAGGAGCATTGCTTGATGACGCACGCACTAGGTTGTGGTCTGGACAGAATGCACAACAATATAATTGTCAGTCACGTCTTCGTCACGTATTACTCTGCTTGACATGGTGCTATCAGCGAATGCAATTGCCTGGGGAGCTCTTGGCCTACAAATGTTTGGACCTCACGCGACCTATCGGATGGTCCCTATCTCTTTGGCGATCGGCGCGGCGCTTCCCATACCGTTCTATATCGCAGTGAGCACAGCTTCTGGACATTGCTTCCGCATAATGAACCTCACCCCCGGTTGAAAGCACCGCATATGGCCTAAGGCTGGTTTCCAGAACTTCAACACCTCGGTGATCATGCAGGTTAGTCATGATAAGTACCGTTTATGACTGTCGGCACTGATGTCTTTGCTAGTACTCATGCTACATGAGTGTTGGTATCAACACGTCCATCAAGTGAGTAGCGGTTTCGCATCAGTCGGTTGTCGCCTGACGTGGGAGTCTAGTGCAAGTATGGTCCTCGGCGTGCTGTCCCAGTGGTGGGTACGTACGCGCTACCCCCGTTGGTTCACCAAGTACAAGTATGTGTCTGCGGAACATGGTTTAACTCGCGATGTAGCTCACCGTGCGTCAATTCCCATCACAGCTACATTGTCGCTGCGGGCCTAGATGGAGGCACTCAGGTCATTAGCTTTATCCTGAACTTCGTGAGTAGTGACGGCTGAGGAGAAGCGGACCTGCGGGCTGAACACCATCGTTCTCTTTAGGCCGTCTTCGGTGCTTCTGGAATGGCGCACAATTTCCCATTCTGGTGGGGTAATGGTAGGTGATATACCATATGAAAACGCATGCATGCAGATTGATGGTCGTTCGTTAGATACGAACCTATCCGCGGACCGTTGCACTCCCGCATCAAATTGAAGACTGCTGCACATGCCACATGCGGTCCTGGTACGCACCTATTCATATGAAATAATGGTTCGGATGATCTTTCGCTCAGATGGTATGCCAATCCTGTGCTACGATACACGCGATGTAAGCAATAGTTACGATGATATCATGATCTATTCCGAATAATAGTCTTAGACAACACAAAATTCGTTATGATTCTTCCGCATCCCTTCCAACGTTTCGCCGTCTGAATTTTCTGAGCAAGTAAGATACCATCGGATTTCCGTTTAGTGTTGCTGTCTCTCAAGACGTTGAACCTGAAATGGAACTGAGAACCTAGTAGCCATCATCATCCGAGTCCCAGTCATCCGGCCAATCCATTTGACCTCGACTCGTCGAGGCCGCCGCAATGGAGGCACCCGAGACTGCGCCACCAGCCGGCGTAAACATATCATTCGGGTCAAGCTCCTCATCTGAGTCGGCATTCGGATTCGGCGTATCAAGACGCTCAGAAGCCGCAGGAGCATCTGAGGGCCACCGCACTGCGCGCTGCTCGTCTATTGTGAGGCCGCGTGCCATGGAGTGCCACATCGCGCCCAGGAGCCTGAAGGCACAGAGTTACCCCATCAGCTTCGCCTTCAATGGCATTGAACGGTGACAGAAAGCATAATTAGTCCCACCTGCTGTCATTGCCGGCACACCATTCGTTCTCCTGGAAGAGCGCTTGGCTGTGTGCGCCAGCATCGTCCAACTGCACGTTCAGCTCTTTTGCGGTGTGCAGCACCGTGTCCGCGTCAAAGGGGATCATCCCGATCCTTCGCACGGTCATGTACAGTCTGCGCACGTCGACGAGGAAGACCTCAGGGCGGGCAGAGCGTCGTTCTGGTGATCGTGGCCGGGGGCGGTCATCAGTGCCTGGACGGGGCGAACGAGAGCGCGAAGACCCCCTTCGGGGTGTCCTGTACCAGTCTCGCGAAGAGTATGTACTTGACGATCGGGAGGGGTAACTCGTATCATAGAGGAAGTCGTGCAGGTCGGACTTCCACTCCGAGGTGTCTAATCCTATAACATTGAGGGCTTTCCGCAATTTGGCCTCGTCATAGACGAGTAGCAGGGTATTTCTGCTGGCAGAATCACTGGGCGGTGTGGAAAATAGCCGTTGTAGTCGCTCGAGGACCGAATCTGCACTTTCGACTTGTGTCGTCCCAAACGCGAAATTCTAGCGTTGTAAATCATTGTAAGCTAGCCATTTTGAACAGCGGCTGATCAATAGAAGAATCACGAACTGCTCTAACTGTTCTGAACCCATTCCCAAGAAACCTGTTCTCTTCGACACGTATATCTGAGCTCGACTGCGCGGTAAAGCTACTGCCATCATGGGGGAATATATATTCCGTCAATCCCACGTCCAGAATCTTGTCACGCTCTTCAAACATGCGGGTGTCCTTCTTCCACATGTTCGCTGTGAGCGCGATTATGCGAAAGTTGACGTTCTGGAGTCCCGGCTTGAGAGACAGTTCCGCCATGTGTTCTCTTTTATATTCTTTGCGGAGTATACCGCAGAGGACGCTGCGAACCAGCGATCAGCAATGTGGAACCGAAAAAGGTATCTCATAATCAACGAACCGTTGATGCTCAAACGATGCTCGATGCCTGCCGGAATCAGTGAGATACTTGTTAGTTGTATACGCAGTGTTTGCCTTGCTCCGGTCTCGAGGTTCCGTATCACTCTTTGCCTTCCTCTTTGACGCATACGTATCTAGCTTCATATTCAATCCTACTTCCGTTTGAAAATCGATGAAAGAGAGCGACTGGAAGACCGCCGCCGGGCGGTCCGCTCGTGGGCGACACATCCGCGCTCCTGGACGGCTGCTAGGAACCAGCACATAAGACGCCCCATTTGGCAAAATACCTATTTCATAAGGATGTCAGTAGAGAATACTCCGGGTTGTTTGCCCCTTGTACGACCTAGCACAAGTCTTATGACATCGCCACTGGCTGGTTGTCCTTGCTTCAGGCGATCGTCCCAGGTCCTTATTGGACACTTCGTCAGCCTGCGGTAGAATACGAATAGGCATGGCTCACTTAATGTCCCATATGTGGCCCCCGAGCTGGTGGTAGGTGTTCGATGTGCTCTGCATTGCATGCGGGTGCAAGGCAGTGTGTGGCCACAGTCAACGTGCAGTAGTCACTCGTGGGCAGACGAGACAGTTCCTTCAACCACCGCGGGTTGCGATAACGTGCAGCGACAGCGACAGATGGCATCAGTCCGCGAACATGCCGATTCACGGTCACGTGTGCGCGTTTCTCAAGAGACTCGCCTGCTGGTTTTCACGTCCGCTCGCAAAGTAGGTGCTTCCTGCGGCGCGACGGAATAAAAATGCCATACATATTGTTTGAGAGAGCTACGACATCTAGAGATCACTGCCTACGCGCGAAAACTACAATGCGTGAGCGAGTACGTTAGTACGGGGATTGCAGGACAAATACATGCGAACACTTGATTATCCATGTCCGTGGTACCGTCCCGTTATACGTGCATTCTGTATCAATCAAACGAGAAGAAGAAAGAAAAAGAAGACAGAAGGACATAGCAGAAGAAGTCGTAAATAGAAAGCTGCGAGTCGCACAGCGCACCAGTGCATTAAGCGAAACATAGGCTGCGAACGAAGAGATCGAGCACTGGTGCCAGATGTTGGTGGTGATACACAGAACGGAAACGAAGCGCGCAGACTACAGCAGATAAGGTTGACACATAATACTGGGAGCAAGAGCGAGAATAGAAGCAGACTTATACAGACTTCCTGTTTGTTTCTTTGTTCGTGATCGTATGTGGTCGGGATGAGGTCTATATCCAAACAGAGGAGTAAATCGTCTCCGCGACGTCGCGTTCATTCGAATTCGTCTTCGTGGCGTCCGCGCAGAGCTCAAAACCCAGGCATCCCGCCCAAGCCCATGAAGTTCTGGCCGCCCACGACCGGCATCGGTCCCGGACTCGGATGGCGCATGACGCTCTGCATCGTATGGGGGTTCGCAAACGGCGTGCCCATGCTGTTCATGTTCATCTGCATCTGCATCAGCGGATTCATTCCCATCATATTCATGTTCATCTGCGGCATTCCCATGTGCTGCGCAGCGTACGCGAGCGCGGTGGGGTTTGACATCGCGAACGGGTGCTGGCCCGTATTGTTCGGCGAGAGTTGCCCAGGCGACTGCATGCCCATTGGGGACTGCGTCGGAGAGCCAGGGCCTTGGGAAAGGCCTTGGGCCTGAGCCTGAACTTGAGCGGCCTGGATCTTTTGCATAGCTTGCAGCTATGGCAACGTCAGAGACAATTGTGGCGTGCATCAAATAGGGGCACACCTCATAGAAGGCAAAGTCCTGCAAAAGCGAGGTACGTGCCGGATGCGTGTGGAAAATACGCAGCATCTCCTGCCCAGCATCCGGGAGAAGCTCCTGCGTGTCACGGGAGTTGGTCACAGGCTTGCGTTCTTGCGTGTTGCTGCGCGTTGATACGAGTGAGTAACGACACGGGCAATTCTCATAAATTAGGGCACATACTTCAGTCGAATGTGCCTGAGATTGGCATTCGGAATATCGCGCACGTAGATCCACCTGACCTTGAACACGCCCTTCCACTTGTCGGATGCCCACACGGTGCTGCTGCGAGTGTAGTCCACCTATGGGCGACTACTGTTTAGTTTTTTTTTTACTTCAGACGAAACGGTAAACAAGTCACTTACCGGCGTCAACATCTCCGCCATTCCACAGAAGTGCCCACTGGTCACCAACCGGCCAGTCAGTACGGAACCCATAAACGATGTCTGCGTTCACCTACCTCGCATTGACGCTGAAGAACAGGTAGATCGGGCCCCTGCCGGCTGTCTCCTTGAACGCCTTGTCAAGCCTCTTGTTGCCCGGGTCCGTCGAACTCCAGATCTCATACTTGAGCGACTTGTGCACATCGTCTTCCGTGTACGACTTGATGACAAAGTAGCGTGCCTGCAGCATCGCGCGTGAGCCCAGGAGTTTCCGCAGTCACGTCAGAGAAAGACGCACAAAGAGTGGCCTCGTGTCAAACTCCACGGGGTTGTACCCCTTCGTAGCAATCAATGTCGGCACATCCATCGGGGACGCGATGAAGTTGTCCATCGAACCCGCCTGCGAGTTGCTCAACGACTGAGCCCTGCTATGCGTCTGGTTGCCAATCGCGCCGGGTGAGGTCATACCCAACCTCGGTGGCTGCGCTTGATTCAGGTACTGCGCCGGGATCGAGGGTACGCCCGGGATATCCCCACTGTTGCCATTTTTGCCCTGGTAGAGGTTGTGCAAATTCGGATTGGATGCCCGCCCGCCAAGGATGCGTTCCTTCTGGTCCCACGTCGTCGTGCCTGAGGCCGTGAACGCTCGCTCGCGCCCGGTGGTCTGCTGTTGCTGTTGCTGCTGCTGCTCGTCGCGCTCGCCGCTACGGGATTGGCCGGTCTGTGCAGCCGGAGCCAGCCCGTGCCCAATAGGTGGGACGTACGCAGACGCACTCTGCACCGAGCCCTGGGCAGAGCGAGCATCCAGGTCCGTGACGAGCTGTAACTTGCGCGCAGACCCTCCATTGCCACCCGATCCGGATCGCATACCCGGAGCCTGGAATGGCGGGGGATGTGAAGGGTTGAAACGCGGAGGGTGCACGGACTGCCCTTGCTGGAAGCCCGAGCCGCCATATTGCTGGCTAACCTCCAGCGTGGACAGAGCACGCGTGACATCGTCAATGCCCGCATTGTTACCAAACTGCGCATTCGCAGTGCCGCCTCCAATCTGGCTGCGCCAGTCATTGCCCGGCGTGCTCCACGGCGACGATCGACCCATCGGGCTTCCTGGATACTGACCTTGGCTCTGCTGTACAGGCACACCGAAATATGAATCCTCCTCGGCATGCGTACTATCGTTTTCATATTCTTCATCGGCGTTGGTGGGACTGGGGCTCTGGGCGCCTGAATATGCTCCACCCTTGGCTTGGGCCTTGACCGGACCTGCCTGAATCGTGCCAGCACGTTTGAGGCCTGAGCTGAGGTGCCGCATACTAGCCGCGGCAGTGGGATAGTTCAAGCTCTGATGCCTACGAATGCCGGCCGACCCAGACGGAGGCGGAGACGGGCCGTGAGCGATCCCACTGGCAAAGTGGGGAGAAAGTGGAGACGTCGCAGAGGACGATGAGTCTGCGACGTGATGACCCTGATCAGAACCAGCAAGGCCGTGCTACAGAGATGTAAAAAAATGTATTAATGGATTACCGTCTATTACACATACCTCTTCCTCATCTCGGAGATCTCGCATGTCTCTCTCCCATTCTTCTTCTTCGCCATCGTGCCCAGCGATGGCGGACAGGCTGTTGAGAGTCCTCGGGGTGTGCGAGCCAGGCTGGCGACCGGGCTGTCCCCCAAATGCTAGCGAGACGGAAGCAAATTATGGTGGTCAATCTCCGGCTCGCACGATACGCCGGCACGCGCGCATTGACTCACCTCTATGATACTTCGTCGGGAGAGACGCCTGCCTATGGAGGGACGACTTCTCACCCACTGCTCCGATGCCGCCTACCCAGTCGGGGTCAACCGTCTCGTCGTCGGCCCAGATTTGCTCGGTCTGCGGGTCCTCGAGCTCCGAGATAGCAATTTTCGACGTGGGTCTTGCGGAACGAGAGGAAGCAGAGATGGTGTGGTGGCGACGGACACCGCCACCAGAGGTGTTGGCAGACGGAAGGACAGGAGGAGGAGATGTTGGGTGGCCCGTCTGCGACGACATGATGGGGGTGCAGAACGTGGGCGACAGGGAGGAAAGCACGAGAAATCAGCACGCGTCGACGCCGCCGACCAGCGCGTGCTCACACGGCCCGTCATTCGGCACCGGCCGGCTGTTCGGTGGCTGTGACGGTCACGGTGGCACTTTGTTGTGATGAACGCGTGACGCGGCACGTCGCGTGGGTGGCGCAGATTTTTCCTCTGACTTTACCCTGGTGACTGGCAATTGAGGATTATTAGGTGCACACCATATGCCCTTTGTGAAGCTCAGCAGAAAAACTGACTAGAGAAACTCGTTTGGTCAAGATTGCAGTCAAATCTCAAGTTTTCGTTCGAAATCTCTTCATGCGTTACATATAGATCTTCGCATAGAATGCACACGCCTATCAGCTCGGGCGAGTTTCTTCAGCTCCTGCAGCGATGCATACCTCCAGGAGGATGGCCCTCAGTCCTCGGTGAGTCTCTATAGTTGCTGCGTCATTTTCCGTCTAACATCCACATGCAGCGGTAGGCAATTCCGGTGGACCGGACTCAACTTGTCTACTTTACTTGCTTTCCTCCCTCAAGCAAAGCAAGCAACACAATATGCGCCTGCCCTTTCATCTCATATCACTACATGTTAATCATGCCTTACAAGCGTCCTCGGATGCCATGGCGGAATGCGCTGCGCAGACTGCACGCAGCCTAAACATCGACCACCACACAGCATCCATCCCTTGGGGTACTGGCCCCTATCCGCCTCTTCAAGAAAAGAGCAAGCCGTTCGAGCGCATCGCGCGGAACGCTCGTTATCAGACGCTCTTTCAAGTCATGACAAAGTACGACGCGCGCGCGATCGCTTACGGCCATCACGCTGACGACCAGGTCGAGACCGCTGCCATGCGCCTTGCGATGGGGAGCGGCCTTATCGGCGCAGGCGCGATGCGGCCCGTCCGCAGGTGGGGCATGGGTGAGCAGATGCCACTCGCGCATTTCGGCCCTGCGAGCATGTCAAGGTGGATCGTGCGTCCGTTGCTGACCGTGCCGAAGGCGAGCAGTGTGCAATGGTGCAGTGCGGTACATATTCATTCAGATTGCAGGACAGGATACTCGCAACGTGTGAGAAGCACGGCCTGCAGTACGTCACCGATCCCACGAACTTCCAGCCGTCGGTGACAATCCGCAACGCCATTCGACATACACTCGCTCAGGAGCAGCGCAAGGGTTCTGGTCCGTCTGCTGGTAAACAGATGACAAGAACACTGATATCAATTTCGCAGACAGCCGCAGAACCATCGTCTGAAGCAAAAGCGAAAGCCACACTACGTCCCGAAGTAATGACAGCCATTGAAAAGCTTCGCGCGCGTTGTCCCAGCCTGCCCTACGCGGAAGCCTTGCGCGAGTCGGTCAGGCTTGGCGGCCAGTACGTCGAACAGCTCGATACCCAAGGTCAGTCCATCGCTCTCAGCCCATACATTTCTGACCATCTTCCCAGTTACCAACTATCTCTCCTATTGCTCCCTCCCTTCCCCTCCCTCAACCGTCCTCCTCAATGCTGAATCTCTGCACGTCATCCCTGACATGGAAACACGGATCGCACTCGTCCGGCGCATCCTACGCTACTGCTCACCCCGCCTTTGGGGGAGCATCGAGGCAGAAGCCAAAGCACACCGTAATAGCCTCGAGCGAATCGTGCAATATGTTTGGGACACTACAAGCAACCCACACATGCGAACCAGATTCTCTTCGGGGTCGAACGTCGTCTGGGTCCCTGGGGTTGCTGAGCCCTCCGGCGTCTTCCGCCTGCGGCACACAAAATTTGAGCCCTTCCCGCACGTTTATGCGTGGCGAGCGCAGCGTGCGCCACCCCAGGCGGCGCATGCGGTTAAGCTCCTCGTGCGCAACGTTACGAACCTGCTTGTGGATCATACAACCCCGGAAGTGCAGGTGCTCTGGGACACGCGCTTCTTGCTGACGTTCCACCCGGAGAAGATGCCGCAGGTCGTGCGTGAGGCACTTCTTGCTGGGGGCTCGGATGAACAGGTGGTGATACAACCGACCATGATGTGGTACGCGCCGCAAGTGGTATGGAAGCGAAGTGACGGGACGGAGGAAGTCCTGGCGGATTACATGTGGGATGGCTTCCAACAGAAGTATTTCACGAAGAGAGAGGCGATAGACGGATCGTCATGGGTGAAGATGGAATTCATTCGGACATTGGGTGCTATATGAACGTTATTAATTGTCGTACTCAGGAGCTCAGACGGTTCATTGAAGAGAGCGCAGAGCACAGCAAAGTGCGCCAGTTCAGGCATTGTATCTATGACATATCTACAGTTAGCGCCAGTCTACGTGAATTTGATGCTGTAGCTTTGCATCTACAATCCAGTTCAGCAAGTTAGCATTATGTATCTCAATAAATTAGACCACCTACCGTGATATCCCCACCGCGGTAGCTGCCTCTCTTTTTCTTGTTCTTCTCCTTCCTGAACCCTGCCCCACGTGTCACGATCAAGTCGCGAGCGGCGCGTTCACCGTAATCGTTTGCTCCCGCACCCTATAGGAGCGTGTCATAGCCGTCAATATCACCTGCTAAACGAAGAGGACGAAGGACAGACGTACCCTCGCCTCGTACCTGTTGTCCTGAAGCCGCACATCGTCGAACTTCGCTCCGTCGGCCTTCACGCGCTGAAAGGGGGTATTGCTCTTCCGTGGCTTGCCCTTACCGTTCCTGTTGACATTTTTGCCATTAGTGTTCCCATTACCGTTGTTGCCGGGTATGGCAATGGACTGCGCCGCATTCTCCAAACCACTGCTCGCGTCGTTCTGCTCCGTGACACGCTTTGTGCTGATAGTAGCACTGGGAACGGCAGCCCCACTCTCTGAAATCCTCCGCTTCTTGACCGTTCGACGTTCCTCCTGCGTCACTGAGAGTTACTGAAGCACAACATACATCACACCGGAATGTCTCACCTCAGAGCTATCGCTGTCACTCTCACTAGAACCGGAATTCGACGAGTCGCTGGAACTAGAGTCTGAGTCTGAGTCTGAGTCCGAGTCCGAGTCCGAGCTGCCGCTGGAGTCCGAGCTCGATGCGGCCTTTTTCCCGCTCTGCGCCTTCTTACTCCCCTCCTCCACTGCCTTCTCCTTCTCGGTCTCCTCCTCGCTCGAGCTTGAGTCTGAGTCTGAGTCTGATTCCGATGTATCACCGTTCTTGAGTTCGCCGCCCGTAGTAAACGTTGCCTTAGACGCAGCGGAAAGAGCTTTCGCCAGTTTTGGGGCTTCCGAGACTGAACCTGCTTCGACTGCTGCATATGCTGCTGTTGTTTTCTTTAGCTGGACCACTGACGGTGCACTATCTAGATGTAAATGTTAAATATGTCATTATACATACATTCAGAAGCCAGACCTACCGGAAGAAGAGGGTGATGACGATGAAGAGGAGGACGAGGACGAGGATGAAGACGAAGACGCTGCATGACATCGATTTGAGACAAGCGAACATACGCGTAATTGATATTAGCGCTCACAGGTCGACTCTGCGTCAGAATCAGAGTCATCCGAAGAACTGGAAGTATCCGAAGAAGCTGCATTCTGCGAACTGCTCTTCTCATCGTTATGCTCCTCGTTGCGCTTCGTGCTGACAGTGGTGCTGGCGATGGCGGCCCCGCTCTCTGAAATCCTCCGTTTCTTGACCGTTTGACGTTTCTCCTTCATTACTGAGAGTTACTAGAGTGCAACACGAATCACGTCAGAATGCCTTACCTCATAGCCACCTCCGTCACTGTCGCCAGAGCTGGAACTCGATGAGTCGCTGTCACTCTCGCTAGAGCTGGAACTTGATGAGTTGCTACTTTTCGCCTTTCTCTTCTGTCCTCTGACTGCCCCATTTTCTTTCTGTGCCTGGTGAGAGAAACGTGTCTGGTACTGTGTGATCGTCTCGCGCCACCACGCCTCTTTAGCCTCGGGATCGGCCACAAATGCGTATGCAACCGCCTTCAGGACGACGTCATCTACGCCAAGCGCCTTCAGGATGAAGTCACTTAGGCTGAGATTAATGTCGGACGTCAAACCTTCCTCGCTCGAGCTCGAGCTTGACGAGCTGCTCTTCTTTGCTTTTTTCTTCAGCTCTGCGACTGTCTTTTTCTTCTTCGTCTTCTCCTCGCTGGAACCTGAGCTTGAGCTTGAATGAGAGTCGGAGTCGGAGTCGTTGCTACTGTTCTCGCTAGAGCTGGAGCTTGACGACTCGCTGTCGCTGCTCTCAGCCTTTTTGTTCTTTTTTGCAGCTTCCTTCTTTGTGGCGTCCCCCTTCACCTCTTTTGCCTCTTCCCCGCGGGAGCTAGAGGAAGAGTCCGAGTCCGAATTTGAGCCGGAGCCAGAGCTCGAGCTTGATGCGGCCTTCTTCTCTCTATCCGCCTTCTTACTCTTCTCCTTGACTATTTTGTCCTCAGTCTCCTCCTCACTCGAGCTTGAGTCCGAGCCTGAGGTTGAGTCGTCGTCATCGCCATGTTCGCCGCCAGTAGTGAGTGTCGCGCTGGATGCAGCGGAGAGGGTCTTCGTCAGCTTAGAAACTTTTGAGACTGTTTTTGATTCTGTCGCCGGAACAGCTGCTGTCGTTTTCTTCATCTGATTCTGTGATCGTGTGCTACCACCTGAACAGCATACTAAATATGACCTCACGCGTACATCCTGAGTCCACACTTACCAGAAGAAGAGGACGATGATGCTGCATCACAATGACATGAGATGAGCAAACATAGATGTAATTGATCTGGGGGACTCACAAGTCGACTTTGCGTCAGAATCAGAATCATCCGAAGAGCTAGAGCTGTCTGAAGACGCTGGACTATTGCCTCAATAAAATACAGTCCTCAAGCGCACAAATGCACGTACAATCAGAGCTGGATACTTTTTTCAGCGACTTCCGAGACAGGGAGTCGCGAGCGACCGCATGCCTATCTGCCGATGGAGAGAGTGAGAACAACGTATGAGCATTTGATGCTATGAATGCACGTAGTCTACGTCCGCACCATTATCTCGCTGGGAGGCGATTCGTTCATTCCGCCTCACAGGCATGCTCTAATGGTCGTGACAGCGAGGAAACAGATGGCAGAGTACGGACAGTAGCTATATGCGAGCAGGTCTGATCGGAAACCATGAGAAATTCAGTATTTGCCACTGATGGCAAATACGCGCAAGCAACGCGATCGTCGCCGGCAACGACGATGGGCGCGTAAGACGCGTGCCTGCGCGTCGCGAACAACAATGGAGTCAATCAAAGGCCCGGCCCCCTCGAACGTCAGATTTGACGGTTCGTCTCTGCGCATCGCCATCGTGCACTCTCGTTGGAACAAGAGTGTCATCGATGCTCTCCTCGCTGGTACCATCGCGAAGCTCAAGGAGCAGGGCGTGAAGGACAGCAATATTGTTGTTCAGTCTGTTCCTGGTAGCTTTGAACTACCACTCGCTTGCTCAAAGTGAGCTCACTTCTTATGCACGGCTTAACATCTGAACTCATCCTTACAGGGTTATTGCATGCTCTCATGTCCAGGCCGGTGCGACCGCGACCGACCTCCTTGGCGGACTCGCGTCCTTCGCCTCACCCCGCCCATCCTCTCGCGCGTCAACTCCCGCACCCGCAGCTTCATCTATGTCAAGTCAGCCTTTCGACGCCGTGATCGCCATCGGCGTGCTCATCAAAGGCTCCACGATGCATTTCGAGTACATCTGCGATAGCGTCTCGCACGCACTCATGCGCGTCCAGCTTGACACGGGAGTGCCTGTCATCTTCGGTGTCCTCACGGCGCTGAACGACGACCAGGCGTTGGATCGAGCGGGCATCGGGCGAGGGGCGAACAAGGGCCATAACCATGGCGAGGATTGGGCGATTGCTGCTGTGGAGATGGCATCGCACACCAGGAGGTGGGCAGCGGGCAAATTTTGATTACATTCATGAACTGGGGGATGCGTGATATGTTGAAGAAGAACTGGGGATTGTACGAAACATGGACGTCTGGACGGCAGAACCCACACGGCGCACGCTAATTGGTGGCTCTGCGATATCGTCGTGTTGTACTCACGGACATCCATTGTATTTCGTGGAGCAAATATACATTACAATACACCTGCCATGTTCTTCAGAATGCTTTGCGATTAGTGCAGGTGTCAGATTCGTATGTCGCGGTGACGGGCGTTTGTTGCGGCGCTCAGTGGTCGAGTCGCCTCCTTCAGAACCGTCATGCTTGAATCCTACCTCGTCCTGCTTTCTCCGAGACACAGGCTCATCGCTTGTCCAAAAACCGTACGTTGGCTGCTTGAACGGTTCAAGAATTGCCTAGGCGTCTATAACTCCTGTTGACTCCCACCTGAACTCCGAGTCGCGCACACCAGTTCGTTCTTATAGCCATGGTGAAGAAGAAGGTGGGCGATGAAATCGTGCAGAATGCAGATGGAGATGCATGACGCTCTATTAGATCCTTCTCATGGGAGCGTCAGGAAGCGGCAAGACGTCGATGCGGGCCTTGATCTTGTGCGTTCCGCCCTCCCAAGAGCGAGACCTGTACGTGCTCATCCGCATGTTTCAGCTCAACACACCCATCCTCGCTCACGATGCGCTGGAGTCCAACCATCGAGGTCGACCAGAACCACGTGCGATTCTTCGGCGACCTGATCCTCAATCTCTGGGACTGCGGCGGGCAGGACAGCTACATGGACGGCTATCTCGCGACACAGCAAGCCACCGTCTTCCAGCACGTCGGCGTGCTCATCTATGTCTTTGACGTGCAGACGCCGCACCTCGACAAAGACCTCGAGTACTACCAGCGCTGCCTCGCCGCGCTCCGCACATACAGCCCCGGCGCGGCCGTCTTTCTGCTCGTGCACAAGATGGATCTCGTGAGCGATCCGCGCGAGAAGCGCAAGACGCTTGAACGCAAGACGCAAGAGCTCAAGGAGGCGAGCGGGGACGCTGAGGTCACGGTGTTTGGAACGACTATACACGATGAGAGCCTCTACAAGGTGAGGAGCTTCAATAATTATGCCGTCGACTGCCCTGACGCACTCCTAACAGGCATGGTCGCGGATAGTGCACACGCTTATCCCGAACGCCGGCGTCCTCTCAAAGCACCTCACGACGCTTGGGTACGCCTGTAGTGCGACTGAGGTCATCCTCTTTGAGCGCACGACCTTCCTCGTCATCGCTACCTCCTCTCCTACTCCTACAACCGTTGCGCCTGTCTCCGCCTCCACCTCTCCCGCGCCGAACCCCCTCAATGACCTCCAGACGCCGACGACTACCTCGGGGGTCTCTCTTCCCACGACGGAGCATGAGTCCGTCGAGCCCGACGCTAACCCGCACCAACTCTCGCCGACACGCTACGAGCGCACGTCAGAGCTCATCAAGGGTTTCAAGCTCTCGTGCTCGCGCGTGCGCGAGGAGTTCCAGTCCCTCGAGGTTGAGCTCGCGGACTTTACCGCGGTACTCGACGAGCTTACGAAGAACACGTATGTACTCATCGTCGTGCATGACCCCACAATAGGTATCAGTGTCCATCTTCCACTACTATGCGTGACCGGGCTGACGAACGATCGTAGAAACTGCCGCATTGCGCATGAATATCCGCTTGGCTCGCAAGAAGTTTGAAGAGCTCCAAGGGGACAGTCTCATTTCGTAGACACGTCTTTCATGTGCAGTCCCATCGCTGTTCTCCTTTCACGCTGTATACCCGTTTTCCATTCCAGTCGGCTTCACAGGCGCTCATTTGTGTGCAATGATGTGATTGTGGTTCAGCGACTCCATGTTCCTGAACTCCATGCATATGCTAAGCTTTGATCTCGCAGTCCCGCGCTCAGGGCGAGGAAGCGACAATCACTGATCGATCGCTATTCATTCACTGAAGCATCCCGAAGGACATATATATGTGGGTCGGTGTGGTGTGGACGTCGCTTCTCGGATCAGAATCGGGCGCTTGCTCAACCAGACAGCCGGAGCCTCTATAATGAGCTTGCTTTCGGTCGATTGCACGACTATTCACGCGATCACCCAATCCTTTCAAATGAAAAAAGTCCGATGGAATGATATATTGCACCCACAAGCATCATTGAGCTAGGAGAAAGAGCCACCAGGGCGTAAATAGTAGCGAGTTCAACGGGCCGCACCCACAGCAAGCCGGTTACATTGACTCCTGCGAGGACGAACATCGCAGAGTCAAGAGGTCGTTGGCTTCCTGCAGGCGCACAGTCTATCATAAGACCGCGCCGTCCAGTCAACTGGACAATGAAAGAGAGTAGGGAATGATCCGAGCGCGGGCCCCGGTGCGGTGAAAGAGTGGCAGCAGATGCTGCGGAAGTCGCATGCGCAGAGACTCGGTATGGGTACAATTTGGGGAATGGGGTGTCAAGGGGCAGCAAATGGTATCTGAGAAAATAACGTTCGTGGCGAGCGGAAGCAGAGAGGTGAGTTTCGGTTAGCCTCAGAATTTTTTGGTCTTCAAGACGCCCAGACTGTCATAAAAGATGGAGGTCAGCGCACGCACGTCTACAGCGAAAGGAAGATTAACATACACGCCATCGCAATGACCAAGTACAAGGTTAACAGCCTATACTCGCAGTCAGCACGTGCATCAACTAGTCCAGGATACCAGCTCCTGGCCCTCGAAAGACAACACAACACTTACATGATGCCTTCCATATAGTTCGACTTGCCGTCCCTGCAGGAAACCAGCATATTAGATGAAGAAACAATTCGAAGAACATGAAACATACTGCACGAGGAACTGAACTAGAAGCACAGACACAAATAGGACGATGGTCTGCGAAAGTCACGACGTTTAGCGACGAGTTCGCCACGATATGAACCTGATCTCTGAGCTGCTAGCCGAAACTCACCTCGAAGTTGGAGAAATACAGCGTCAGATTATGATTCGTTCTGCGTTGGCGCGATAAGTCAATTAATCCTAGCAAAGAGAGTTGAGACACAACTCACATCCAACCGATTATGACGAGCAACGGAATGACAAATGTGGAAATTTGCTATCAAGCACAAGGAGCGTCAATGCGTGGCTACGAAAAAGGAACGTCAGGATGTGCTCACGATTGAACTCCCTACACAAATTTCGATCGACAACGCCATCTTGTTCTTCAGCGCCATCCATACGGAAGTAACGTGTTCTGCTGCATTTGCCTGTGGGATTGACAAGGATATGAGCGACATTCCCCGCGGTGTGCGGGAACAAGGCGACGTACGACGATCGGCAGGAGGATCACACCAATGAATGCCGTCGGAATATGATACGTGTCTGCAGTTTCCTCTATTGAAGCAACCACTGTAGGAGTGAGGGAGAGATATGAGTATGTGCAACCGATCAATTATGCATGCGTAGGATACTCACAGTAATCTGCACAAAACGAAGTGACAACCGTGACCAGCAGCAACCTGCGGCAGGACAGCTGTCAGCTGATATTTCAATCGCAAAAGTGAAGAATAAACGTACGCAGATCCAGCTGCGGGCACGCTCATCATCGGCTCTTCCCCTTCTTCTTGAAGCTCTCCATCAAACAAGACGTGGTGCGTCTTCAACTATGAACACCGTTCAGCACAAATACATATTACTTTTTCCGCGTGTTCACACTCGGCGAAAATGTAAATCGTGACGCACCTGGAAGATTAAGTACCCGACGTATACAAACAAAAGCAGCAGCGCAGTGCCGCGCGAGATGAACAGCAAGCCGTTTTCGTCTCCTTCGTCTAGGTCTGAACCGTCGATGACCGTGTTGTTCAAGGAGAAGGTGGCATTCGAGGTCGCGTTGTGCTCGCACAGATCGTGGACCTTGGCGCTGTGGTAGGCAGCGGGAATCACGAGAGCTGGTGCATAGCCCCATTCGTGAGTGTTCCGCTCACGATATAGCCAAATGAGTAACGTACTGATGCATGCAAGGGTCATGAGCTATCAAGAATGTTAGCAAAAATTCATGACGGCGACGCATATACCCACCGAACTCGATCTGGCGTACCGTGTGTCAATATCTGAAAGAGTATAGAACGGGGGAGAACACTCACGCCTGAGCCGCAGTGGCTTGAAAAATGTTTTCTGTGGATTTGAGGCCGCCTAGAGTGCAGGTAGTATAGCCAGTTATTCGGATTCCAGAATTGCCAAAAGTACTGACCGGCAAAGAAGGAGCAACCAAGGACGAGCAGGAGATTGGAAAGAATGGATCCGAGCATCTAAGGAGCATTTAGAACCGCATATATGCTGTCTGCAAAAGTAATTACCGATGTCTGCACAATCCGCAATTGACCTGAAAACAGAATTCTGTCTAGACAACAATACAGAGGAGAAAGAGCTAACTCACCTTGCAAGAGAGCAGCTATACCGACAATGATTTCGACAGCATTACCAAATGAGGCGTTCAATAGGCCGGACAAAGTCTGTCCGAGCTTCACGGACAGTTGATCTGTGGCGGTGCCCAAGAGCTAGGAACAGAGATATACGATGAGTAACTGCAGCCAAGAACTGTGTTTCTCATGACGTACTGCTGCCAATGGCATAATTGCCATAAAACTAAAACAGAAACGCAGCGCAGCATCCCATTTTAACGTATGCGACAGATAGCTGAGTGGCACAAATAGCAGAAGGATGTTCCACCAGGAACCAAAAATGAAAAACTTGTACGAGGCAAGCCAGGAGGGCTCCCCCTCAGCCTTGAGGATATTAACGAAACGACGCGGGAGTGACCGTGCATCGCCGTGCCCGTTGCCGCTGGTGAGGAGGGGCGTCTGGTCGGTGATGAGGGACATAATCGAGGAAGTTGGAGGTGCTCGACTGGCTCCCCTGCATGTTCTTGACGATCCACAGGCTCATAGCCACGAATTACGTAACTACCATTCTGGTCGACGCCAAGGCCACCAAGCCGCGGTAACCTGTGGCCGGGCCCCCCGCCAAAAGCGCCGGAGCGCCGGTCCGGACTGCTTCCGCTTCCCCGACGCGCCGCTTCGGACATGGGCGGTGCTCGGACCAGGCCCAGCGTGGCCACAAATCTCGATGCCCGAGCTCATGTCCTCGCAGATGCACCCTTGTTCATGATCACCACGCATGTCGTCCTTTCGAAACCGCTGCAATTGTTTGATTCACAAGGAACAATGATCTCCTGCTTGAAGCTTCCCACAGTCTGCACAGCATCTACCTTATCGTCCATCGCCTATTCCACGTTCCCTTCACGGGTAAATATCGCACACACGTACATTTTCCAGACGCACTGCTATCACACCGCTTGAGACAGTCGCTTGAGCGCATGAACACGGCCGACCGTCTGTGACCCAAATATCCCAAGGCACTTGGCGTACAGACGTCTTCTCCTGAACCGCAGATGAGCCGCAGCAAAGCCTCGCTTTGTGCATTCCTTCTCTGCTGAGCATAAATGGGAGTAGAGTTCGAGACACAGCCATCGCTTCAGTGTCCTACGTACCTGCGTTGCGAAGGAAGGAGAAGCGCAGCCTGCCCGTCTGCCGAGCCAAGCCAACTCCCTGCATCCGCAGCATACACCGGCAAATGCACTGCTTGTGTTAGCGCGCTCCATTTCTCAGTGTAGTGGATGATCATGAACTGAGTAGAACAGTCAAAACGCTTTCTTCCTCGGCGCCGTCGTCGTTGGACGTGAGATTCGTAAACGTAGAATTAACAGAAGTATCGACGACGGAGTCAGGAACCTCGATGCCTTGTAATGCCGCAAGCTCCTTGTCGGTAGACCATTGAATACACTTTCATCTCGTAGGTTCTGAGGCAAAATTATAAGCAACTATCGATCGTCGGACATGCAGTTTTAGGAAGTTTCTTACAACAAGAGAGGCGGCCAGAACTGCAACGTATGGCAGTCGCCAACCGTCATGTGTCAAAGCGTTCTTGAGAATCAATTCCGTACGGGCCGCAATAGAGGAGGCTTGCCTGAGCCGTCTGATGTAGTTTTCAGATCCGGGACATGTGTGAGTGAATTTAGGTGCCAGTGGTGTCATATGAGGGGAAAGGGCAGATCAGCACTGAAAATGGCTCCGCAGAAGAGACGCGCCCAATAGTAAAAGTAAGATCCGTCGTTACTTGCTGTAACATCCGCCACTGTAGCGTGAACTACCGGTTATGCGTGGAGGAAGATCGACAGGCTGATTTCGCGCACATGTCAGATATACATTAAACGAAAAAAAGAACATAAAGAATCCTGATCATGATGAAGCACTCCGCTGCGCAGCGGAAGGACACAAAACGGTGACATGAGGATGAAGCCAAACAAAGGAAAGAGAGCTCAGAGAGGACTCAGGACTCTCAAAAGCATTGAAGTCGACCGTCAGCGACGCGATCACGCTGTTGGCCACTCGCGACGCGAGCAACATCGCCGTGCAACAAGTCACCCGGTATGCTACATCCACATCTGCCATCCATCCACCGTCATCGGTCCAAAGGATTGCATGTGATATTACAGACATAGCTCGTGGGAGGGTCAGCGTGCTCACAAGGGAGGCAAGACAAAGTTTTGAAGAATACCTCCATCACCGAAGAAAGGTAGGTCATCGAGCTGACCAGACCCTCGCTAGATCGCCAGCCATGCCTATGGTGCAGGATGTGACTTCAGTATTCTCGCTGTAAATGCGGGCATCAAAGCATACTTTTCGTCTGTCGTCGTTCGCACATTGAGGTCATCTCACGAGCTGCCTCGCGCAATGGGGCTGCAGTCGAGTCCCGCTCGCACTATCTTCCTTGGGCGGCACGGCATATCATAATGGCAGTACGACCGACATCGACGGCTGCCTCACTTGAGGCTCGATTTGGAACTCGAGTATTAGTGTTCATTCCATGCGATCATCATGCAGGATGGCGCCAGAGGAACAATTCCTAAGCATCAGGATCTGATTGCCTCGTAAACTAGCTCGAGCTGCGGTTCGTGCTCGATCTCACCTCACTTGATCAGACTTCTGATGCTTGCATTGCCTTCTCGCTTCAAACGTGACGGTTGCCAGAATCAGACGGTCAAGACTAGGGAGAAATCAACCCGTGGTGATCACAGATAGCTAGCATATGGTGCCTTGTATCGAGATACGTGCATGATAAAACGAAGCTACGGGAGAAATTTGGATGCTTGAAAAGAGTGAACCTGCAGGTGATCAAGCTCAATGCCCAATGACCCTTCGGATGCAGAATGAATAGCTCACAAAACGATGACTGCTCGTGTTATGTTTTCAAGACCTTGCCAACTGGCCAGCCTTCTCATAGATCACCTATTCTTGTACCATTTGCATCTTGTTGATCATCCATACATGGATGCGATGCACGAGCTTCCATCTCGCAATGAAAGGGTAACAAGGCAGAGTTAAGGATCACAGATGTCGGACTGTGGGGTTGAGTTTGTCCCGGTGTTCATGACAACAGCGGCAGGCTGACTGCAGATCGACGGCGAGCATAACCTGCATGCCAGGCCCTCGACAGTAAGGGTTTCATGCATCTGTAACGCAGGTGCGAGTACGGAGCTCGTTCCGAATGCCACGACGAAGTTAGTAAGGCGAAGGCCAAAGGAGCATCCCCATTGGAGGTCATACGACACCACGTCCCGACCAGCGTTGGAGCACCTAACAAATACATATCAGTGAGATGGAACGGCTTTCCCGGGAGACCAGTTCATCACCGTTTAGACTCAACTCTGTTACACGCCACAGGGCGTCTCCGCAGATTCTTATAAATACCGTAGCTACAATCTACAATTGCCGTCATCATGGCGCTTACAATTCTCTGGCACACCCTGTATGTTCACCATAGACAGCTGGCACCTCTGACGAGGAACCCGCATGTCACCATCCGATGGTTGTACCATCTCTGAGCAGTAGCCTGCCGCTCAGAGATGGTACAACTATTGGATGGTTTGACGTTGGTTTCTGAGCTCAAATAACATTTGCATCTACCATATTTGTGAACCTCGTAAGTGCATGCTCTTTCTTCCCACGCCATATCTTCTGCAAGATGCTAATCACTCTGCCGTACATGACTGTGGATAGGGCAGAATGTTGAATACTATGTCGTCGATTGTTTTCCAATACTAGTGAAGCAATCGTCTCACATTTCCTCTACCAATGACGCACTGACGATATCACAGACTCGCTCCCGTTCTGATCTCTCATGTCCTCCTCAACGTCCGAGCCGCAGCACGGCCACACGGGGAAAGCAGTCTCAAACGCCCTCTTTCATCCGATCGCGGCGTGGGCTCCAAACACAAGTCGACGTCGAGAATATGTCGTTCGAAATGAACGTCCTCGACAGCACCAAACAAGCCCCAGAGAGCGGTCGCTCTTACCCGCAAGACTCTGTTGAACGTGATTAAGGCATTGCAGAATCGCACAGCATGGCAAGCAGTGTTGTTACTTCCGGCGATGCTCATCAGGACGTGAACGAGGAAGAGCGGATGGACGATGTCAAGGAGGAAATGCAGTCAGATGGGGAGAACTAGGACTAAGGGAAGAGAATGAGTGTCGGAGCCATGCTGTCAGATTCACGATGACTGTGCGTTTGCCTGCTATTTTTGTGTGACACGCCAGCCTTCATAAGCCCTGTGCCACCTGCCTGCATTCACAGATCTTTTTCCGTACAATCTTCCCCTGTCTTACGCGTGATGTGGCTGTTACATACGTGCGTCTCGGCTACAAGAGCGTACCGGAACTTTGATGAACTCATCAAAGTCAAGCACCGCTCGATCAACATCCAACCGCCGAGTCTCAAATTAGTGCCTACGACGAGCATCATTGACAGCCTGTTTCAACCTAGATCATACACAGCCGTGCAGCCTCCTTGTAGCCATGGCTGGCGATGCGATCACCAATGTCGCACCCCAAGGGGGCCAGACGCGCTGGTAAAGCGTCTGCCTTTTCACCCGGTGGATTGCTTCTGCACAGATATTGCGATATATCGTCTTCGCTTGACGGTTGTGGCGCACATGGAACTGGCAGCCTCTGGTTTGGAACAACTCGTATCATATAGGTCCCGACCCACCTATGGGAAGATGGTTGCATGTCCTCTGCATTGCAGGAGACCTCAAATGACAATAGTATGCTCAATATTAGTCCCCCTCGCTGGAGGCGATGAGTGCGATGGAGTCGGCATGTTCGATGTAATTGGCAAACGTTGAAAATGACAGCTCAGTTGAGCCCATCGTACTGTGAGAACTGCACAGAATCCTCAGTCAACAGTAAACTCCAATGAGAGAAGAATATTTATGCTTCCGCAACGGTCGATTCGTCTCGCTTTGCATCTGATGATCATATTTCAAGCATGTCAAATAGCTGACCAGAGCGAGTTGCTACTCACACCTTTGTTACCCATTCATATTCTCTACTCACAGCATGGCGAGTGCCACCTCTGGGCCGATTGAGCTGCTCGAGGCAAAGTGAGCTTTGATTTCCTCCCTGTTAGCCAGTTTGCTGATTCCGAGGGCCTATCATGCACAGCTTCATATCGAATTGTGCCTCTGCATCCGGAGCAGGTGAGTACAATTGTAGTTGATCGCTATGATGCTTGCAAAGATGACCCGATCTAGCCCTCATATTCTACGAACATATTACTACATTCAATCAAGAGGTTAAATTCTTTTGGGGCAAAAAGTCATTCCCAGCAGTCCTCTTCTTCGTCAATCGACTGCTGGCTCTCGTCTATGGCGCTGTATACGTATCAGCGTTAACGAATATCTACTCACAAACTGTACGTATTCTGATGGAACTTCAATCTGATCACGGCAGTCTGACAGGATGCGACGGCAGAGGTTCGTTCCGAGTCCTCTGTCTCACTGAGTTGCAAAACATGTTACATTTCATGCCTTTTAGCTGTGAAGTAGTACAAAATGTACTTGACAGTTTCATACTCGCAATTGGGGCAGTGTCCGAAGGTGGATTCACGTGCACCACGTTTCACCTAGATACTGACATCCTATCACAGTGGTCACATTATTACGAGTATACGCAGTGACCGAACGTAGCTGGCGTGTTACCATTATTATTGCGTTGCTAGTCGTTGCGGATTGGGGGCTCGATATTGTCGAAGGTACGCTCTGTACGATGATTGGATAGAACGAATCATTCCATCACTAAGTCTCTTGTCGTGAGAAGCTTTCGTGAACGAGTCAACCGGGGTCATTGTATCAGGACCTACGGCAATATGCTACACGTTCTCACAGAATTCGTTTGCGAGCACCTACACAAAGTAAGCAACCCGTTCTGTCGACAGCTTATATTTTCTTCTCAACCGTCAACTACCAGGGGCAAGCTGATTATAAGCACTACCTTCTCCAAATGAGCCACACTGACGGTCACTTCGTAGTAACAATCACCAGCCTTGTTATTTCTGTGGTCTTGAATGTTGTAACGGTCGGTGTCATCTGGAGGACGCTGCACAAACAACTCAGCCGGAACTCGACTGGAGTGTTCTCTCAGAGGCCTTCACTGGTAGCATTGTTGCTGAGAGACGGTGAGTAAAACTTGTGTTGTAGGACCGTGTTTGGGTCATCTTCTGTTCTGTATGTAGGCACGATTCAGTTCGTGTACGTGGCCGACTCCTTTCAATTGCAGGGAAAACTGAGACGTTCGCCATAGAACGTTATTACTGCTGAACATCAGCATCGACGTCCTGGTGGTTATTGGCCAGGTCTGTCATCCAAATGTCCATCAACTCTCATACTGAGGTTGATTAATGTTTTCGTAAAACCGTGACGTCCTATGTAGAATGCCGCATATGTTGTGAACAACTTGGAAATACCGTTGAGATTTCCCGATCTATGCTGATTGAAGCAGGTACTCATGCATGTTATAGACTCAACGCCATTCTTGTCTCTCGTATTTTGCTAAATATCCAAGAAACGGCCCAAGCCGCGTGGAGGGAACAATCCGATACTCCCTCGTTTGTGCGCTCACGCCATGGCGTGCAGACTGGCGCGGCCATCGACATTCCCAGCCTTGTGATCCATTCTGATGCCTCAACCAGCATTCCTGCAATTGACCCAGAGGCGGAACCCTCCGCAGCCACCACCTGCCAGGCAAACACCGCTGCAGATGAGTCGATGGTCGCTGGCCCTTCGGATCAAGATCGTCATCACAGAGCACAACAAGTTGAGGTACCCATGGAGGCCGGATCTTCTGGTGAAGGCTGCGAACACGATCCGGAGCAAAGGCAGGCGGAGGGAGCGGCCGCAGAGAATTGGGAAGAAGAAGATGATTGGGAGGACGACCACTAAGATGAGCAGCAGGAGTTGTTTGTGTGACGTGTTTTGGAAACTGTTGAGTCTGTTGCCGCATTTGCGCAGCGTCCGCGCTGACTTTGTGGACTTTATTCAGGTCCGCAATTCTTTCCCTGTCTCCGAGAACATTCCCGGTAATTGGCCGCAAGCGTCCAGGTTTCGTATTCATTCAAGGTATTTGGAAGATCGGTACAATTCCCGCGAGTCGCTGTCAAGCACCGCTCATACTACACGTACTATTACGCGCGAATCCTGTTCTCTATTTATGTCATACTACTTTGTCCTATGTAGTCGGACATGTGTAACTTGCATCTTTCGCCGTCTTCAAATCGCTCTGTGTAGCAGACATTTTGATACCCCGACTCTTGTGTGCCGACTAATGCGACGCCTGAATGCTCTAACACGATGTTCATGCATACTATGTATATCCATTTTCGATCGAGTTTCTATCGTGGCACAGTTAGTCTCGTCCTTGTGGAGCGTGTTGTATATATATATACTCTTCCTAATGATCTACTGTGAGCCGAATGAATCATGATCAATCACCGAGCATGTCGATGAATCGGTCAACCAAGCCGAGTCGTGCATGTGTGATTATGATCTCTCTCTCAACGCGGTTGCTGTGCCCAACTCCATCCATCAAGCATAATGATACATATATACAAGAAATTTGTGGATATACACGATATTCAATGCGTGTGGCTAGATATAGCCAACTAGTAATGAATCCGGTTCAACAAGGCATTAGTAATGCATCCTTTCCCTTATTCAATGCACCACGCCCACGCAAACTCTCATGATGACTGGCGTTTGAAATCCTCATTGAACTCGCGTCCGATGAGCATCCGCCGGATCTCCTGCGTCCCTGCGCCGACGGTGTACAAGCGTGAATCGCGCAGGAACCGGCCGGTGGGGTAATCTGCAGAGCATACGGATTCAGCAAGTGTGTACAATGCATGACAAGCGTGGAGACGTACCGTTGATGTAGCCGTTCCCACCGAGGCATTGCATCGCGTCCATGGTGACCTCCACTGCGCGGTCGGAGGAGTACAGGATTGCTCCCGCACAGTCCTGGCCGAGGTAAAACGGTCAGCAGTCACGGGAGATGATAGCTGTGGATATCGTACGTACTCGCCGGCTGACCTTGCCTTGGTCGCACGCCTTAGCGACAGCATAGACGTACGACCTCGACGCGTTCAGTTTCGTATACATATCCGCAATCTTCCCTATTTTCCGCTACCTCAGTGATACATCACTCCTTCCAGTGGCGACGTCGTACCTTGCATGAGCTGGAACGTCCCTACAGGCTGGCCGAACTGCTTGCGATCATGCACGTACTCCACGGCATAGTCAAACGCCGCCTGCATGAGTCTGAGAATAGCGACTTCAGCCAGCTGGGTGTTACCGAGCGCCAACCACCTCACCCCAACGGACCACCGCATAGCACGAGCCGCTCCAGATCAAGTCCGGACATCAGCACCTCGGCACCTCCGTTGACCTTGCCCAAAACGTTCTCTGCACCATGAAACTACCATCAGCAAAAGATAGAGTGCACGACAGGAAGCACTCGCCCTCAGGAACGAAGCAGTCCTCGAACAGCAGCTCGCACGTATCGCTGCCCCGCATGCCGACCTTGTCCAGTTTCTGATGTGTCGAGAACCCCTGGAATCCACGCTCGATAATGAATGCCGTAATACCCCGCGAGCCTTTCTCCGGAGCCGTCTTAGCGTAGACGACCAGAGTCGAGGCAGTGGGTCCGTTGGTGATCCTGACGTAGACGACGCAATGGTGAGCAAGCGCACGATCTACCCGCCAGCGAACGAAGGCACCAGAATTTGTTCCCGTTGAGCTTGTACCCGCCGTCCACTTTATCTGCTCGCAATTTCATGCTGACGACGTCGCTCCCACTGCCCGGCTCGCTCATGGCGAGACTGCCGACCTTCTTGCCAGCAATGAGGTCTGGAAGGTATTTGGCCTTCTGTGCGTCGGTCCCCCAGCGATAAATCTACTCATAAGTTAGCATGTGAGGCCATGTATATAACATTTAAACTAAATTAATTGGGCCTTGAGCCTGGGGCCTTGAGAGACTACGATTCTTGCAGAACAAAACACAGAGGAGCTCAATCATAGGACAATGTACCTGGTTGACACAGAGATTGGAGTGTGCGCCGTAGGACAGAGCCACGGACCCCGATGCGCGAGACAACTCCTCCATGGCCAGTGTATGGTGGAAGTATCCTAGGGAGAGACCGCCGTATTCCGGAGAGACAGTGATACCAAGCAGACCCATTGAGCCCAGCTTCTCCCATAGATCCTACATTATACGAAGGTAAGCATGCCTCTGGGATGCGGGCGGCAAGTCCGAATGATACACCGCTCAGGGTTCGCTTACTGATGGGAAGTTATTACTCCTGTCGATCTCTGCAGCCCTTGGAGCGACTTCACGTTGCGCAAACTCTGTCACTGCATTCCTAAACTAGACCTGCATTGAGCACAAGATTCTCGCATCGAAACAGATGCAGATACCTCAGCTTGTTCTTCGCTCAGACCGGCAACATTAGCGTTGTAATAGGAGGCAAATCTGCTTTGGATTCGCGGATGGAATAGAGCAGCTGAGCGAGGGGTTTTCAAAGCTAACGAATGTAAGGACGAAGACAAGATACGATGATGCATTATGGGCGTGCCAGAGGATGTGGGATAATTGGCAAGAAAGTGCGGGGTAAAACGCGGGGTAAGCCAAAAATGGATGCCAGCGTGGCCTGGCGCGTTGCTGCACGTGATCGAGACGCGCATTTGGTCTCCGCCAGCCACATTCAGTCTGCAACCCCCCGGTACCTCGACTACGAATTCGTGTTTGGACCGACACCTGAGCTGCGATCTGTATAAAATCCTGATCCCAGCTGAGCTGTCAGCCCTATCGCTTCTTGCATCCTGCCACTACAGCACTTGCTACCAGCGATCTTTTGCCCCTACTTTTTCTCAGAAATATCTCATACAATGCCTGGAACTCCCTTCCTCCACTCCCTCATTGCTTCTGCAAACGTCTCCTCCTCCAAGCCAAAGTTTTCCGACGTCGCGAACATGGCCGACATTCAGCTGCTCGACCAAGCAGAATCGGACCCGCGCGAGAGCGCCCGTATGGCCCAGATGCTTCGTGTCTTTCAACGCATGTACCTCAAAGTGTCTCAAGGCCTGTCTCCTGGCGTTGCTCAGCAGAGCTGGACTTCAGATGACTCAGTCCCGTCTGCTGTTGTCAACGGCAAACCAACCAGCTCTGTCGCGGCACCGCTCGACGCAACCTTCCCTTCCCTTCCTAAGCCCAATGGACCTCGCATTGGTCTCTTGCGGCAGAAGGATGCCGATCGGGATCGCTCACGCACTCCGCAAGCCTGCGAGACGTGCCGTGAGAGAAAGACCAAGGTGCGTTCTTTGAAGGAGTTAGCTGCTGTTCTACGTTGATCGTAAGCTGCAGTGCTCCGGAACTCGCCCCAGGTGCAACCGCTGCCTCGCGCGCGGCGGAGACTGTGTCTATGTGCTCGACCACAAGGCCAACCGCGCTCAGCTCAGGAAGCTGCAAGCCGCTAGCGGTCTCCTCCCCAAGGGCCTCCGTCCGGTCCGCAAGGAGGCGAGCGCTCAGCGAAAGCCTTCTCCCTCAACGCTCTTCAGACTCTTGAAATCCGCTGGATTCTTGGGCGCTGGGAATGGGCAGTCCGAACCTGGACCGTCGCAGACGCAACCGCTAATGGCCGTGCCTCAGCCTGCGGATGATTCGTTCGAGTGAGTACTAGTCTTTCTCCTTACCATGCATGGCTTACAGTAACGTTGTCTCGCACTCGAATTTGACGCTTAGGTTCATGAACCTGTCGTCCACTCACCCCGACGCCGGTTCAGATGTTCTTGCGAACATGTCCTGGTCAGCACCTAACGCTTCTCTCACTCATCAGGCCCCTGTGCAGCCTTCCTCCATTCCTACTGCGGAAGACTCATTCTCATTCATGGAAATGAACTCCGACGTCAACGCCGCGTTTGCGTTTTTGACGAATGAGGAGAACAATGTCGTGCGGGGAACCGCCAATGGCTGGAACCCTACGCCTGTCAACGTGATGCCACAATCCTCGCAGCCCGCCTTTGACAGCCTCACGCTTCCTCCTGCGGTGTTCTCGCAGCCGGTCACCCTCGGCGCGCCCACAACCATGCTGCCGATGAGTGCTACCCCCGCTATGTCGCGCTCTTCCGCCTATAGTACAAGCTCTACCTCGAGCACTGGCATCTCCCCCCTCCCCACGCCCGTCGACGACGAAATGATGATAGATATCTTCGCGCCGCACATCCTCTCGTCCCTCGGCGCCCCGGAAGACATCCTCTCCAACATGCCCTCGTCCGACTCTGAGCTCGAGCGTGAGCTCGAACGCGAGCTCGCGCTGGTCTTCGGGAAGGGGCAGAAGGGCGCCGCCGCCAAGTTTGGGAAGGACCTTGCGCAGCCAGCATGCCCCGTGCCCGCCCGGTGCGGGCCCGACGGCGTACCCCTCCCCGTGGTTGCGCTCCCCGGCCGATCCTTCCCCGAGACCGACGTGCACGGTATGTTCTTCGACGAGCGCCAGTTCTCTGCCTTCAACATTTCCGTGTCGCCGAGGCCCGCGACACCCACTCACGACGACGAGCCGCCGCGTGCGTATGCGCGGTGGAACGAGCACTGCAGGAAGACGCGTGCAAAGGCAGCGGCGGGCGTGGTGGATGAGGATGATGATGAGCTGAGTATAATTGCGGAGGCGGAGGAGCCGTCGCAGGAATTGTCGGAGGAGTTAGAGATCAAGGAGGGCGAGCTGGAGAAACTCTTCGTGGAGCTGTTTGGGGAAGACCTGCCAGAGGACTTCGAAAATTGAAGCGGTCTCTCCCCTTCTGCATGCCACGCACTGTGTCTCTGTCTCGTTCCGCCAACGATTCGGATTCAATTGCTGTCATTCATATCCTTTTTTTCTTTCTTTTTCGTTTCGGACCGCTGCTACGGATATTCTCACATCCTCTCTCACCCTATACCATACGGTCATGGACGTACTTTCCTTTCTCCCCCTCCGCTCCCCGAACTCTTCCACTCCTCACATTCCCGTTGCTACGGACTCGTTGTCATGCTGATCCCTCTCTTTCTTCCAGCAGCTTTCCTTCCATCGTCTGTAACCATCCCAGAAGCGATGCCAGACGTCTGAGGCGAGTGATCCATTTCTACAATCTCGTGCTGACCTTTGCATCCCCAGAATTCTCGACGAGCGAACGATGGCAGGCGAAAGGTATGCTTTGGTTCATACGTTAACAGCGAGAAGACTGAAGTCAGAACCAGCACCACAGGGACAGCTGGCGATCTAGCGAGGGTCTGATCAATCCGATGACCTAGGCTCCCCGGCAACGGTAGTATTCTCCTATTCTCCTAGACTTTGACCTGCCTCTCTTGTGAACATGCTAATCTTCCCATGAGTGATGCTTGACAGGTCGTACGCAAATATGGGGACCGACGACGGTGGATGATGATGGAGGACGGCAGATAGGTCATGTGGGTGTAGCATACCGGGCGACTTGTTGCACGGCAATGTCGCTAGCCCATTACCCCCTTCATATTTCGGCTCTACGTGCCCCGGTGGAACAAACTGCGACTTGGGCCATCGGTGAGAAGATATACGTGCTTCGATGTACTATAATGTAATGCACAGGTAGATCCCGATAATTTCGACTCGGAACATAATACATTTAGGATCCTTCCTTACGTTGAACTTACGGGGATGTGCTCGATGGTCTGAAGTGCGCAACGGTATGGGGTGTGTAATAGACAGGATAGCATTAGGAGCGCGAGTGGTTGGCATATATAGTTGATGTAATGCAACACGATGCATCCGAGGGACGAGGATGGGGAGCTGTCACTCGCCGGGGGGGTAGTATGAACTACCACCGCCACCTCGGATGGAATGAATGCTCCAGCTGACGAGGCATCTCCGGCATTGCCAATGGAAGACCATGAAGTAGAAATCCGAATCGAGGTTCGGTGTAGCGGCTGATCCTTAAGATCGAAGGCTACGTACTCCCCTTTTCCGTTGCTCCTCGGATAGCGGCTTCCAGCTATACCGCGTCTCTATTTATTACGTCTCTATTAACAAATTTTCTCTTCAATCCTACATATGCGTGCTAAAGCTCAAGCCCACGCCTGTGGCGCGGTCGGCGCTTAACTCTCACCTGGGATGGTTTGTCACATGATCGCGTCGTGACCGCACGTGATCGCGTTTGAGCGAAGCGTCGCAGGATGCAAGGGAGCGTACGTGATGCGATCTGCGTTCCTCTCTCGCGTCGTATGTCCACTTATATTATCTACGGTGATATTCTTCATTATTTAAAGCTCTCCTGAGAGATCCTCCAAGTGAAAACCTATCAGCTGCCATTCATTCATTGACCCTCAATGTCAAGGAAGAGAATGCTGAATTGTGAATATGCGAAAGTTGGTATCTGCGATGATGAAGAGTGGATTAAACTCTCCGCCGATGATCCACATTTATACATTGCAGCAGGATCTAATAATATCGACGCCCATTCACGCCGGTTTTCTGGTCCTCACAAACTTGCTGTAAAGACAAGTTGCATCACCTTCTAGTTCGTACCCGCTTCAGTTGTTAATCTGGAGGGATAACACTTTCTCCAAGACTCATGAAAGGGAATCGGAGCCTGCAGTGGTGAAAATTGTCTTGTCTTCTCCAGCGTAGAATATCGCGGAACAACAGATACATCAAACGAGAAGGTGTTCGTACGTCGGTCCGTGTTGGGGCTCTCTCACTATGCAGGTAATAGTCTAATAAGGTGGGTGCATATAGATAATCAATGCAAGGCGTTGTGGCGTTCAACTCGGACCTGGGAGGATATTTTCTCATGAAGCAGGCTAGTGCCATCCACTGTCCTTGCCATGTACCGTAAAATGGATTGCAAGTAAGGCATATCCCATGCCAGCTGCCATATGCTCTGGGCTTGAGGCATTCAGGCCTCAGGTTTGAGGTGTGCGCGTGTGTACGTACTTGAGTAGACTTGAGTCCAATATTCGGGACATTCGGGAGAGCCAAGCCGTTGTGGCCGGATCCGGGATGACGGCGTGCATCTCATATATGGCGCTCTACTAGCTTGCGCTGTCACCTTCAATCTCACCAATTACCTGCTGCATTAGCCGCTGCAGTACTACTCTTCCTGCTATATGTCCAATCGAAATCTATCCATGCACTCGAAAGTTGTCCTCGCGATTCCGGTCTAGCGTCTATTTCGGGCTCTAAGATCAAACGCTTTGCGCTAAGTACATGCGGTCCTCCTGATCCAAGGCGTCAGGACATGGACATTTGACCACGGAGGAGGACCAAGCAGTGCCTGGATGGACAGAAACAGTGGACTCCACGTGATCTACTTTATATGCGATTGGATCGATGCACGGTGCACGGTGCGGCTTGTCATAAAACCGCTCGACCCGCCGCAGCTCACACCTCTTGACTCTTGTCTTTTCCTCTCCTACTAGACGGACTTAGCTTGCCACGCCAGAATGCCTTCCGAAGCCTCAGCCTCAGCCTCTCGTTTCATCCCCGAACCCAAGACAGTCGCGGTGCGTGCATCGCGCCTGTGACGAAATGCTCACCATTCAGATGATTGACGAGCAAATAGATTGTCGGGTGTCCCTTTAGGTGATCCCCATCCCTATTTTCAGTAAACTGAGGCTAATTCGTTCTCGCGACCGTCCTGAAGAGGCGGTCAGGTATACATTCCGTCCACGCTTCCATTTCTCTGCCACTGATTGGTTGTCACCCCCAGTCCAAGCTCGGCGTCGACCGCGGTCCGGTCAGGCTCGTGGAGGCGGGGCTGCCCGAACAGATCGCGGAGCTCGGCTGGAAGGTTGAGTTCGACGGGCACCATCAGTTCGAGGAGATCGACGAGGAGAATGACCCGCCAATCGGCAAGCTGAAGAACCCGCGCCTCGTCTCGCGCGTGTGCGAGGCGGTCGCGAAGGTCGTTGGAGGGCATGCGAAGAAGGGGCAGATGACGCTGACGTTGGGCGGGGATCATTCGTTGGTGCGTGAGGTGATTGAGAGGACGAGGTCACACGCTGAAAGTCTTATAGGCCATGGGTACGATTTCGGGGACGCTGGAGTGAGTCGGAGACCATGTGCTAGAGTGTGCAAGCGCTAACTCCCATACAGTCGCTACCCTGACGCGTGCGTGATCTGGGTGGACGCGCACGCCGACATCAACACCGCCGAGACGACTGAGTCAGGTACGCCCGCCCCCATACCTTATTTCCTCCTGCCACCCACCTGTCACCCAGGCAACATCCACGGCATGCCCGTGTCCTTCCTGCTCGGGCTGGGCCCCAAGATTCCTGAATTCAGCTGGGTGCGCCCCGCCCTCGCGCCGATGCGCTTAGTGTACATCGGCCTGCGCGACGTTGATGCGGGCGAGAAGCGCATCCTGAAGGAGAGTGGCATTCGTGCGTTCAGCATGCACGAGGTCGACAAGTACGGCATCGGCAGGGTGGTCGAAATGGCGCTCGACCACGTGAATCCGGGCAGAGACCGCCCGATCCACCTCAGCTTTGATGTGGATGCGCTCGACCCGAGCGTCGCGCCGTCGACAGGAACGCCGGTGCGTTAACTTGAGGGGTCGGGCGATCTTTGTTGCTGATGGGTCGGTATAGGTTCGTGGCGGTCTCACCTTCAGGGAGGGACATTACATCTGCGAGGCGATCTACGAGACCGGATGTCTTGTCGCTGTGGATATAATGGTGAGACGATACTGCTATCATGCATTCGCTCGAGATGAAACATTCCGATGTCGATGCAGGAGGTCAACCCGTCGCTTGCGGAGGACAAGGATGTGGAGCAGACTATCGCAGTGGGCTGTTCGCTCGCGCGATCTGCGTTAGGTAGTCCTTCTCTTGTATAACTATTGTCCGCCTTGCTGACATGCTTTTCAGGCGAGACGCTCCTGTGAGGACATTGATGACGACTATATCCATCCATAGGGCTAGAGTAGAAGCATGGCTTTATAGTACAGGCATTTGACTACACGGCAAAGGGTGAGTTTTGTTCACCGCCGGTCATTCGCAGTTCGCGGTCTATCATCAATTGTACACCTCTTCATTGGCGTGGGGTCTCACTACTATACTGCTATGGACAGATGAGGGACATTATGCTCAAATGGCAGAGACCATAACTCCAATCTTGATTGTAGATGGAAACTTTACGTCCCACGTCGCAATGCTTTATCACTATATGTTAGACAAGTCGATCTCATGGCCAGTAAGAATATCGTAAGAGTGATTAGGAATCTTAGCCGCTACGATTTGCTTGCGTTAAGTGCTGCTGATGATGGACGTAGCGACATTCATGGCCATTCCTGATCCGCGTAAGAACAAAATGGCTTCTCTCAAGTCGAATGTAGAGGATATATGTGGTCACGTACTATAGCTCGAACCAAAGCCTTGAGCTTTTCCAGGTCTCACCGAGCAAAGACACGCTCGCACAACAACATTCCAACTTGCGATGGTTCATATATCTGGAAAGTGTGAGATGCAACTTCACACTCGATCAATGCGAGTCTCAGGCCCGTTTGATCGTGTTTCAGACACCCCGAGGAAGAAGCGACGCCGCTGGTCCTAATAAAAACCTTTTGAGAGCCTCCAGAAAGAGTGAGACAGATTTATGAGCACGATAGCATGAGAGAAGTCTCTCATTCAAGCCCTGCTGCAGTGTTAAGAGGAGGAGAACGCGTTGTTGCCACAGACGTGTTATTCTTGCACGTGATCGTGATTGACACCGCGCGACCCCTGCCACAGCGCGATTTGGACTTTCCGGCGTGGAAACTGTTCGCGAGAATTAATGAGAAGATGTTAACCGCAATATTCACGCAGATGGCGCCATGAGGTGGAGCAGAAGAGCACTCGTTGCCTGAGTGGATATGCAGATCCAGCATCTGACCTGGGCCTAACTCGCGGGATGTCGATGGGTCGTCGTAGTAAGATCAGCGGCAATATTCTCTCTTGGAATGCAGCCCACACATGCTTTTGGGGAGGTCAGAGCGCAATTCAGCACTCTGCATGTTAGTCGCCATCGGTGTTTATATTAGGAGGGGGGTTCACTCGGCATACGAGCTTAAATAAACCTGATCTTGGTTCGTATTTCTTGTGCACGGTGTCGGCCACGGCGCCAGTTATTTCCGAAGATGTCGACGTGGAAGCATTGAACGGCCGCCGTGCAACATTGAAGGTGCTCGGTTGCGTTGAGGGCTGTTCCAATATAAATTTCCGCTGTCCGGGTAGCAATCGCACCTATTCTCCGAAGCCCGATCGAGGTGTCCGATACGACTAGCACAGATCATCCATTGTCCAAAACTCCAGTCCTCAAGGAGCCGGCGAGGCAAGGCAGCATGCAGCGGACGAGTAGCGAAACTGGAGGAATTGTGAGAGAACGTGACCGCGTCCGAAATTAGAACGCGTCTGTGCAGGAGCCACTAGCTGGAGCGCGATCGTGATGGGTATCACAGCCTTGTTTCCCAGTCTCCATCGCCCACCAGCTGTCTATAAAGCCTGTTTACCTGCCAGCGAGCATGTCTTCTACCTCTCCACCCTTCAACTCGTCCCCCGACAAGCCCTCGCCCACCCTCAACGTCAACATCAAAGGTCAGGCAAGTGCCCCCGCTCTACTCGCTGTAAAACAGCCTAACAATGAACGTAACCAGGTCGAAGACGTTGTAGACGAGATGAAGCACAACAGGAAGCACAAAGTAAAGCACGAAAAGGACTCCGAAGCGCACAGGGTACGTCGTAGGCGTCTTAAAGTGGCTATATGCGTGCTAAACTCGCTGCCGATGCTCGCAGATCTTCCGTGAAAGTGCCGGCCATGCGTCCAGGGGCCTTCCCCAGACGGTGAATCCGGTGAGTCTTGTTTTCATCTCTCAGATACGCGCACCCGTCGCCCGCACCTATTCGGCTCTCCCCCCTCCTTCCCCGATTGCTGAATGCTGACACCCCGTCCTTCGCCAGGATGAAGAGACGGTACCGGGCATTCTGCACCCCGGTAGCACCGGTGTCATCTACTGTTCTGACCGTGCTATGGCCAACGGCTTCTCCTACACATCCGTGCATGAATGGGCCAACCTCGGCCAGGGCGCCCCCGAAGTAGGCCAAATCCCTGACGCCCCCCAGAAGCCCCAGGCCATCCCTATGCCCATCGAATCGCTCGAGTATGCACCGACGACCGGTGTCAAAGGTGCGTATCAGCGCCTGCTTGGGGCTGTGGCCTTGAGCGGTGTGCGATGTGATACGGAAATGAGATGTGCTGATGTTGACTGTCGTGACGTTCCAGCGCTTCGAGAGGCTGTGGCGAAATTGTACAACTTAACGTACCGCCAGGGCAAGGTCAGCCAGTATACCTATGAGAACGTTTGCATCGTCCCTGGTGGACGATCCGGTCTCTCTCGTGTCGCTGCCGTCATTGGGGATGTCTATACTGTGCGTACCACTCTTTCTGACAACGATCAACGATCAGGTTGATCTTACACATGCGTCCATCACCTTAGTCATATCAAGTCCCCGACTACACCGCTTATGATCAAGTTTTGGGCGCATTCAAGCGTCTTGTACCTGTCCCCACCACGTCAGTCGGGTTTTCTACTCTGCTGATGTGTTTATCAACTAATGCTCTCGCAAATACATGAACAGTCTCGAAGAAGATGTCCGTAACCCTTTGCACTTCCTTCCGTAATATGTTATTCTGATATGCGATGTAGGACGGCTACCGCTTTAACCTTTCGCAAGTCCGCGTGAGTACTCTCGTTCCACCGGTAGCCCACACACATGTTAATGCGTTGCGTTGCACATATTCAGAAAGATATCAGGACACAAGGCCTGCAGGTCATCATGGCGTCGAACCCACGCAACCCGACAGGGCAAGTCATCCGCGATCAGGAGCTGAATGACCTTGTCGCGCTCGCGCGCGATACGACGACGACGCTAATCCTTGACGAGGTCCGTGCTCATCCACGTCACATATCGTGACGATCTACTCATAATGACGTATATTGTGGCGTGTACTAGTTCTATTCATGGTATATCTACCCGGAGAAGGAGGAAGACTTCGGCAAGTCCATCTCCTCAGCAGAATTCATCGACGACGTGAATTCGGTGCGCATATATGCATCATTTTTACTCTCTGTACCGCGCTAACGTACTCGTTCACCAGGACCCCGTCGTCATCGTCGACGGACTCACCAAGGTATGGATAGATGTGCCTGTTTGGAAGAGTTTCAACCGCTGACGGGAGACCGGTAGAACTGGCGCCTTCCCGGCTGGCGAATCTGCTGGGTAATGGGGCCAAGAAACCTCATCACCGCTCTCTCGCAGTCCGGCTCGTTCCTCGATGGAGGCGCCAACCATCCGTAAGCTCTCATGCTCCCCAACTATCCTTGCATCTAATTTGGTTCATTCTACCCAGTCTGCAGCTGGCGGCGATCCCGCTACTTGACCCTGCGCGCGTGAAACTCGAGAAGCTCTCGCTGCAGCGGCACTTCAAGCACAAGCGGGACCACGTGCTCGCCCGGCTCAAGGAGATGGAGCTGGAGGTGAAGGTACCCCCGCGTGCGACGTTCTACATCTGGCTTGACCTGGGGGGTTTGCCTGCGCCGATCAACAATGGGCTGGTGAGTGTCGATCTATACGCATGCCTGAAGGAGGAACTGATTGTGAGTTGATGGCGGTGATAGACGTTCTTCGAGGAGCTGCTGAAGGAGAAGACCATCGTCATTCCGGGTATATTCTTTGATATCAACCCTGCGCATCGCCGCAACCTGTTCAATTCGCCTTGTCACCACTTTGTGCGTCTGTCGTTTGGACCGCCGTTGGAGGATCTGGACAAGGGTGCGTCTTTTGCTCCTGCATTCCTGATGTCCCTCCGCTTTCTCTCCCATGGTCGCCATCGCTGTCGAATATACCTTTAGATGCGTTGCTCGGCCCGATTACTGACGGATTTTCTACTCGTCAATATAGGTCTTGATGCTATCGCGCGTGTCGTGAAGGCAGCAAGGAAGGAGGGCGGTCCGCAGCACTTCGGGCATAGCTACAAGAAGAGCATAGACTCGCCGACGGCGCTTCATCGCTTCGTTTGAGCGTGAAATGAAGTTATAGAGAACGCTGTACGTCTATATCTGGAATTCTGATACATCTCAGAGCATTAGATAGTTTAGAATGGTACGGGATTCTTATGAAAGCTCTGAATGGGCAGCAGTTGTGTTGGTTGACTGCTTCCGATAAGATGCTATTTGATGCATACATGCGTGTGCATTAGCGATCGCATAAAGGGTTGTGGCTCAATTGGTGTTCGTGTGCTTTTAGGTCGTGCAGCATACTAATCAGTCTAGAGTCGTGGTTGACACTGCAGGCATGAAGGCATTTATTCCCGCTGCAAATGCTCTGAAAATGTGTTCTAAAGTGTGACCTATGCAACACTATGCCCTAATTAGGCAACTTTATTTCCCAAAAAGGCAGTCAATTACAATTTAGTGTCATTAAATAACGGTCGCAAATGCTTTCATGTCTGCGGTGTGAATGGCAGATTTGGGCACGAGCATGTGCCTATGGGAATCGAATAGGAAGGACGGGCGGGGACACTCCTGAGCTAGACTATCCGAAGGGAATCGCTGGGATTCTGAGCATCTATCACGTCTTGGATCAGCCGATTAACGGGCGGAAGCAAATCTCAATCTAACCTTTCTATTCAGGTGGCTCCCATGCTCGTTAGGCATCGTCACTGCGGATACAATCTATCTGATGATCAACGTGTTCTTTTCATGGTTGAGAAGCTGCGAATCGCTGCAGCGCGGCCGCTCACGCCTTTTTTTTCAGGCTATATACACGAAGACTCCGGATTGGTGATGCACAATGTCTCATAAACTTTCGCTTTTTTATAACATATCCCGGTGTCGTGGCGGCTTTGACCATCAACAAGGTTGGTTAGCGTCGGCGGTCGGTTCTACGGCCAAAATGGTGACCCGTCGGTGATCATGGCCGCGGACAAAGAAGTCGCTGAGCGGAGGGTCGTGGCCGGGCACTAGTTTCGATCGTACTATCTGTCGGGTACTAGCGTCCGGTGCGCTGCCAGGACTCTCGCGGGAGCAAACTTCATGGTCTTCGCGGAGACAGGTTCATAAGTCGAACATGATAGCGGTGTTACATGACGACTTACCGCCCCCGTCTCTTGCTGTACTTGCAATTGTGCATGGCCGCTACCCCCATATCATAGTGTCAAATCATTGATAGATCCTTTGATACTTCTTTAAATTCATGGAGCTTTTTTTCTCCGAGCCTGATACGGCGCATAATTCCGCTACATAGCCATTAATGGAAGGGTTGGCGGCAGTTCTCTGAACAGCTGCCATGCTCTTGCATCGCTTTTCCATTGATTGGCAGATGCAACGAGCATGGGGGCGTATGATCACAGTCTTGTAAAGCAGACGTAAACGTCAGCAGCTCTGTATGCTGGGCAGGACTAGATTTACAGAGGCGAGGTACGTTTCTCAGCTTGATGGCGGTGAATGTGAAACTCCTTGACATTGGCATCGCGGCGTAGGCTGGAGCGAGATTACATTGCGCGGGAGGCTGAGCTGTTTTGCCCACGCAGGTCCGCCAGAGCCTTCCGATTTAAGTCAGGCACGCGGCTCGACCTGGATATGAGGACCTGTCAATGATCATCAGCGCGAACTGTATTGTCGCTTCGCAGTAGCATTGGCGCCCTGGCGATGCATCTTCACAGTGATGGACTTGCTCGCTGTTGACAAGTCGTAACTATGCATCAGTTAAGGAAACCGCGGGCCACATCTACGGCACTTTGCCTCGGCGCGCATTGCGACCGACCCTCGCACTCACTTTCCCTTGCCCAAGGTCTCTCTTTTTATCCTCTTCGTCTTCCGTTGCCCTCGGAAGTATGATAGGCGATGAGGGCTACGCACATGTGCTTTCAGCTCGGGACGCAGTAGTCTCCGGTGTCCCGGTTGAATTCTGGCTTCCCATCCTGGCGCTCGACAATTCGGAGATTTCTCAGTCATTTCAGGACTCTGCCGCAACGTTGTTGCGCACGTAAGTGTCCAATCCCGGTGACAACGGCCTATCAGCGCAACACTCGCGGGAGCTTAAGGTGTTCATCAGTCTAGCACCTCGCGGCCCGGCCATAGGTCTTTAGTCTCCTGGCCTGATCTGTTTCAGTCAACGCAACGCCAAGTAAGCTACCGCGCATCTTGGAAGCCGTATGTATGCAGAGAATATCGTAAGCCTTGAGCGGGGAATGGCAGGCAGCTGACAGAGTGTGTGCTGGCATGATGAGAATTATAGCGTCGGACCCACCTCACTCCAAGCATATAGCAAGAAGGCAGGTATTCCGAGATCGCGATGCATGGCGTATTACCTACATGCACCGGCAATGACCTCGTGTTAGTAATGTGCCAATGACAGTCGTTACACCGGATAGCCCGTGGTATCAACGTACATAGGTATTATATCCTCCTCTGGTGTCGCCCTATCGTGCAATCATCGCTCGCGCCATGCGGGTCGTAAAAATAATGAGCCTATCAAGCCGTAGATGTCTCGATCGTCATCGCACCCCAGAATCCCCCGTTTGGAGATTCTGGGATGCCATTGATCCCCGAGTCGCCCTGTTTTGCGCGCTCACGCAGCTGCCCCCATTGCACCCACCAGTTGTCCGCCTCGTCTTCGCAATCATAACCAAAAATAGTCCGTATTTCCACCCACTGCTCACTCTCCACGCCATTCTCGCCATCTTCTGAATCGAAGACGTTCTTTCCCGCTCGGTATCTCGTCTGCATGGTCTTGTCGCGTGCTTCTTGTTCGGGACCATCCTCCATCGTGACGAGCGCCAGCAACCCCACCTCTGACTGGCGAGCGACTTCGCAGCGCTTTTGTCGGATGTCTTGAAAGGCGCACAGGAAGCTCTCGATCTGCTCGTGCCTAGTGAGATGGCTGAAAAGCTTGGCCAGCACTGCAGCATCTTCGAGTGCCATTGCAGCCCCTTGGATAGCCCCTGGCTGCAGGTGTCTCAGTCGGATGTGTCGTGCACTCATATTGGCGTGGTACGCACTGCGATTGGATGTGCTGCCTGGCCCACTAGTAAAAGGTGGCCGCTGTCATCTACCCAATCCTCAAGATCTTCATATTGGTTGATTGCGACTCGTATTGCATTACTTGCATGATCGCCTACAGCTCGCAGCCTGATTGACTCAGTCAATCATGTCATATCTGGGCCATGAATTGTAATACTCACCTTGGATCACAGACTTCCGGCAGTAATGTGCGCAATTGGGTAGAAGGAGGATCACCGTAAAAGCCCTCCTCCCCTTCGTCGCGCAGAAAGAATTGGAATGCGATTTCCTCGTAATTGCGCTGAAGGGCCTTCGATATATCGTCGGCGAGGACGAGATGTGCACTTACGACGGGATACCCAGTTGCGGCGCAGCCATTGCCGAACGACATGAAGACGGTGTTCTAGTCATATGATTGATGCGATGAGTTCACGTAGGGGAAGCGCGGGGTGACCACAAACCCCTTCAATATTGACGATTTCCAACATGTCGTGAGGCATGGTCTCTGTTGCCAACTTCGTGCTGTATGTTGCACTGGATAAATGAGGTGTCAGCGTTGAGGCCACGAGGCGATGCAAAAATAGACGCACTCAAAGAGAGACATCCCGCTAGGTACCACGCGCTCGTTCCGTCCGAGCACTAGCCGGCGACATATTCCTCTTTCACCATCTGCGCCGATGATCACATCGGCCGATAAGACCTCTCCCGACGCGAGTCTGACTTCCCGCTGCTCAGCATCAATCTCGACGACCTCAGCATCTGTCCGAACTTTGGCACCGGCAGTTACCGCTGCGTTGTACATGACTTTGTATAATTCGGCATGCTAACGACATGATGAGGTGTGGATCGACAAGCCTTTCCTGAGATACTCACTGTCATGAGCAGGAACTCTCCTTGAGTTTCCTTCAGCAGTTCGGCATCCCACAATTGAACGCCGATAATTTCGCCGGTTTGGACTATCGCCGTCATCAGTAAAGGCCGCAGAGGAACGATGGAAGCACGGACATTTGGAGAAGAGGATTGGATGAGATGCTAGCGAGACCTCCCGCAGCTGTGGCTTGAGGCCCCAGCGATACAAAACCTTGGACATGTTGGGAGGCGCTCGAATGCCACCATGTCCCACCTAAACATAGGTGAGTTGATAATATAATGATACCACTGTAGGGCGTACATTACTTATTCCATCGCCTTTCTCCAGGACAAGCACCCGATGTCCGATACGTGTGAGACCCAGAGCAACAGAGAGACCTGCGATGCCTACAGAATGACATAAAACTCATATGTCGTTTGCCCACATCTCGGCCAGCGTACCTCCTCCGACTACCAGGAAGTCAACGGACAAAGGCGTTTGCACGGGTGAGATTGACTATGATGTCGCGTGAGTTCGCCCGAGCAGTGATGCAGGAGGTAATCCACATACCTGAGACTTCATGATGAGTGTCCTTCGACAGGGAATTGATGGCGGAGTAATCGGAAGGTGGTGTCCTTACCGAACATATGTAATATATAGTGCTGAGAGCCGGGACAGTGTGTACTGCCCATTGGACACCGAAGGCCGAGGGAAGATCCGATCACGGCTAATGAGTGGCAACGGCATCTCTCGGCCTCGTGCTGTCCTTCACTTGCTTCCGTTACTTTCGCAAGAACCAGCAACTGTTGCGCCGATCAGAATGGGTACTTCTCGACGCATACACCCTTGGTTTCGCAGCACTGTGGCCTGTTTATCGTGGGGGTCCGTCGCAACGTTGCGCAGGCACGCCCTAACTCCGTCGGATCATGTTGCTTGTCAGCTGCTCGCCGGCGCTCTGCACAACTGGCGCCTTCAAACAAACACACGCTGTACATCAGCATTCTCAAGCGCGACCACACGGAGTTCTGTACAATTGTGTGATTGATTGTTGGTTGTAGGGCGAGACCCTGAAACATACCCAGTTAGGTAGTCTGCAGCATTGTCTTAGCTAATTCGCGGGATTATCGTCGATGCGAATCTCTCGCTTGGGCGTTGGAACTTGATGGGGAACTGCACCGTGAATGTGATGTTCTTTTCAGGCATGAAAACAATTATTTTTACCTGAGATGATTTAATAAGTGCTATTTCTCTATCAGAAGGATTTGACGTACACAAGCTGGGCCTTCCACAATATCTAATCGCCGAAAAAACCATCCTGCCGCCGCGCAACTTCTCTGAAAGAAAAGATGCACCCGTCTTCGTTTCAATCATTTCCGTCAAACGTTTCGTAGCGGGCTCGCATGGCCAGGGAAGTTGCGAGGGAAAATGAAAATGATGCACTGAACCACTGCTGAGCAATCTGCACGAGCATCCCCGTAAGGTCATCCGAAGCGCAACGTGGCACAGGCGTCTGGGCAGGCCTTCAGCGCCCAACGGCTGCGCAACGCAATGCCATATGCTCTCTTGACGATGCGACATAGAGATGAAGTGCATCAGCGAAGTACAGACGTGAACAGCGAGGATCGCAGCTCGGAGAGGAGTCATGCCATGCGATATGTTAAATCGCCTTTGGTAGAAAATAATTAGGACTGACGTATGTCACCTATTGAATTGTACGTTGTCCTTCTAACCTCCGCAGAAGCGATCGTCTCCACGCGACGGTGTACGCATTCCGATATCAAATCCGGCAAGGAGATGCGAGCGGATCAGAGAGCTCGAATCGTCTATGAGTAGACAGCGGCGTAACCGAAATCATCGGACTGTCATCCTCATTATCCGCAATTTTGAATCTTACTGTGCGCAATTGAGATGCGTAGACCTGCTCAGCAAGATTAGCTTGGCAGCCTTTAAATCATATTGCGTTTTTGAGATGCTTACTGAGCACCAAACAAGTCTCTCGCCGCTTGTCGGGGTGTTTCAAGAGGTTCTTTCCGTCTGAAGGCGAAAACATATATGTTCCAGATCATTCTAGTCCGAGGAGGGAGGTGTAACAGGGGCCTTCCGCGAGAAGCCTACCCTTCTGTGTCTCTTGATTGCAATGGTTATGAGCCGCGGAAGTATATAGTGCCGTTGGACAACCCGGAAAGACATGGTTTCAGTACGAACCAGGGTCAACAGAGATGACATCGACGAGACTGCGCGAGATGCGCAACGGCATTTATGAGGCAAACGTATAGTAATGTCTGGCCTGCCGAAGCCATCGGGGATGCGTACACTTTCGTACGGCCATCGGTCACCTTCATGCCTTTGAGTACATCGAAAACCGGATCGTGGCGTCCTCATCCGCGGTTTCAGACTATGAGAGACAGGCACTGCAAAATGCAGTAAATGCGAGTAAGGATTGGCAGTAGTCTGGTAAGATGCCAAATGACTGTCGGTAAGGTTTGGTACGACAGGATCCACCACATAGAGTAGTAGCAGAGCTTAGCCTCCCGATGTTCCGATTGTCGAGCGCCTGGCATTCAATGCTTCGGGCAACGATGGTCTTGGTCCGAAGGCGATACAATTGAATGAGTATTGCTGACACGTGCCTTTGAGACACGTCGACGTGGCCGCCAAGTGCCTGCACAAATTCGTGGATTGCCCCGGTGCGTCTGCACAGCGAGCTTTAAAGCATACCTGTACCGAGGCATGCAAGGAGCCTTGGGTGGAATGGAAGATAGAACGGGGGGGATTTAACGAGATCAAGCACTTGACATCTTCATAAGCAATACGTCGCTGAATCGCAGTGGGCCACTCGTCCGGACTTGGCTTCACCGCCTCATGCAGATTGCTTCTTTCCCAAGCATGCATGAGTAGACAATTCCTATATCTCCGGTGGACATTGTTTAGACGAGAGATTGTTCGAGACCACCGATTTTGACGATGAGACAAGTTCAACTTGCATAACAGCAAGGATTGAGGCATTGTTTTTGGCTCATTCTACGTTTTGGAGCAGCTCACAGGCTGTCACCTCTCCGTGCTGGTTTTGGGAGACACAAGGATAAATAACTGACGTTTCCTCTATCCCAAGGTCACGACCAGGTTGTCGGATAATATATTGAGTGAGGTCGGCAACAACCTAAAAACCTGAGGGAGTTAACACATACTATGGAAGGGTGGACGATCATGCTACGCACTGACTTACCCAACTCTCCTTTCCCCATCACTGAGGCGCCCATTGATCGACACAATTACGTGGCTCGACGTTCGCGTATGCAGCGACAATCTCCCGATCGAGTTTCTGCCACTTTGCGAGCCGTGAGATGCTTTTCACATCCAGATCAATGATGTGAAGCGAAGTCTTCACGTTGTCACGGTTAACGTTCGGAAAGTCGATCTTCACCATTATCGAGCAATCCTTGAAGGTCGCAGATAACAAATAGGCCAAACAGTAGTGTCGGAGCTCGTGCACGTGCAACTCGCTTTCAACGGCAGTCGACGTCTTAGAGAAATATTCTTCAATGAACAGTGTCCACTCCTCCAAGGTAGGCTCTGAGAGACCTTCTCCGAGTGCGGGTGCTGGGATAATTGCTGCATGAGCGCGCGCCCATAGCGACGCTAAACCCTCTATATCAAGCTTGTCTAGTGTCCGCTGTAGCGAAGAGAGTATGCGCAGTACAGGCATCTCCAGAAGCGGTGGAATAAGGGATGAAATCAAGCGATCTCGCAGATCTTCTGGTTGTGATCTTGGATCTAGTTGCGTTGAAGACGAATAAGAGTCTAGCACTCTAGCGATGTCAATGAACGCAGCAGACTGGCCTCAAGAAGAAAATCAGATCAGTTGATGGAATAGTTCAAGCACTCGAAAACATACATCATGAGTAAACCTGACTAGTCTTCCCCCCGTGAATACTCTCAGATTGTTGATTTCCCCTGGGCTTGCAATCCACGAGTCCCAAAGCGCAAGAAGTGCACGTCGCACACGCGTTTCATCGCCCGAGTAAAGGTCCAGAGGACAAAATGTCACAGCGACGGTCTCGCATTCTGCATATTTCATATGTGTATGCATACAGAACCGACACGTGCGGGCCTTGATGGGGCGCGTGGATGGTGAAAGGTAGGCAGGTGAAGGTAGAAACCCCCACTTTGGCTGACAGACAAGGTTCAGAGTTTCACTTATGCTGCATAGCCATACTTCCAACACACCTTGATCTCTACTGCAATACCTTCGTTCCCGAGCAAGTCTGGCGCTAGCAAGGCTCTAGTTTGCCTCGTGTCAACGGTATGCTTGGTTCGTCGTTCTCTTGGTCTTTCGTGTTCAGTAAGTTGCGAGAGTGTTTCGAGCCACTTGCTGTCCATAAGCACAGATTCTAATCTGGGTAAGAATTGTTCGGGTATCAACCGCCGAATGACGGCATCATCGAATGCAATGCTATATCCTGCGTGGTCCTGACTTTCCTCAGTAGAATTAAGTTCAGCTTCTACTGAGTTCAAGGGCACCTTGCGCAGTCTCAGTACTCTTCCTGTATATGTCGGATGCACTGGTCCGCGGTAGGAGAACACCATGCTTGCGCCTCCCTCGGCAACATATTTCCAGTGCTCTGGTAGCGTTTGTGTGCAAAGATCAGCCATTTACACAGTTTTCGGTCTGTCGAAAGCGAGATAGATCGAATTATAAGCCAAAGGCATCAGTCGAGGGCAAAGTCGCCGGGAGGGATGCGTCTCGTTCGAGACCAAGGTGTCAGAGCAGATGTCCCCGCGTTAGGCGCGCACTGTTTCGTTCGCGACCAAAAATGGCAGGTGTTATAGTTCTGATATTATAATTTATAGCAGACAAAAAAACAACATTATTTTTAAATGCGACTAAGTAAATAAAGTAATATCAGATACATATTCAACTTATTGTTACCTCATGATCAGTTCGTTATATTTCTCATAGATAAACATAATCGGAAGAAGCGCCCACGAAAGCGCAGTCACGGCCCACGTGATCGTATTATCCCTTGTCGCGTCCAGCCACCATGTCGGTTGCAACGCCTACCCTGCTTCCTCGTAGTCTGCTCTTTCCCAATCTTCTTCCCAGGCCTCCTCAGCCATATCCCACACCTTTGCCTAAGAATGGACAGCGATCGGGGCGTCTCAACAGCAGACGCGATCTGCAACGCGAGATGGACGAGTTGAGTGACGAAGAGGACGAACTCGAAGACTTGGTAAGGAGCATTACCGACTGCAGATTGGATAGAAGATCTCTGACACAGTTGATAGAGCACTGAAGTGAAGAACAGAGGCTTCAACTTCCTGATTCCAATCGGTCGAACCTTCACGCAGCACGAGGAGAAGAATGATGTAAATGAATTCTACGCCTCCGATTCAGCGAATTCAATCGTTGATACCCATCCTTACAGGCTGACGAAGCGTCTGATGAATCTGAAGATAGCGACGCATCGGGCAGCGAGGCCCCATCCATCGGGGACGAGGGAGAGCATGACTCGGAAGAGGAAGATCTTGACGCTGAGATGGAAGACTTGGACGACGATGGAGGAAACATCACCGCAGGGGTGGTCGACCTTGACGCTGAAGACTCAGTGCGTGCAAGCTCGGTTGATATTGACAACGAAGACGAGGATGACGAGGAGGAACCATCTTCTGAACTCTGATGGAGTATACCCTGAGTCCTTTCATAGCTGTAGCACGTAAAGAGATCCAAATGTAGCCATAGACATTTTTTTTGATATGAATGCTTTCATTTTCGATATATCATGGACATAATAACAGATCAAGCATTTGCTGCTGCGTGACTAGCTGTGCTCAAGGGAATCAACGATACAGAAGGTCGTTTCGCGCAAGGTCGATTGGCGACGCAGAAGGAAACTATTGGTTATACCATACAAGCATTCCATGCCCTATTTAGACTGATAGGGAAGGGTCAAACGGAGCGAACGCATCCTTGAACACTTCGACGTCTGCCTTGTCGTCCCTTTCCGACTGCGCGCACGCCTTCCAGTCGAACCTGTCCCGCATTCCCAGGAGGTTTACCAATACCTGCCTTCTCGCAGCGCTGTTAGCAACTGTCACCGGGTTCCACTCGAACCTCACGTACCTCCCAAATTGCAGGCTGAACGGGACGGAATCCCGCAACAAATATACCATCTTCCTTCCATCCGGCAGGTCCACGCGGAAGTAGCTGCCCTTTCCTCCGCTGCACACTTTGAGTGCCTCTTCCGGGTCGGCTTCAAACTCGATGCCTTGGGTACGGCCCTCATTGATGAACGCCTCTTCCACGGCACTCGTGAACTTGTTCGGGATGGGCACAGCTTGAACATGAGCATGACCGCCTTTCGCACTGAGTCGCCCAACCTCGAACGACACCGGAACTGCGCCGTACTTGGCATACATCGCATGAAGGGCCGACTTATACCTGGTTTTAAAAAAGGAGAATCAGCCAATCTTCGAGACTAGACTATCGTCATGCGAACGGCGAACTTTTCGGTTTCTTGCACGATTGGAGGCGCCAGGTCAGGCGGGATGGAACTGTAGGTAGGGTAGTGCGTGATCGGTACGATAAGAACATGGCCGCCGCCTGGCACGGCCGGCGCATTCGGATGCGCTGCCGATGTGTGCGTAGGGACAATTTGGCCCTTGGGGAGTGTCACATAGCACTCGGTGCCGATGGATACAATGAGGTGTTTGCTGCGACACGGCGAGGTGCGAAGCTCGTTACAACATATCGCAAGGATAGTAGACTTGCCACTCACGCAAGGTTGGGGTTTGACAAACAGAACCAGCAATCCTCCGCTAAGAACAAACGTCAGACTGACGGTGAATACAAGAGCACAGAATCCTTACGTGCAATCTCCTTCGGATGACCTCTATTCGCTCTGCCATTACGCTCCCTTCCACCCTGCTTGGCAACAGGACAGTCTTGGATATAGTGCAATTCGCTCCCACATGCCCTGCATACATACCCTTCTCGTGGCTTGCGCCCGCCGGTGTCGCCCACAGCATTCTTCACGGGACAATCGCGCACAAAGTGACCTGGCTATTGTTCACATTCAGTGAATCGTGCTCTCACCTGCGACCATGCAACCAGAGCTCACTTCGTGGCAGATCTTACAAATGTACCCTTCCTTGGGTTTGGCACGGTCCGGGCAGTCGGTAATGAAGTGCTATAAACAGATATCAACTAGTATCGCTAAAGACCATGTCATTAGTTTGACAGACCTCTGTTGATTCGCAGATTTTGCACTTGTATCCAGCTGGGGGTTTGTCTGGCTCGCCTCCATCTGCATTCACTTGTTCGCCAAAAACAGTCAACACGTTGATCTACGGACGTACCAGTACGCGTGCGCTTTTCGGTCTGCTTAACATCTCCCCATCGGTAGTTAGTACTTTCTTCAGTCTCCAGCGCACGCTTGGGTGCTCTGGAGACGACTGGTTCGGTGAAAGGATTCAAAGTAGCATTCGCAGGCCGTGGTGGCGCCTCGGCATCCGGCGTATGTGGTGTAATAGAGAATGCATAAAACCACTAGGCAGGACGAAAATGTAAGACCCTTCACATGTCAAACAACGTGCCTTACGCACCCGCTGCTTCTTGCCTTCCGCAGGCTGGCCCCCAAAGGCGCCGAGACTAACAAAACGTGTGATGCGCCCGTTCTCGTCATCCCACACGAACGGCTCGCGCTCCCAAAACCTCGGAGGGACCCCTCCTCCCGCGGCGAAGTGATATCGTGGCTTCGTGCGCCGAACAACCTCGGCCACGGGTTCCACGCCGATAGAGGCGAGCTCGGGAGCAGGAAGCGGCGCGAGGGAGAAGCGCGTGATGTCTGAAGGACAGGCGTTACTGATGAAGACGTCGACAAGCTGCGAGTCCAGAGCGGTCGCTTTGATGGCTGCGAGCGACGTGTAATTCTGGTCTCCCGGGTGCGATACTGTCAAAGTATTGGCGAGAAGTTTTTCCACTGTTTGCACAGTAAAGTATGGTGACGTAAACCCCTGGAGACGGTCTCAGATATCGTTCGCTAGGATAAGCCGAAGACTTTACGTGAGCTGACTCTGCCGCGGCATAGATGTTGGATTCATAAACTCCGCCGAGACATGCAATGCGCAATCCATGGGGTGTCGTGATGATGCCCGACTTGTCTTGTGAAAGATAAAGTCTGGTGGGCCCTCTTTATCCTGAAGTGAATGCTTACGAAGTAGTATTACATTCATGGTCAGCTTGCTCCCTGTCTTTGCGAATTTCTCGATCACAGGGGAAGGCAAAGGATATTCTCCTTGCATGACGTAGCATTCAATAGGAACTGTGGCATAAAGAAATAAGACACTGTTAACCACAGCAGGGCACAATTGTACGCGACCTTCCAGGTTCCCCTCGAGCAACTGTATTAGATCGTCTTCTCCAGTGTACTCTTCTCCCTCATCCTTGGGAGGACCAAAGAAATCTCCTGCGCATAGTGCGAGGGCAAACTTGCCGTGTTTCGCGTCGATGGCCTTAATTTTTGAGAGCAATTCTCGAATGGACCCGGCGGCAGATCCGACTGTGAGACTTGCACTTGCGTAAGTCTTGCAAGAGTTCTGCTCTCCTTTCTGACTCACATTTTTACAGAAGACATGATATGCTATATGGTTTGTTGAAAGTTACAGTCTGCCAGCAGTAGGAAGCTAAGGTATCTCAGCCGTTGGAAGTTGTGGCCCGCTAGTGCGAGTCGCAACTCGCCACCCAAGCTCGCCTGTCGGACTTCGAATCGTAGATTGCGATGTAGGCGCCCTCACACAGCAACCAAATAAGAGTAAATTGGACGCCACAGCGACAGTTGTGGCCGCACATTGATCGACAACCTCGACACCTTTCCGAACAAACAAATCCACATCGATTCGCAAGCACATACCAGCACTGCTTGTTCTACTTTTCTGACGCTCTCATAAAATTCAGAATTCTTCAAGGGTTTGTCTAGTGACTATAAGCTGTCGGGGCTCAAACAGTAAATACACATGGCGTACAATCACAAGCCTAACCCTTGCTCTAATGCTGGATCCGGGGAAAGACCGTCATGAAAGTGATCGTGGATAAGGCGATGGTGTGTACAGCCTCTATAAATATGGTTCGACTGTCTGCAAAAATAAGCTGAAAACCCTTCACGATTGGTACGGAAGACTTTTGAACGTATTGGACTCCCTCATAGCCTTGTTCCCTTTTTCTTGATAAACGCGGACGCTCTGCTGCTTACATCGTCCTCGAAATCGGTACGCTACGATACTGATCCTGGAATTGCTTCATCGTCGAACCCTGTCGCCTCTTGTACTGTGACTCGGCCACCTTGTTTGTACGCTTATCTGTGGCAGCCTCATCTCGTTCACAAGGATCAAACCATCCGTTCAAACAGTTTGCTGACAGTTTGGTACTCGTTGATCGCGGCGTGATCTAGTCTGGGACTACTTACAAACCGACTCGTCTGCCGTTGCTGTTTGCATCGACAGCGCTTGAGTATTCTGTCTGCGCTCTGATACGCCAGCTAGATTGTATCTCCCACGGGCCACATCCGTTCCCTCGCCTGTCCAGCGTCGTGCCTCGCTTATTGTCTCTGTGTGATTTTGGGAACTTGGCGCGACTTTCGCCTTGCAGTACGTGTACTCGTGCTCTAAGAAGTGTCATTTATGCTCGTACTTCGCAAAGGCTTCTCCGGTTCATGCTTTGCATATGGCTATATTCGTCCATCTTGCTTCACGAGGTTTTATTGTTGTTGCATGGGCAGAATGACTGATGCTTTGCTTGGTGTCAAATGTCCTACGCATGGGTTCGTGCACTATTCGTCGCGGAAGAGGACCCCCCTTCTCTGTTATCGCCTCTGTTCTGCCAGGCACAATGAGTCAGTTCGATGATCCGCATTGGATTTCTTGGGCCTTGATCAGCGCGGGACAAACTGTACTCATCCATGCGTCCGGCTGATGGCGATTTGAATGTGCCTGAGTGGCTGTAATGATGGCTCATCCATTTTATGAGTACCGTATTGGCGATATCAGCTGATAGGAAGACTCAATATTTGGCCACTAGCATCAATGACGACGCCTCATTTCGCGCAGCAGAAATAGCCGCAATTCAAGTGGTGCATTGAAATAATTCCCAGCGATGAAATTAGACCTCCGGATGCGTACGGCGAAGGAGTTCCATCGGTACGGCCCCGAGGCATCACAACTCCGTTCTTATTGATATGCTGTAAGATCGGCTGGCAATATCCCGATGGTCTGACGCGTACCAATTGTGCAGACGGGATTCTGGCGCCGAACGATTGGAGCAGCGTGAGGTTTGACCGTGGCCTGGGCCAGAGGACTATCCCGGTCCCCATTCGTCGTTTGCAACACCGCTTGACGTTCCTGGCGGGTCCTGCTTGTGTGCATGCTTTGGTCTTGCGATGAAGTCGGAACTGGCTAGTCTAAAGCAGCAAAATGCCTGCCGGCGGCTGAAGAGCTGGTAATAATCCAAGCTATTGTGTGTCTCTCGTTCGCGATATACGGCCGCATTGCCGCTAGGCACACTTGGGTGTGCTCGTCTCCGATTGAGGTTGATGGGTTTGATGGACTCCCATAGCGGGAACAAGAGCGTCACCAAATTAGGCAGGTCAGGTATTCGGTTCAGCCACGTGACGGGCGAGATGAAGCATTCGTTCTCACATGTCCGGCAGCCATTGTTCCTCATCCAGTGGCTCGGGCCAACATGTCGCCTCCGGTATGTGCCTCTGTTCCTTACCACCATCTGTACCTGCTCAAGTCTATTCTAGAGTTCCCGTCGGCCGGCTCGCAGGGACGAGCATCGCCTTCGTTTTTCCCTACTTAAACCGCGCGTCATACTCATATTTCCATCAGCAGCGTAGGCGTCTTTCTTCCTTCTCTCGTCTGCTGCCTTGGTATAATTCTCGCCAGCATGGTTGCATTAATTTCTCTGGTCGCTGCGCTGTTGGTTGTTACCCCATCGTCGGCGGTTCCATTCGGCTCACAAAGTGGCATTCCCAAGCTGAAGTTCCCCGACCTAGGTTCGAGCAGCTTCTGGTGCAATATTCCAATTCTAGATAAGTTGATGTGCCCTCGCGGTACTCTAGCTACGTCGAACACTTCGGTCTCCACGCCGCTCGGTACGGCGCAGGGTGTAATAGACACTTCAGGTGTCGTCAGATTCGCTGTTACGTATGGTTCGGCGGACCGCTGGGAACCATCTTTCGTCGCGACGTTGTGGGAGCTACCGTCAGTAATTTTCTCAGTTCCCCAGCGGTTCTTCTGCCAACTCAAGCATCTCATTGTTTAGTACTGGTGCCTCAAACGCGTCTGGGTACCCCTTGGCATGTCCTCAATCAGACCTCGATTCGGATGCCTACTCAGAAGACTGCTTAGCAATGTTGCTCTACGTCCCTCCTGGTCTCATTGACGCTCCCGTCCTGGTGTGGTACGTGTGGCTGCGTTCCATGCGAAATAGTGAAGGCGCATTGACCGCAGCATTGCATCAGGATTCACGGCGGCTCATTCATCGAGGGATCGGCAACAGATCCCGGCCTTGACGGTTCCACGCTTGCCAACAATGCCGAGGCGATTGTCGCGGTTGTACAATACCGACTGGGCGCAGTGAGTGCTATTTGTCACCACAGCAGCACGCATCCATAGATTTCGTTGTCAGCTAGGTTTCATGGCGCCAAGCGGCGCGACCAATTTGGCAGTTCAGGACATCATGACGGCACTAGAGTTCTTGCAAACGGTAGTGTCCAGCTTCGGAGGGGACGCGTCTATGATCACCCTAGATGGAGAGAGCTCAGGTGCAAATATGATCAGGGCAATACTCGCTGCGCCTTCTGCATCCGATTTATTCCAGTATGCCATCTTGCAATCAGATCCAATGGTAAGTGGTCCAGAGAGAACAATGGCGAGATCGTCGTAGCTAAGACGACGCTCGCAGGACTACGGTTTCCTCAATACCACGATCCAAGACACCCTGCAGACTTACTACAATGAGCAGCTGCCTTGTGACTCCGGCAACACGACCTGTCTGAACGACCTCTCACTTGACACGATCCTATCTGCGCAGTCATCTCTGATGAATGACGCTGACAATCTGTCCCTGGCAGCTGGTGCTTCTGAACCAATCCGTCCTGTACACGATGGCACGCTGATCACGTCCACGCTTGACTCTACCTCGCCATTTCCGTCCGTCTCGAAGTCCGTCATGCTCACAAACGTGAAAGATGAGGCTATGTACACAATCTATGGCTACTTCTCCGAGCCAATCTCCGACACGTACTACGAGGAATATGTCGACGTGTCCTTCGGGGAGCCGCGTGCTGCCCGCCTTCTAGCGTTCTCGAGCTATGCAGTGTCAACTGCATCGGAAGGCAGCGATACCCAGGACGCGCGACCGCAGCTGCAGGTGATGGGCACAGACCAGGTTTGGAGGTGCCCGACATGGACGTTTGCGCGAAATTGGGTTGCGAACGGCGGCACGGCGTATGTCGGCGTGTACGTAGTCGGCGCTTCCTACCCAGGAAATTCTGCGGTGTCAGAATGTACGCTGTCTGGTTCGGTCTGCCACCAGGACGACATCGAGATTGTTGTATGTTCCGTCCACACCTTCCTAGCGGATGATGAGTCTAAATTCACTGCAGTTCGGCACCGTGTCAAATCCCAATGTCAATCAGTCTGCGCTCATCAACGAGATGCAGCAGCGCTACTACGAGTTCATCCGGACGGGAGATCCGAACTATGGTTCGTATGCGACGTGGACGCCCGCGACGAACACGACGATAGACGCTCTCGAGCTTGGCGGCTCGGGCATCTACCCTGCAGGCGCATGCGAGGATGGCTACTGGGGCAGTTACGTTGAGTACGATTACCAGTTTTACGACCTCTGACGCGCGGAAGGAAAAGATCCAATATCGCTTCGGGAATCCGAGAGAAAGAAGACGCTGCTTTCATACCCTATACTCCGTGGTTAATCACTTCGCGCTTTGTATTCTTAATTTCTTCATGATAGGTGGGTAATTGATGCCCGCCTTGTTCGATTTTGGACTTTTTTTGAAATGTTGGTCTTTCTTCGAACGCTGGGCATTTGACACTGATGCTGTCTCGTCACACTGTATCACTAGATACGTTATTGGCTCTCCTTATGCAGGTACTGCAACCCTGTAGCTCTTCTTCTCAGCTTTACACGCAGATAATTTATCACTTCCAGTTTTACAATCGAGTACAAGTGTTACTATACTGTATTCCGGGCCGTTGCGTTGAGCGATGGATCAAAAAACCCTTCATTTGATCTCTGACATAGTCTACACATCAGGCACGATTGGTCCGTTGCCTGGGGTAGCGACACTGGCAGGAGATTGGCGAACAAGGCTACACAATTGCGCGCGGCGATTACTAGCCATTACGAGAAGCACAGGTTTCATAGTGTCCTCCGTTGAACAGGTTTGCCAGGGCCTCCAGGAGGTTAATGCATGGCACGTTGCATGGACAACCAGCAGGCGCATTCGGCAGAACTGCGATGATTGTACCAGCATAAAAATACAACGTAAACAGCACGTCAATCTTGTTGGAGACAAGGCGTAACACCTTTGAAACAATAGCAGGGATGTCAGAACTTCGAGCTTGCAACTGCCGACCGTGCTTCGCTGTCCGAGAAAACATCAAATGTTCGCTGCACCACAACATCCGTGGCAATCTGTGTTGAGATAAACGCGTCAGATGCGGGGAACAAGGACAGAATATAGTCGGCACGCACCCCTCCTTTCCCCCATTTGACCAGACTACGATGCAAACGGCCCTTCGGCCCTCCCCTTGTCTCGTCACCTTCATAGGTCATAATTGTGTTGCCATCGGCATCGCGTTCAGAAAGCATGTGCGGTTGGAATACAATGCGGCCAAACGTGCCCGTCGAGAGCGCGCGTACCCTGTCGCGCTGGCTGTCCGTGTTCCGGTCGCTACGTAGGATATCGGCGAGGATGTCGAGAAGATAGACCTGAGGAGGCATGAGGGCGATCTGGTGAGCTCTGCACTCCGCCAAGGCCTTCTGAGGGTGCACAAATCGCGCTTCAATCACCTCCTTCCCACCGTCTGGGGTAGGGAACTGCTCCCGTTTGCCTCCGGATGTGAAACCTGTGGCAGAGGCGCTGTCGAGGAACGTCACGTAGAAGTTGGTGTGGAACCGCCTGCAGGTCTCGTTAGAGGAAATTCATGAGAAACGATTCAGCATGACTGACCTAGGCATCGTCGGCGGTGTGATCCATTGCGTAAAGGGCAGTAGAGAAGACGTATCTGGCGTCAAGGTGAAACGCGATAAAAAGTCTCGGAAGAGCTGCCTCTGAGCATGGATTGCCTCTCTTGAATCATCCAGCTCAGCATCTGAGGGCCAACGATTTGCAGACGATGACGCGAGGAGCAAGCCAGTTTCCTCGAAGACTTCCCTGATTGCCGTAAGCTCGAGCGTATCGTCCTGCTTCTCGTCATAGTTCCCTCCTGGGAAGACCTGCAATACGTTACGGGCGCGACGCCTGAGATTCGGTTATGCGAACATACATGTACACCACCGAACGATTGAGACTTTGGATTCCGGTGGACGAGCAGGATCTCGTTGAGGTGATTGACGACGATCACGCTTGCCGACGGTCTCGGGGTATCTGCGCTTTTCGCTCCTGACGCCATCGCTTGCAATGACCTTCTCGTGACGATCTGGACTACTTTCGACGTCGATGTCGATATACTCTTCCGCCAGGCGCTGACACCGTAGCTGGATGGTGCACCTCGACTGAGGCTGCTGATTACGTGCATGCGCTAGCCTCAGATGACAACAGGACGGAACGGGCCAAATGACGAACGCGGAGCGTATGACCGTGGAATACGTGGAACATACGTGGACACATCACCTTCAGCTCGACAGAATACTAGTAGAAGGATTAACGTGCAGGTCGGATGGCGGAGACGATATCTACAAGTACCGCGTCCATCAAGAGTCTTTCCATCACAGCCGACGACCAGATAGTCGGTGAGTGTTCTGCGTTGGATCATCAAGGTAAATACTAATGACTGTCGGTAGAGAAACCAGCTGAGCCTGCGTGCAAAATGTCCTCTGTGAAGTTCCTGTTCATGGAACCGAAACGAGGGCCAACCACTGCGTTGAGCCTCTACGATGCCTGGAAGATACAGCTCAAGCTACTCTCGTCTAAGGACCAGGAGCGGTTCACCATCTTGCAGAGCACATTAGGAGAGCTGGAGCCACCCCATTCATATTTCGACTGCATCGTCTCTCCGGCCAATTCGTACGGTCTCATGGATGGAGGGTGAGTTGCGAGTTCTCACAGACTGAGTTGAATCTGCCTTCCGCGGCCCCTTATTCCTGAAAACGTTCATTTCAGATTCGACCTCTATCTGTCTCAAGCCTTGTCACCGAAGGGTGATGTCATGGCTCTCACAAGGTGTGCTCAGGCCGCCATTAAGGAGCGGTACTACGGTTTTGCTCCTCCGGGCACCTGCACCCTAGTGCAGTTGCCCGAGTTGCTCCGGCAGAACCCACAATATCCCCGATGTCGAGTCCTCGCGGTCTCTCCAACCATGCGGTACCCAATCGACGTGCACTGGCACAAAGACCTGGTATACAACACGATGTGGAGTCTTCTCACAGAACTGGAACATTGGAATGAGCATGCGGCGGAGGTGGACCGCATAGAGAGCGTGGCCATGACCGGCCTAGCTACAGGCGTAGGTGGCATCGACAAGGAGCTGTGTGCATGTCAGATGGTGCTTGCGATCAAACATTTCCTGGACACGCGAAGTGAAGAAGGTCAAAAACGGTGGGCGCAGGAGGAATTTCCGCAATGGAGAGACGTTCTGCCGATTGCAGAAGAAGTTGTTCCAGAAGGGAAATAATGTATGAATTTACCGTGACGACTTGTTAGCACAGACGGCGACATCCACATCCTCTGATGAGATGCGAGTAGCGACATGTCATATAATTTGCTAATATGCTCCTTGTTCGAAGGGTTGTTCTCAAGATGTGAAGTCCGTATATATTCCGTATGTTCCATGTGCGGTATGATACATCAACCATCTGTCATGTTACCTAGAGATCGAAACAACTGTACAACAAGATGCGGCATGAAATAGGATCCATCGATGTTGCCGATGCTATGTGAGGTATCAAGCGCTCCAGCGCTATGGAGGCAGTGCCCGTGCTACTAACTGCCAGTCCTGAAATTGACGAGATGAGGACAAACCCAAGGGAAAGCGTAGCTGGGACTCACCTTGTGGTTTACATAACGGAAATCCTCGTGGATAGTGGCGATATGTACCATATAGCGCGCGAGTTTGTCCAGCTCGCGGTCTGCCATCGCGCGTGTGGTATGCGCATCTTTGAATGCGGGTATCTTCAAACCTTCTCCAGGATTCAATGCAAAGTTGCGGCCCTACCAGGGTAATCGGTCATGAACTGACAGTCGTCATGTGAGAAATTGACTCACCAGGTCATCGACATGAAGTGTGTTGCTGGCATTGCTGTTTAGGCGATTGATCATGTGTGAACAGAATGCAGCATATCGGATGCGATGCTCACTACTGAGGAAAGTGATTCCAGATAATCTGAAGGGCCTTCACAGAATGCTTGTACATCTTGCCTTCTCGTTTCGAGAAAACGGTGAACATACTGGTCTTGTCGAGGACTACACGCAGATACGATGAGATGAGAGCGGTTTTAAGGGCTTGGTGAAGCTCACCAAATGAGATCTGCATGCACTAGAGATCCAGCATCTGACGCGCGATAGCATGACGACGACATACCTGGTAGTTGCGTCCAGCTCCAAGCATTCCAAGTTCAACAAGCTTAGTCTCGAGCCATATCCAGCTGGTCTGAGACCTGTCACAGCATACGTAAGGTGTCCTGAACGTTGAGGTGTCCGCCTACCAGATACAAATGTCATAATGAGGATAGACCGCCTCAAGAAACTCGTGCAACCGCGGTCTCGCGCACTCATGTGGAGGCAATGCACCGGACGTGAGAGGTTTGGTGTCCAATATCGCTTCAATGACAGACACTCTTGAGTAATAGGCATATACGTAGGCAATGTGCAAAAGCCTCACTATAATCGATGTCCAGCACAAGCAAGCGCTTGCCTTCCCTTAACGGATGAATGACATTGATATTGAGTTTACTGGTATATTCCCTGATCTTTCGTTGATTCCGTTGGTCATTGATGTACTCTCGCGCAGCATCGGGGTTGGCCGAGAAATCCACGTCCAGATCATTGAACACATCTGGGAGATACTCGAGTTCTGTGCAGAGTGCATTGACATTCTATCATGCTGTGAGACAAATGATGGCTGACATAACACCCACGAGATGGATCTTTGATTTCATGCCCTTGCGGAGTGCCGACAAGAGTGAATTTCTTGCCACTGACGAGCTTCAGATCTCCGCTATGGTATTGATCAGCACGACTTCAGAGTGACAGCAGACTGGTAGCATGTTGACAACACTTACATACGCTCCTCATCAGGCGGTAATTTGCCCTTGACGAGACCAAGGATCTTCTGCCTCTCCGGTGGTACGTCCGTAAGACTCTGCAGTAAAGCCTTTAAGTCGTAGACTCTGGTGACGGACGTGGAACAGTATGTGAGATATTGTTGAATACATGACGCAGGGTATGCTCACCTGTCAGACTCTGCTATATCAAGCGTGAACGGCTTTCCTGACCAAGTGAAGAGTAGATGAATCCATCGCTCGTCATCCGCCTCCGGGTGAGAATCCACCTTCAATGGTCACCGTCGGCCTTTAGAGACGAGATGTAGCCGTGATTGACTCACAATAGCCGTAACGACTGTGTTCTGGCCATCCTTTTCGCCATCCTCAGCGCTCTTGCCAGCATTCAACTTCTCGCTCACGACAGTGCTACCGACAATATGAGCCACTGCGTCCGATACATCTAATTTGATGCGTTTGGGACGTGGACACTCTTCAGAGGCCATACTGTGCTGTCCTTAGTCCAAAAAGACTTCCCTAGAAAACAGAATACAGAGGATATGTAAGCACGAGAGGTATGTATACTTGTAGGTCCAACTGTTAAAGCTAAAGCCGAGGCGCGGCTTGAGCGTCTGTTCGAGCGCGGCCACTGCCTCATGTGACCTACGATGGCCTGAGACCGTCACCATCGTCGTCATCGTTTGTGCATTCTCGTTTGTGCATTCTCTTCGGTTCTCAATCGCATACAGATACCTGTCTGATCAGAAGGTGAGTAGAAATCTATAGGCTTAGCATATGGTTTATTTGCACAGTCAGATAATCGTCTCGCTCACCGATTCGTCATAGAAGATGAATCTCTTGACATTGAACCGCGATGTCATCGATATTATTTTGTCTTGCATATCGCCAGGGGATGCTGGAAAGCTGTCATTGACTTGTCACGATGCATACAACATCGCAATGCCGCGCTTCCTGTCGGAGGTCATTCTCAGGCACGAGCGGCAGGCCATAAGCTTTTGCTCCTTCATGCTCACGAACCCCACACTTCGCATCCGTTGTCTGAAGCATCTCACACTCTCGGACTCGGTGTTCACCCCCCGAGCGGACAATCTCTGTAGTCGACAGAACTACGCCCACATCGTCTTTGGCTGATATGGTACGATATGCGGCAGCGTCGGTGTTCGGTCGTTGGTATACGGCGCCTTCGCCCCTGTTCATCACGTCTTCAGTCGAGAAAAACACTCCTGCGTCATCTTTGGCTGAGGTGATTCGACAGGCGACCAGATTACGCAAACTGTATCTGCGCATGTCCTACAATACGATACAGGAATCTTTCTTGGAGCATTTTCCACCATTGGCAGATGCGATTGCTGCCCTTCCTTCTCTCGACGACGTCTTCATTTATGATGCAAATGCCTCAGCACTACAACTTCTCTCATGCATGAAGAGCCATCCACGTCATCATATCACATTGTATCACCCACAAAACATTCGAGGAAGTGGTAACGGCCTCCCAATGAACGCTCTAGACAACACCATGCTGTCCCTGCTCACCTTTGTCGATTCTCTTGTCACCTTAAGCCTGGATGGCCATCACATTTTCTCTAGAACTCTGAAGGCAGATAGCGTTTGGCCTGCACTTCATGAGCTGAACCTATGCAGCACGACAATCGATCTCACGAGCATATCAACTGCATGTCCCAATCTGCACACGCTGCACATTGACCGATGCAAACTTACCAATCCGCATGCCTCGCTTCATCTACCAAAGCTTGACTTCCTTGAGGTTGATTATTCACTTCCTCTATCCACCCGAGTTCGTCGACTGTATCTTGTCAATTCTAAAGCAAACATCACCTCGAAGATCGAATCAATGCTCCAGCAGGCGAATCCTGTTGTTCTAACCTGCTATCTGACTATGGCGAATACCATGGCGATAGCAAAAGTTTGCCCTGATCTGCAGGATTTGAGAGTTGTGGTGCCGCAAGAGCGTGGACTTGTTGATGTACTCAAAATTCTTTGTCCATTGCGAGAAACACCAATACAGAGTATCATGTTCCAGACGGGTCGTCTCACTACATGCACCATGGAACCCTTCGCACTTCAAGTCGCAGCCCTCATCCCCACGGTGGAGTATATAGGTCAGGGGTACGTTGGTGGAGTCTATAGATGTTATCTGCCACTCGTAGTGTCTATTCCCTGGTATCAAGTCGTGGCCCGCCCCGACGGCGAGCTCCCGAAGCTTCGAAAATTACCATTTGACGAGGGCGATAAAATCCATCAGGATCTGCCGGAAATTCGTCGATATGTTATCGACTGGTCTGGGGATCCCCCGCATTCTATAGCGCTTCCGTGGTGATAAGACGGAGCAATGGTCGCGTTTGCGTTGTCTTCTACACGAGTTTAACGTATGATCATGTTGCGGAGGGCCTCCTCTCAGAGATTGCATCTATTCTGCCAGCTCTCACGGCAGCCTGTACCATTAGCACAACTTGCGATTGTAAAAGCCACAGATGTTGGGGAAAATATATCTGAAAGAAATACATCGATACATGCTGTTGTGGGCTCAGACGTGACACAACGAATCCGATGAAAAGGACACTGAGCATTGGGGCTGCTGAACTTCAGTCTAAACGCGCGTCACACTGTCCGCAATGACACTGAACGATTGCAATGTCGGGGGAGCTGCAGGAGCGACTCAGTGACATCATCGACTGTGTTCAGTGGGCTCGTACCTGATGCTACCTCGGAGCGGAGGCTTCCACGAGGGGGAGGTGCAAGGACTTGTGTGCTTGCGTCGTATGACCATCCATTCGTAGATGCAGCTGCAACACACGTGAGGCTGATCATTGATGGAAATCTTACAATCGTACCTAAGAGAATCTGATCGATGGGTAGTCCAAGATATGCTTGAGCCAGAGATAGATTGATCGATGTGTACGCTCTTGCTAGCAACGAAAATGTCTTCTTACGGAATGATTCTTTGGGTGGCAAGGGAGGTTTGAGCGGACGCATGCATCACAACGGAACTCTACTGCTCACCGACAAAGACCATCGTCATGTTCGCAATTGTGGGCGCTAGCTCGGCGGGAGAGAAGCCAGATTGCTGACAGAGATTAAACAAATCTTCTGCGCGAGAGTACACAGCTGCATATTTTCGAACCCATACGGAAGCAAGCAGGCGAATGAGAGAGGAAGCGAGTGGCGTCGAGGCGAGGTTCTTCGGCAACCTCGTTATGACATAGCGCGCTGCGGCACTCAATAGAAAAGGAGTCTAAGAGGATTATCTTCAGATACAGTGGAACTTGACATACGGATCATCCGCAATCAGATACGCTAAGGTCAGGGGAGCAATCACAAACAGTCGCGCTTTGTTGCCATGATCAAGGGTCTGTAACAGCACTATCAATAATCGACCAGAGGACTTCAGAGAGGATTATTCACAAGCATGTCCTCCTCCTCTGCGATCCGGATGAGTTCTGCATAATTGCCATTTGCAGACGACTGCTGTATGGATGCAACTGCGGTCTGATATGGTGCCACAGGTTGAGCAGGAGGCACATCTGTCGGCTCAGAAGGCTCAGAAACAGCAGCTTGCTGTGCTGCTTGTTCGGGCTGTTCGACCTGCTCTGGTTGCGGTGCCACTGCGGGTGGCTCTGCAGCAGCCGCGACCTCGGGTATAGGTTGGGCAGGCGCAGAGATGCGTGCTGCGTCTTCAATCTCCGTTTGCGAAGTGGGCGGGGGAGTGGGAGGGCCTGTCATCTCTGTCGTCGATGGGATGCGATGCGATATGGTCCACAGTCAAGCGCTGCAGGAGTAAATTCGAATGCAAGGAACGCGAACGGGCAACACGCGCTTCACGCGCGTCTCGTGCACGTGTCCTGCATTGCAATGGGCGCTACGCCACCTGCGCGCGGCGCATAGCATCTCCGACTCGGACCCTCCCGTCTCGTACATATCTACACACCCGTCATTGAATTCATACTTTAACCACTCTCGAGCCACGATGGACGAATTTGGCGGCGACGACGAAATTGAGAGTGTACTGTACATCGGCAGGGAGGTCTCCGGTAAGTATCTCGCGGGCATCGCGGGTGATGGCTCGCTGACGCTAAACAATGCAGTGTTCAAGATCCCGCCATTGAAGAAGAACGAGGGTCATCGTGCGCAGGAATGGGGAGACCTTGCTGCTCCTCTGTGGAAGGGCAGACTACGCATCATTGAGCGGTCGACTGGCGTGTCGATTCAATTCGAGGATCCCAATACTGGTGTGTCCGTTCGCTGTATTTGCTGGCCGATACCTTATGAGCGCAATGATGTGGTGGTTCCAAAGGAGAATGTGGGAGAATCAAGGACACTTTTCGGAGACTGCTCGCTGAACCACCTTATGTCTAGTGTTCGCGAAGGCCGACTATGACCCCGCGAAGCCGTCCGTCGAAGCTGTGCTCGATTCATCACGGTACTTTGTCGTACGCGTGGAGGACGACGGGCGAAGAGCTTACATTGGGATGGGATTCCTTGAACGAACAGACAGCTTTGACTTCAGTACGTCCCCATGATTCAGTTGCGTCTCGACAATTTGACAGGTGGTATTCCTTAGACGTGACGCTGCAAGATTATACCAAGTACGTGACTATTTACTGCCATCATCTAGTGATGGACAATTTTATGCTCATGCAATGCTGCTCAGGCGCTGGCGAGCCCGCATGAATCCATCGGAACCAGGCTCAGAAGACTCGCCTTCCCCACACGTTCCCGCAGGCCCGAAGAAAGACTACTCCCTGAAGGAAGGCCAAACCTTCTCGATCAACATCCCTGGTCGGACGAAGGCGAACAATTCGTCGTCGTCGTCGACGACAGCAAATCTGCTCGGAGACAGCACCGCATCGCTTTCGTCGTCATCTGGCGGTCTTGGTGTTCCTCTTCTACCGCCACCGCCCAGTGCACCGAAGAAGTGGTGATTTGGGATGGTGAGAACGTATGTTTCTCGTACACATGCTCTGTACTATACCTGTAAGTTTGAGCAGTAAAGGATATTCCCGGGACAATGAATTTATCGCTACTTTGCGGAAGGTTCAGGCCGGTAAGCGTGCGAAAGCACGATTAATTTCTATGCGTTGTAACAATGTGTGCGCTGCTTGTACCGTGGAAGTTGTCTTTAATTGCGTACTGTTCATGGAGTTGACTCCCTCTTCACTGGCGAGGTTGAGTAGTTGACATGGCCATGAAGCACACGACCGGCGCATTCACGATCAAGATGATGTCACAATTAGGGCGAAAGAATTAACGTTACATAACGTCTTCTACCCTTATATAACCTGCGTTATTACTTGGTCTTGAGCATATTATCCGCGGAATATTTGATGAACTTCATGGCCTCATCACCCAATTCTCTCCTATCTCTGCTAGAGGCTGCAGGTCAACGCCATCACATCTTTGATCCGCTCTAGCACTGCTGCTCGGAGTATGCACGCTCGCCTACGGAGACGTGGGTTATCCCAAACGCGCTTGGCTGATTGATCAGAGTACATCTCCATCAAGGACGGATACAGAATTCATGCTGACCCCGGGTCTTGATGTAACAGATCATAGACGGGTGGCGGTGCAGAAAGTTGCACAGCAGGTCTTTGCCGATGTGGACGTATAAGAGCGGCGATACTGCAGCTGCTTCACCATTCACTACCGCATCACCCGTCCTATCTTGGACGCCCTCCTACGCACATTCGTGTCGTTATATCCTTACGTTCACGCCCGAATTATAGGTGATTTTCTAAAGTAGTGACAATCTATGCTGGTGCTCACGCACACTGCGCAGAACTCATGGCCACCAGCGCTGTCGCCCACCAGTATCCCTTCACCGAAGCCAGATCCACAGGCACGGACAGCGCCACGCTCCTCGCCGCGCTCCTCGCGTCCGAGTGCTTTGACGAGATCTCCAACGTGGAGGACTTCGGGGGCGTCCGCGACTACATCGTCGGGGAGGGCCGCCCTGACGCAGAGGGGCGCCTCGCGTTCAAGGGTCTCGCGTTCTGGGTGTACCCCACTGGCCTGCATGGGCCGTTCCACGAGACTGAGGAAGGCACGATCGAGCGACATGGGTTATTGGTTACGATTGAGAGGAGAGCGAAGGTGGAAGACGCGATGAGGAGGATTCGGGAGGAGTTCTCGATCAATGGGATTGGGCATGTCCATATCGCGGCTGCTTGAAGCGTAACAGCCTGAGCAGGGTTTGGAGCAGAATGTAGCACGACCAAGGAGTTGGGGGACTCTTGCTCGCTTGCAAGTGCCTATTTGGTACTCTCAATGCTACTAGGCTAACAAAAGCTACGAAAGGCATGCACGTACTCGGGAACCCTAAGAATGTTTAGCGAAGACTCCCTCTGAGCTGCGTCTCTCGAGGCTCGGCGAATCACGCAAAGTCGTGGAGACGTACTCCCATTGATTGGGACGGGTGACTTTATGAAGGCGATGAGAAAGGACCTGCGCCACCATAATTTGACCATAATGGCTGCAAGTGCTGTCCGGAGCTTATACTAAACTTAACTTGAATCAAATCCATGTCACATCGCCTCGACGATCCTTGAGTCGATTTCTTGCCTATGGCAGGTACAGAAAAGGCCTCTCGCAAAGCAAGGGCCTACCGAACGCCTACCTGCGGGCATTCCCCATGTATGTCCTATTCAGATATGTGTTTGCCGATTTCAACTCACTTTGACTGGCAAGACCGTTCAACTAATTTACGCACAGCATGACGCTTCAAGCTGAAAGGCTCTCTTCTGCCACACCTCTGCCCACAGAAACTCGAGAGAAAATAGATATTCACATGCACGGACATCGTGTTAGAGCATCTAAGCGCGGCCTAAAGAGTCGGGGTATCAAAATGTGTGCTGCACATAGCGATTTGAAGACGGCGAGAGACACTGCACATGTCTGACTACATACGACAAAGTATGACATAAATAGAAAAGAGGATCCGCGCGTAGTACATACAGTATGAGCGGCATTTGACGGCGAGAATTGTACCGATCTTCCAAAAACCAATAAATACGGAACGAGGATGCCTGCGGCCTAGTATAGGAATGTCTCGATATAGAGAAAAAATTGCGGACCTAAAATACACAAAGTCAGTGTGGACATTGCGCGTATGCGGCAATGAACTCACCAGATTCCAAAACACCTTACATGAACAACTCCAGCTCCTCGCCTTAGTAGTCATCCTCCCAATCGTCTTCTTCCTCCCAATCCTCTGCGGCCTCTCCCTCTGCCCGCCCTTGCGCCACATCGTCCTCGGGGCCTTGACCAGAGGGTCCAGCCTCCATGGGCACCGAGACTTCCTGCGCTTCGCGATGGCGGTCTTGATTCGGAGGACCGGCAATCATTGCCTCATCTGCGACAGCGTTTGCCAGGTTGGCGGTGGCTATGGAAGGTCCCGTCTCTAGGTCGATTGCAGGGACGCTGTTTGCGGCATCAGAAGGGATCACAAGGCTGGGGATGTCGATGTTCGATTCAGTCTGCACGCCACCGTTCGAGCGCACAAACGAGGGAGTATCGGATTGCCCCTTCCACGCGGCTCGGGCCGTTTCTTGGATATTTAGCAAAAGGCGAGAGACAAGAATTGTAGTGAGCCTATAACATGCATGAGGATCTGTTGCGATGAGCATAGAAGATGAAACTTAACGGTTTGTTCAAATTGCAGAAAATGTATTGGGCATTCTACATAGAAGGTCAGGGTTTTAAAATGACATTCAGCAGCATTGGTATGAGGATTGATGGACACTTGGGTCACTGACCTGGCCAATAAGCGATAATACTCTCACGCTGACGTTCAGCAGCAATAGCGTTCTATGATGATGTGTCAGTTTTCCCTGCAACGGAAAAGAGTTGGCCACGTACACGAACTGAATCGTACCTATGTACGGAAAGAAATATGACACAACCACGGTCCTACGACGTAAGCGTTACTCACCGTCTCTCAGCAACAATGTCGCAAGTGATCGCCTCTGTGAAAACACTCCAGGGCACTTCCGGCTGAGGTTTCTGTATAGCATCCTCCAGACGACACCGACCGCTACAACGTTCATGACCAGAGAAATAACAAGGGCGGCAGTTGCTACTACGAAGTGACGATGAGTGTGGCTCATTTGGAGAAGGGAGAGTCTATATAACGAGCTTACGCCTGGTAGTTGACGGTTGAGAAGGAAACATAAGCTATCGACATTACGGGCTGCTTACTTTGAGGAGGTGCTCGCAAACGAATTCTGTGGGAACGTGTAGCAAATTGCCGTAGATCCTAGAACGATGACCTCGGTTGATTCGTTCACGAAGTCTTCTCACGACAAGAGAGTTAGTGATGGAACAATCCTTTCAATCCAATTATCGTAGAGATCGTACCTTCGACAGTTTCGATCACCAATAACACAACGGCTAGCAACGCACCAATTACTATAGAAAACCAGTTACGTCCGGCCACTGCATATACTCGCTGTAACGTGATCACTGCGATAGGACGTCAGTATCTAGTTGAAACATGGTGCACAAAAACTTACCTAGGGAAACGGCCGTGATTGCGAGCGCAAGACTGTTAATTGCATTCGTTACTACTTCACAACTAAATGGCATGAAATGTAACAAATTTTGCAACTCGTGAGCTAGAGAACTCGGAACGGACCTCTGCCATCGCATCCTGTCAGACCGCCGTGATCAGATTGCAGTTCCATCAAGATACGTACAGTTCATGAGTAGATATTCATTATCGCTGAGATTGATACAGCGCCATAGGCGAGAGCCAGCAGTCGATTGACGAAGAAGAAGACTGCTGGGAATGACCTTTTTCCCCAAAAGAATTTAACCTCTTGGTCGAACGTAGTAATATGTTCGTAAAATATGAGGGCTGGGTGGGGTTATCATTTCAATGCATCATAGCGATTGGCTGCGATTGCACTCACCTGCTCCGGATGCAGAGGCACAATTCGAAATGAAACTATGCATGATAGGCCCTCGGAATTAGCAAACTGGCCAACGGGGAGACATTCAGAGCTCACTTTTCTTCGAGCAGCTCGGTCGCTGCCGATATCGCGCTCGCCATGCTACTGACAGAGGATAGGAGTGGGTAACAAAGATGTGAGTAGTAGCTCGCTCTGGGCAGCTATTTCACATGTATGAATTATGATCAACGGATGCAAAGTGAGACGAACGTACTGGTGCGGAAGCCAACTATTCTTCTCTTGTTGGAGTTGACCGTCGACTGAGAATTCTGCGCAGTTCTCACAGTATGATGGGCTCAACTGAGCTGCCATTCTCGGCATCTGCCAATTACGTCGAAGGCGTTGACTCCATCGCAAACTTCGCCTCCAGCGAGCGGGAAGGACATTGAGTATACTATTGCCATTTGAGATCTCCCGCAATGCAGGGGGCATGCAACGTTCTTCCCATAGATGGGTCGGAACCGATATGATGCGAGTTGAGTCAGTGTGCTCATTCCAAACCAGAAGCCGCCTCTGCCATTTGCGCTACCATCGTCAAGCAATGATGAACCATCGCAGTACCTGTGTAGAAGTAATCGACTAGTAGGTAAAAAGGCAGATGCGTTGCCAGCGCATCTGGGCCTTGGGGTGCCGATATTGGTGACCGCAATGCCAGCCATGGCTACAAGGAGGTTGCACAGCTGTGAATGATCTAGGCTGAATAGCGCGAGGCAAATTCGATGGTGTCCGTCGCAGACAAGGCTGATTTGAGATTCGGCCGCCCAGGCAACCTCCGCGTCCGAAAGATGATACCGGGAGAGATGTGTTCTCTGTCGATAACCAATGCTTGAATGCAATTTTCAATGAAGAGTATAATTATGAGGATTCCATAGTACGTATGCTCTTGTAGCAAAGAACTCGAACGCACATGCGTAATGTAGACATCTCCAAAACGTGCTGTGATTGGTGGCCACAATGGCACGTGACCGCCGCGATGTCCCTAAGTTGGCTATGTACATCGCGAGGTCGTCATTGACCGACTGATACTATAATCTAAATTTTAAAGCATCATGCATTCATGCATCAGCGCTCAGCAGCACCACTACAGCACTTGACAGTCCTACTTCCATGGAAATTGTTGAACGAGCTACATGCTAGTGCAGCATGCACAGGGACACACAGCAAGGTGAGGACCTAGTGGGCAAGGCTACAAGACTCCCAGTTAAGGGATTGAGTCTCTCAGTGGAGAAGTCACTTTAGATTGTGATGTAGCTACCTGATATATATACATGTGGGTAAAGACCCCATATACCGGGTCTGGGACCTCTGGTATCTACAACCATGTCTATCTACATAGATGAGTAATACTACAGTATCTAATGTTGGCTTTTGGGGCCTGGGAGGCACTGCAGGATAGCAGTGGTCCTCGGGGGCATCGGAGCTGGGTACAGGGGCTGCAGGAATGGCAGCTGGATAAGCGCCGGATGTGCGAGCTGTGCCGCCTGCCCTGAAGTGGCATGGTTAAAAGGGAGGTAGTTAACGTAGCGTTACCTTGCTCGTTTGTACCCAAATCCCAAGTGGTGTCATGAGTTATTGGACATGGCGCCGGTCTTGGCTGCCGTTGTTCAACACAAATGAGCCATCGATACTCTGGGACTCTCCGTTATACTCTGGGCTCTCATCTAGTCAACCTGGGCTGACCTTCTTCGACGCAACCAACACCGTGGTGCCATGCACTGGGCCATTCAAGGTGCAAGCATGAGGGGTGGATGGTGGACAGTGTAGGGAGGAGGCGGAGGTTGAGGGGGCACTGGTACAAGGCACTGGGATAGGGTGCGTAGCGTCCATTGGAGAGCAGGGAGGGGGGAGGGGGCTGTCCTAGCCCGGGCATGATTGTGAGCACGGTGCATGATGGAAGGGACCCAGGATCCTTTGGGGGGACCTCAGGCTGTGCGTGTCGAGAAGGCGACGTGGATGCAAGACCACACGCGAAGTGCCAGAGCCGGATCAGGGGGCAGGGCACATGGACAAGAGGGGCTGAGGCTGGGGTGGTTAGCTGGGGCTGAGGCAAGGCAGTGGGCACAACTAGGCTGGGTTTGGCAGCGAAATGTGCAGGGTGATGCGGGCTGGGCCAGACATGGTGGGGTGGGCATTGGGAGGAGCGCCTGTAGCCAGGGCACTATAGAAATGCGGCGGAACCAGGGAGTGCCGGTTAGGGCAGAAGGAGCTGCAGACAAGGCAGCTGGTTAGGTGGCTGGCTCGAGGGGGTGTGTTGGCTTTTGGGGCCTGGGAGGCACTGCGAGATAGCAGTGGACCTCGGGGTCATCGGAGCCGGGTACAGGGGCTGCAGGAATGGCAGCTGGATAAGCACCGGATGTGCAAGCTGTGCCGCCTGCCCTGAAGTGGCATGATTAAAAGGGAGGTAGTTAATGCAGCATTACCTTGCTCATTTGTACCCAAATCCCAAGTGGTGTTGTGAGTTATTGGACGTGGCGCCGGCCTTGGCTGCCGTTGTTCAACATCTAACACATGACCTGTGGCTGTGTGTACTGGCCAATGGCATATTCACTTTCTATCGTACAATACTTTATGAATATCGTGATTGGCTAATGTCTCATTGTACCATCTCTATGGATTATATAATTGGACAATGCTATACCAGATGTTCCAGTAACTCTCTTCTTCATTCTGTGATCTATAAGATTATTCGGAATACATATGTTATTCCTTCAACACCCTCTCTTGATCGAGATAATCACAGTATATAACACATGATGTGTATACAACAGTTTCTGTGAACTTGTTATGAAGCACCTTTCCACCCTAGAACCTTTATCACGTGTTTAGTGATAGCCCGACACTCGAAGGGCAGAGACAGAAGTTCACACAGTACTTGCCATCCCAGAGGCATTTATAGTGCTGTCTTGGTCGAGCAGAGAATGTAGCAGTGAGGTATTCCACTCTACTCCTGCAAGGCCCTGGTTGATCCAAGCTACTGCACATTCACCTGAAGGTTACTAGGTTCGCTTGATCTGGCTCTCAACAAGCGTATGAGCTTGATACCCCTAAAGAGCGAATGCAGATTCCTTTCACACAGAAAGTATTGAGTATCTCCAGATCTTAGAGTGCAAATGGGTTCTGAGAACGAGGAGGAAGAGGTTAACCCTCTCCTACTGTCCCAGCCCCTTTATATAGTAGCAGACCATAGTCTGGGGTACTAGTACAAGGGATCCCACTAAGCTATAGATAGGTGAAACACACCAGAGCTTAACCGCTGTGAGCCAGGTAATTGGCCAATCCTTCTTGTTCTTTGACCACCATGTCCACTTTAGGCGCCCAACAAGCGACCGCCAGCGACGTCGACATGGAGGCTTCCGGCGTTGAGCCCATTGCTTCACCGGGCAGCTCTAATGCTGCGACACTTCATAGAACCCCTGTGCTCAGCTGGGCCTCTCAAATGGAGGCTGGTGATGCCTTGCAGGACCGCTTCAGTGGCCTCCTGCGCCACGTCAGCAACCATACCAGGGCCATTACCGACACTATATGTGACCTCCAGGACCACCCCAACCCTGAGACTTACCTCGATGACTTTGTCCAAGTCGTCACCCTGCTCACCACCACCTGCAAAGAGCTGTACACTGAGCTCGGTGTGGACCCTGTAGTCAGTAACTCGGCTACCGGCACTGCCGCCCTCCACATCTATGACCACTTCTTTGACAATGTCAATGCTGAAAGGAAAGACGTCGATGGGGACGACCTCGACGAGGCCTTCTTCCAACCACCCCGGGGCCACCTGCGGATGGAAACCACCCTACCCGCCAACCTCGACTTCCAAGCAGTGCTCGCCAAGGCCGTGGAAGATGGAGTCCGCATGGCCAACACAGCCATCAACATGCGGCTCTCAGCCATCGAGGCCCAACTCGTACGCACCCGACCAGCACAGCCCAGCCCCCAAGCATCGGCTGCCGCCAAAAACCCCCACCAATCACCGACCGGTCAGGCGCGTGGTCCCGCGTCCGCAGCTAAGGCCACGTCTGCATCTGCTGACGTGCCACCCAATGGAAAGGCAGCGGCACAGCCTACCATGGTGCAGGCTGTCGCCAAATCCAAGGAGAAGAGCTATGCTCTACTCATCACCCCGGAACAGCACGCAGCCATTGAGGCAGGCGGAACCATGCTGCAGTGGTACGCTAAAATTGACACCCGCCTGCGTGAAACACCCACATGGGCCAAGGTACATCCTCTTGGTTGTCGTTTTGCTGGGCCCACCAAAGTTGTGGTCGTTTTCTCACATGAATCCCCCGACTCGCTCATACGCGAGTGTCTCCGCCCCATAAGGCACATCTTGGGGGTCGTCCCACGTGCTGCCTCACCTGCACCAGATCTGCGTGAACGTGCATCTGCGCCGCAGGACTTCTGTCCTCTCGTTCCTGTTACGAAGCTATTCATCCCGAGCTGCCTGCTGCGTCATCCCGACACGGGATTGTTACTCACTGAGGAGGAAATCATGGCGGAACTACACCGCAATTCTATGTTTTTGTCTGTTCACTTCAATGGTCTACCCAGTTTCGTTGTGCCTAAGGAGCATCGCGAGCAGCTCGGGAAGTCCTCTATTATCATCTCCATCGAGGATGCCCATCGCGACTACTGTACGCA